ACTAAAACCTTCTCCGAAACACGCTGTATCTTATGGTATGAATATTATTCCGATCGGTTCAGTAGTTATCGCAGTGTAACCGAACAAAAAAAACGGCTCTCCATTTATTAGTATAGATATGAAGAGAAAATACGTTCTAAGTACTTTACTGTCACGTAGAGTACCCTCGTATCGCGTCAGCATAGAATAGTGAACCGGTTAGGTACTGTAGTCATAGCGAGCGTGAGGCGCCACGCCGCAATGCAGTGGCGCTACGAACTCGAACAATCGATCACTACATATCGATGGGTGCCTGGAACAAGACCGCAATAGCCATAGTAGCTGTTTTCCGATTAAGCCATTTTCGTAATCTACGGACCCTATTACACCTTGTGGATTTTTTTCATAAATTAATAATGAAAACTGCCTGAGATAGCAAAAGCAGTATGGATATTCTCTCGTTATTCCCCGTTCATCGTTCGAATTTTGTTTGCCGGAATAATCGTGCTATGTGCAATGATAAAAGTTTTTTTCAACCTTCTACAACTAACGTCCATTGCGGCTTTGTTCCCCGAAATAAACTTAGTATACCGATTCACAATAAACATTGCTGTACAAATATTTTAAACTTTCACTAGTAATAGTAATTATGGTTTTCTTACATGAAATAAAAATATGTCGATTGATTTTCAATAAACAGTGCTATATGTATGTAATCTATGTACTGTTTTTCTCACATTAGTTTTTAAATATCAAAAGTGTGTTTATCAATATGCCTGCCTAAATGCCTGCCAGATAATATTGAATAAGTAGTTATTATATTATTATTGTTGTGACACATCACATAGGTGTGCATCTTAAAGTAATAAAATATTATATTATTATTATTTTTGTATGTATAGTAAATGAAAACTACCAATCAGTATTTTTTTTTACTTTTTAGTGCTTTTTTTAAAGTCGGTTATTATTTTTTTGTTAAAAAGTTTTTATTTTTTCCTTCTTAGTGTAGACATAGTAGTAGCAAAGTGAGAAGAAAGTATTTTAATAAAATATTTTTGCTTAAACCGTTTAAGTTACTTTGATGCTAATTTTAATATGAAGACTGACAAACTAAAATTCACTTTTATTATAAACACTAAAAATTCTGGCTCTAAAATCTGATTCTAACGTGTTAGGCTTGTCAAATCAAACAAAATAAGCCCAAACTCAAAGTACTATTAGCCGTTACTTTACTATTAGCTGTTGAAGAGTTCCACCTATCCACCTTCTGGCCTTACCATCAGATCAGGTCAACGATACCGAACCACTGCACTATCAACAGAAATAGAAGCACTTGCAAAGTTTCAAGTCAATATGATAATTAGAAGTAGGTTAAATTCATCATTAGGTATTTTTCCACCCTTAGTGGTGTTATATTTTTTGAAATTTAAAAGGGACCAATCTAGAAGTATACACTTTCAAACAAAACAAAAATTGTTCAAATCGGTTAATAAATGACGGAGTTCTGAGGTAACAAACATAAAAAAACGTACAGCCGAATTGAGAACCTCCTCCTTTTTGAGGAAGTCGGTTGATAAAAATATCTCCATCATAAATATTAAAAGTAGATACCATACTATTAGTTTAAGCACACCCAAAACACAAAAATCAAATTAGAAATAACGACGAAATGGGGTATTTTGTGGGTATAGAATTAAAATCCCCTCGAGAACATAACTTTCAGATTAATTATAACTCTGACACTACAAGTTAAACGTTGAGTGTAAATAACCAGGAGAACAACGAGGGGTCACTGTATCAATAGAAGATATACTCGTAGTACTTGCCGAAGATACACATTCTAGATTTAATGTCTCTTGTCTATGTCAAGGTAGTGGTAGCGCCATAGATTTGAAGATCTCGGAATTAGATACTACTTTAAAACCAGAGAATATTACAGTTTCCGACTCAAGTCAAACATTGTTATGCAATTTAGGTAGAATTTCAGAAGATAATGATTCTTGTTCTATCTTGAACCCCGTGGTCCAAAACATCTCATCACTAATTCTGCCCTCTGCAAAAGAACTACGAAATAGCACAATAAGCTATTTACAAAATATTGAGACTTATAATAATATTATTATTATGCCATTATTTGTCAGACGCACTTGCAATGAATGACATAGTTAGTGGCGAGAAATATAAAGTGATAGAGATGGATCAATCTGACTTTGTCGATATAAAAATGCTTATTGAAGGCCGAAATTGGACGCATGACTCTGAGGGAAATAAAATATTGTGGTCCAATATTATGGAAGTTGTTGCGGGTACTCATGAGGGTATACTGAACTTAAAATACAGTTTTGAAGATGATTATATTATGGAGTTCCACACGCGTACGGAGTTACACACACAGAGAGCTACAATGGACCACAACTGGTCGACGTAGTTATGGCCGGCCTCGGCACCACTTCCAATAAAATATAATAAATAATAATACACACTCGTGATCTACTAGCCAGATTTCCTACTCGAGGCGCCCGGGTACGGTGGACGCACAGGAAGTGGAAGTTCACGAGGTGCACAAATACTCCGTGCTGCTGCTACTCCTACTGCTGAAATTCCAATCGTTTCCAAGCTGCAAAGGGCTTAACAATGAACCATTTCCTGTGCCTAAAGCCTTGCACTCAGACTTATTAAGTCTTTGTAAAAATTATGACATACCACGCCACTACCATGATTTTTATGAGGTTTTGGCATGCGAAACTGTTGAGGATGAAGTACTCGTAGCAGAACATTATTCCCAAGAAGACACACCATTTCTTTATGGATAATTTTGTTATTTCTTTTTGATACCTACCGTCAAAATTAATACTTTAATACATTTTAGATCGTAGAAATGTAAATAACCTGAAGACTATGTTATTGTTCGGGTAAATAGGTATATTGGTATTTTTTCTTATGACTTAATTATGCTGTGTCCAAAACTTTAAGTAAAAATAATAAATACATAATAATAAATAGTTACGATATATTCTAGATTGATTGTAGTCATTCCAAAACAACCATATTCATATAATGTACACAGCATTCACAAGTACATTTTCCAAGTCGATCATTAAATTCATGTAACATCACTGCAAAACGCTATTACTGTATTCGCCATACATCCTCCAGCTCAGCGTACAACGTTGCAATAGACTATTGCTGTCTGATTAATTTTGCACTTTTTACCGGAATAAAACCACAATGGATTCTTACGGAAACGACATTCAATGTATGAAGCGGCAATATGATTTTTTACTTGTTTTTAGGTATTTCCTTAGATTTATAAGCTTATGTACATTATATATCCGTCCAGAAAAAAATAACGCATCTTTTGATGTATAAACCGTTTTGATGAGCCTCGTAGTTTAGTAATTATTCATGATTTTCACTAAATCTTTTTTCCTGTAAAATTGTATTTTGTCGATTGCGGCTTTGTTCCAATAACCCATCGATATTTCTAGTTCCTTTCCTTCCTTCTTGTTTATCCTTAAAAAATAGTTGTCAATTAATCAATTAATTATTTTATACCTAGAAAACTACAAAGCATGTTGAATACGTTGAGAATGTACAGCGCGCTGTTAAATTCACTATATTAGTTATATACTAATTATTTTATGCACTAATTATATTATGTACCTATAAATAAATAAAATAAATAAATAAGCCTTTTATTATTTCTCATTTTTTTACATGCAACTTTTTACAATCTTCATACCTTTATATATGTACTAGCATTGCCCGCGGCTCCGCCCGCGTTCAGATGACCAAAAACTAAATTCTTAGGTGTTACATATTAGTATACTCTTACATTGCAGTTTTTGTATTTTTCCTCAGAAATAAGATATTTTCCCGCGGTAAAAAGTATCCTAGGATCGCGCGCTACATCGCCCGGTTTATATAGCTTGAGCAGGCGGTCGAGCGATGCGGGGCAGAGGGGATGGACTCGCCGTAGGCATCTCAATACTCGCCAAGCATTAAAAATGTTTCGCTACTAATTACTTCTAACAACGATATCTCAAAAACTATTCATCTGATTGATTTAGTGTAAAGAGCAATTTTAATCTGCATTAAATGACTAAGCTAACTAAAATATTCATTTGGATAAGGATTAATACCGAACTAAAGAAAATAACTTTGAAAATAACGTAATGTTTTTAATTAAAAATGTTAACATAAAAGTGGTTATTGTAAGTCAACCGTAAGAGATAGAGATATGCTATCGCGGACTTTTTTGTAGCATTTTTATAGATTTTGAATTCTCTAGTACATTACTTAACTGTATCTTTGCTAGTTTACGCGGCGTTCGCGTGGAAAGTTCTCATTTGGCGAGATTTTTTGCGACCTCTTCAACATTTGTCGCCGTATTTCAGCTAATTTACATAAAAGCATAATAAATTATATACCTAAACCTTCCTCAAGAATTACTCTTTCTATTGTTGAAAACCGTATAAAAATCCGTTCAGTAGTTTTCGAGTTTATCGCGTACAGACAGACAGGAGGACAGACAGGAGGACAGAAAGACGCGGCCGGGGGACTTATTTTTATAAGTATAGATAATAATAAGTATAGATGTACATTTTTCACATGCAAAGTAAACAATATTTGTATTAATTTTTGTGATAATTGTATTAATGTTTGTATTGATTATTTTTTTTAATAGTATTTAATTAATTAGATTTTTAATGCATATTTTATTATTACGAGTATTATTAACAATATTTTGATTAAGTATTATTATTATTAATTTTCATTTGTAAATTGTATTTGTAATTTTTTTTTTTTATATTTAAATGAGAACCCCTATATAGGGTAAAGGCCTCCTCCATTCCCATTCGTCTTACTTCTGATATTCCGATAATTTTATATTTAATATTTTTGAGGGCGTTCGTAAGTTCTATGGGCTTGACCGGACTTGCCAACGTTCTTACGTTGTATGTGCCAATGTTATTTCTCTTTTTCTTGGAGGGTTATAGTCAAGAGAAAAACATATGTCATTTTTCTCCCCCGCGGTGACTAGCCGTATTGGGTTTTGAGTTGGTGAGAGGGGTGTCTGCTAATTGCTTAATATTGGAAGTAGAAGTTTCATTTTTCATAAAGTGTTCAGAGTCTTTTCTTTGTCTCATAAAGGCTGTGATTTTATTTTTCTTCAAGGCTTGTTTTTCATGAATGGTTTCGCTTTGGTTTGGAGAAAACTGTAGGTTGCGTTTCTTTGATTGTTGTTTATTTTTCTGATTTTTATTGGGATTGTAGTCATTCAGAACTATTAGTTTGTCGTATTTAATTATTGCTTTCTTGCCTTCTGCTTTATATTTTAGTAATTCTATTTTTAATTGTTTCCTTTTCTCCAAAACTTTATGTGGATAATCTTCCTTATAATATATAGAGCTGTTTTTATTATTTTTCTGGTTTTGTAATAATATTACTTTTTTCCCCATAGTAGTGAAGGTGACTGTAATCGGTCTCGGTTTTTCTTTGTTTTTTCCTAGTCGTTTTATTGATTCTATTTCATTTCGTTCACAAGCAATATTAATTTCGTTTAAGCATTTTAAAATTTTATTTTCTAGCTCTTGATAAGACTTTTCACCCTCATCTATTCCGAAAAATACCAGATTTTTCTTTCTGGTATGTCTCTCCATACGGTCTAAAATATTTTCCTGGTTTTGTATTTGTTCGTTTAATTGATTATATTTATGTTCTATTATTTTAAAATGTTCGTTGATATTTTTGTTTATGCTGCTCGTAATATTTATTTCAATTTCTTTCATATCTTTCTTTTGTTCTGCTAGTTCTAGTTGTATTGATTTTAAAATTTTTGTTATGTCTTCCATGGTTCTCGTTGGCTTCACGAGAATGTAACTATAATAAATTAAATGCTCATATACAATATTTTTAAAGAATAAACTGCTACTGCCCTCTAGTGGATAATACAGCTCACTGCTTTATAGTAGATGTGGCCATGTAACATCATTTGATCGATATTTATCAAAATAGTTTCACCGGATCCTGATAGATGGCGTCGCAACAAGTACTAGGTATTAATTTGATTGCTTGCGCAAGATTTGGTTTGTAGCTTGCAGATATGTACCTTTGCTATTCGCTGATAGATGGCGTGGTTGTAGTTATTTAATGGGATGACTTAATTTTTCTTTAGTGTTTTTTGAGGTTATAATTTGAACATGTTTTTTCTAAACAGTATATTTTGCACTTTTTCTTTCCTGAATATTAAATATCTGGTCTTGTTGTTACCTTGATGAGTTATTTTCTTCAATATCTCTCTGGTAGAAGCTTCGAACATTGATTTTAGTTGTCGGCAGTATTTCGGATATTTCTTAGTGAAAATTGAATTTGTGATGCACATAACATTTGTCCGGTTAATTCACACCTTATTTCACGTATTCGTCCTTTTTTCACTTCAATTTTATAAACTTTTATATTTAAAAACACAATTATAAAGCAGAGCCGATGTTGACGTGAGCACAGGCACGCCCTCTCTCTGTAGTCTGTACCTATATATGCATATAAATAATACTTTTTTATATATAATATATTAAACAAAGTCGGGCTTGTTACAACACTTATAACTCGAGAACTGCTGTACCGATTTTTATGATCTTTGTTTTGTCGGATTTGTCTTCACCTCGAAGAACTATTAAATCGTCGGATAATTCACGAAAAAAAATAAAAAAAACACACACACACACACCACAAAGAGATCAAAGAGATTCAATAAGAAAAAGTACCTACCGTCTTGTAGAGAGTTCGCTACAATTTTTTTTTAATTACATTAGACTGAAGAATAATAAATACAATGATGATTTACAAGCAACTACTCATCATATGAAGTTGTAAAAATAAATTAAAAATTTCCAGTTTGCATTTTGCAGACAATTATTACGGGCTTTAATCAATTTTCTTATTTACAATAAGCTTTTGAGTATTTTATTCAAAGACGAGGATAGAGAGAGCCTAAAGGCCTTTGGTAAGTATCTAACGTCTGAAAGAAGTTTATTTTTATTTAAAAAAGCATTTAAATGTCAATTGACCGTGACATTTTAGATAAGTAATGGAGATTATCATATTGCAATATTATAATATCATTTATTAGCAAATGATTAAAAAAAGTAAAATAAAATATAATAATATGATATGTATTAGTTACTTTCAAATAAATAAACGATACTTAAAAAAATGTTAGAAGTTATTGTTGCGGTTATAATGTGGCATATATCAGTGCTGTCTTCTTAAACAGGTTCGTATTATTTAAGAAATTAGAATCTGCATTATTTATGCAGAAGACAATAAAATTTCTGTAGCCTCAGAATTTAACAATGGATTTTGCTGAATAAATCCAAAATAAAACAACACCAAAAAATTTTTTTAATATTTATTTTGATGATAGCCCGGCTTCGGAATCCGAGTGATGTGAATTCAAACCCCGGGTTCACCTCTGATACTTTTATTTACGAATCATTTTCATACTTACGGCAAAAGAAAACATGGTGAGGAAATCTCTCAACAAAACTCATTTTTGAAAAATATGTAAAATGCGCCAACCCACACTTGGCCAGCGTAGTGGACTAAGCCCTAATCCTCCTTACGTTGAATACGCTCGTGCTCAAAAATTTATTTAGTTATATTATTGAAATAGTTATTATAATTTTATTCATCAGATTATACGTAATACTGCGCCAAAAATAACTTTACGTGTTTTAAAAATGTTAAAATTTCGGCACTTAGCAATGCAAAAGTGATGTTCTATTTATGTGTAGGTACATATATTATTGTTATATTTCTAAATAATTTCAATTCAAAATTAAAATAAACTCAAATAGGCATTCTATTATTTTAGAATTGAGTGTGTAGTGAGTGTATTCTAAAATAATATTTATAAAATATTTGTTCACAATTATTCAAGACTCTGCTCTGCGAACTAAAGGGAAATTTTTCCAAAATAGTGGTCAGTCTTAACTGAGTAATCGGTCTACTAAGTACCTAATAAATATTACAAATGTGAAGTTTGTTACTTCTTCACGCTGAAACGGCTGGACGAGTTAGGATTTTAAGTACACATATAGATACCTGTAGATGTAATACATATATAGGTTGCTGTTAAGCACCCGAAAGAAGCCAGGGTAAGTTGCTAGCAATATAATAGTTGGCCCTGTTTATTTATAGAGTAATAACTTTGCTTGCAGAGCGGTTGACTCAAGAATGAAACGCAATGAGTCGTCCAGGAGCGTCACAAGGCTATCTCAGCGCAGGAACGAGCAGCGGCCGGCGCTGACGCTCAGCTTCCGTCAGAACTCGCTTACTATCAGCTCGCTCGCTCAGCAGTCCGCTTATATCACTGAAAAAGCCCTTAAAGAGGAAGGGTAAGCTATTTCTTAATGATTCTTTAAAAAAATGTTAATTTGAAGCAGTCTCTACATTTTAAAGCTCCTTTTTTAAGTGGACTTTTATTTTATAGACATATAACAAAATATGTGCACATATTAAAATATATAAAACATACACAACACAACAGACATATAAAAATCCTTATAGTACATATTCTTAATTACTTACAAATATTATGTAATTTTTATAGAGTAATAGTATCGTTATAGTACAGGTTTAAAAAATTCATCTAAACCTGCTAAAGAAAAGTTTTAATGTCAAAATATCATTTTATGATATATATATATATATATATATATATATATATATATATAATATATATATATATATATATATATATATATATATATGAGCTGAACTGATTAATTATATATCAGATTAGCTAGATCACCTCTTCTTAACGTGGTAATAAAATGGCGACGTGAAGTTAAGTTAACGGTCTTTCTTTTCAAGAAATAAAAAGCACAGAATTAACTTATAGAAAGTTGGCATTCATTCAAGTGTGCAGATCAATCTTGTTTGTACATTACTGTTACGATATCGTTATACAATCGCATATGACAATAACATTGTACGTAATAAATTTATTTTTGTCGTGTTATATTTTGATTTCATTCTTTTATTTTAAGATTATAATGATACTAGCATTCCTCGCGGCTCCGCTCGCGTTCAGGTGACCAAAAACCAAATTCTTAGGTTTTACATGTTAGTGTACTGTTACATTGCAGTTTTTGTATTTTTTCTCAGAAATGAGACATTTTTCCCGCGATAAAAAGTATCTTATATGTTGACCCGGATAACCAGCTATTGTTGCAGTGAGTGCGAAAGCGATCCTGCACGCCCCATTGCACTGCGGCGAAGGGTTCCGCTGTGGGTTTTAGTGAGTAGGAGTCTCACAGTACCCTGCCCATGACGGCGGCAGGGTCCCCATGATGGGTTTCCCCAGCGAAAACAAAGAAAAAAAAAAATAAAAATAACCAGTAATCACCATACCAAATTTCATCAAAATCACTCCAGTGGTTTTTTCTGTGATGCGGTAACGGACAGACAGGCAAACAAAAATTCTAAAAACTATAGATTCGGCCTCTGTATCGATAATAATGTCTATTTCATTAAGATTTTCCAAAAAATATTCAATATTCAAATTCGGCTTAGTTACAATTTTATTATATGTATAGATAATGGTAAACTCGTGCTGTAATTGCAAAGCGAAGCGAAGTAATTATGGAAGTTGGGCGTAATACCCGTAAAGTGCAACTGTTGATATTATAAGCAAAATATTTTTTTCAGCTATGAGAAAGATATTTAAAATTATTATAAATCAGATTTTGCAAAAGCTGTAAAAACATAGAATAGAGTTATTACTGACTGTACAATATACATATATCTTTATAAGGAATATAATTAGAAACTGTTTATCATAATTGATTAGAAAAGAGGATTTTATCAACAAACCTATGCCTACTTCATATACCCACAATGCACACTCAAAATAAAATATCTCTACAAACGATTTATTTCTTTAATATAAGTAAAATGAAACTTTTTAAACTAAAATGTCTATTATGCAGAACAAATTAATTAAACATATATTGATTTGTTTAGCTGCAAGGATATGTTGTAGCTTTGCAGTTGGAAATGGCATCTACAAAAGGGTACGGACTCGCTCTAAGGCTTGTGCTTCCCACGTAGCTCATATCCATCCCTTCATCCTTTACGTAGTAATCATTACTTATTGCTTGTAAATCATTTCAAAACGATGATTGCTATTATTTCTTACAGTTCGGACCCAAATCAGCAAGCAACCGCGGTTTCATACTTCAGGCTAGTAAGTACTCCACTTTATTGTAACGAGTAATTTAGAAATACAATTTATGAATTGGGAGTAAATATATAATTGATTAAGATATAATATAAGGATAGTGTTCAGATTATCTGCTTCTAAAAAAAAATGTCGTCAGTTTAGATATAGGTTTGACACTTAATATTAGAAACTAATCAAGTGATCAATAATCGATTATACTGTATATGAAAAAATGTATCAGTGTATGTATGTACATAATGTAGGAACAATGCACTGCACAATGTACATGTCTGCTGCTAGGTCCGCGTTGCACAGACGCTTTTTGTCACTATTTTATGTTGCAATCATATTAATAGCTTGACTGGATACTGTGGTATACAAGTTTTAATATTATCCATACTATGACTTTTGCGTGATGCACGCAAAGAGTTTTTACTTAATATGTAATAGACTATTTAATAAAAGCCTCAATTTATTATAGAAAGTGAATGAAGTAATTATGTTTAAATATAATAAAGAGATTAGTTCTTCTTCTCAATAATATATGTCATAGTAAATTTTAAAATAGGAAACGTACCAGACAGACAGAGATACTTTCGCCTTTATAATATTAGTATAATGGATATCGAAAAAATTGTGTATTTAGTTCCATAAACTTATTTCAAACTAATGTAGTTCAGATTCGCAAAACCATGGGAGTTCTTTCTTCTGTTCGCGGGGGTGATATTCGCATCCCTAAACGGGCTCTTCGTGCCTGTGGGAGTCATCATCTACGGAGAATTCACTTCACTACTAATAGACCGGACTGTGATGAATGGCACATCGACTCCTACACTGACTATTGCTTGGTTTGGCGGAGGAAGGATTTTGTAAGTATCAATTTTGTCAAAAAAATTTTTAGTACCTGTAGCTTTCAATATGCATTTCTATGAAAATATATAGTTTATTATAAGGCATTAGTAGTCCAATGGTAACGCGCTCGTTTGGGAAACCGAGTGAAGCGGGTTCAAACCCCGGGTCTTGATACTATACCTACCTCTGATATTTTCATGTGAGAATCATTTCTAACATGATTACCAATTGCCTTACGGTGAAGAAAAACATCGTGAGGAAACCTGCATGTCTGAGAGAACCTAACAAGAATTCGAAAGACATGTAAAGTCCAACCCGCACTTGACCAGCGTGGTGGACTATGGCCTAATCCCCCTCTCGTCTTGAAGGTAGGCCCGTGTCCAGCAGTGGGACGTTAAAAAAGGGCTGAATACATAATTTATAAAATGAAAACAAACATGTTTATTTAAGTAAAGAGTAAGTTAATATCTAACATCGTAGTTAAATATTTAACATATATATGTAGGATAGATGAATAAATTGAATTCTAGTACTAATATTCCATCATATATCATCATTCATCGTACCTACTCGTACTACGTTGTAATAAGATTCCTATGATATGATTTTCAACTATGTATTACATTGTTTATTTATTTACTTAGATACACGTGATCAATTTATTAGCTTGTTCTTAGTAATCATAAAGAAATCTTGCATAATTCATAATATGTTTATTATTTAGACAAGCATTTTTCCTGTTTCGTCACTAATTTGTCTTGAACTTAAAATTCAATTATATATTTTTAGAAACGAAGAAGAGAGAGAAATCATATTGTTACTTCATACTTGGCGTTTAATTTAAATATAGTTAGCAATAATCAAAAAAATATGATATGTGTTTTATACTCGTAACATAATGTGTAAAATACTTCGTACAATAGCGAAGCGAAATTTTATATAGAGTATAGAATGCATATATATATATATATATATATATATATATATATATATATATATATATATATATATATATATATATGTGTGTGTGTGTGTATAGAGCTTAAAATTTTACATAAAAAAGGTTTCATGGCTTTTTTTCCTGCGGTAAAAATTAACCGAGTTATAGTTTTAAGTTTAAGGGATAAACGTAAAATTTAAAAAAATCATAGATAGTAGAAAAATAAGCGATTTTTTTTATTGCTTAAAAAATCTAATCTAGTATAGCAGCTGTATATTTTATTTACTAGAACAAATGCAAGTAGAGAAGAGAACCGCCAAGCTTTGATCGAAGACTCGCAAGCGTTCGGTATCGGCTGCACGGTGTTCTCCGTGCTGCAGTTCCTAGTGGCTGTCATCAGTGTCGATCTGTTCAATTATACAGCTCTAAAACAGGTTAGTAACGTTGAAATTGGTGTTTACCAAAAATTGGTTTGTAGAGCAATAGGGAAAATGAATACGATTTTATTTATTTCAAAATATTTTTTTATATTTAACCGCTAAAAGTATTTTCATGCGCGTTAAATTAAAAAATAAAAAAATATATATATACATGCATGTATTCTTTTGCAATAAAGTAGTAATATATGATCACTACAAATTTTGCAAATAAAAATTATTATTTGCAACATTTATATTTATCATATAGAATTTAGACCAGATTCGAATAAGATGGAAAAACCAGTTGCTCTATTTACTTATAATTCTCTATGTCTACTCTGAGATGACATAATGATATGTTATATTATATATTAACACCTCCAGGTAAAATTCTAAGAAATTAATTAAATTTCTAAGAAATCTATTGTTAACTGTAACGCCGGCGTGTCCGCGGTCGTTGAGGGATTAATAATTTAAAAGATGTATAGAGACATATATTACTTTGGAAGGCTGCTAGTTCTTTAAAAAAACTTTTAGTAACAATAAAGTTTATCTATAGATATCTGTATAATAAATAAAACAAAGTCGTGTTTGTTACAACACAACTTGAGAACGGCTGGACATCGGTCCATAAAAATCGTTTTATGATCTTTGTTTTGTTGGATTTGTCTTCACGCCGAATAGCAGAATAACTATTAAAACACCGGGAACATTTACAAAAAAAAATCTATTCCATATTAATACTGGTAAGCGTCAAAACGTACCCATGGACGAACCGGACAAAGCGTGGGTGAGTCGCTAGTACCTATTAATTCAAGTTACATAAGTTTTCATATTTTAATAAATGGTACATGATTTCAGATAGAGAGAGTAAAAGAAAAGTTCCTACAAGCCGTACTGCGCCAAGATATTACGTGGTATGATCTTAATACATCGATGAATTTTGCGACTAAAGTATCAGAGTAAGTTGATTTCTTTTAATCTCTTTTTTTGTTAAGTAAATAATATAAAGTACGTGAATTTATATTTACATTGTATAGTATATAAAAGGCAGCAGTATCCCAGCGGTAACAAGCTTGCTTGGAAAACCGAAAATTTGAAACGGGTTCAAATCCTGGGTCTCGTACATCTGATATTTTCAAGTACGAATTATTTCCAAGATGATTATCACTTGTCTTACGGTGAAGGAAAACATCGTGAGGAAACCTGTATGTCTGGGAGAACCTAGCAAGTGTTCGAAAGATGTGTGAAGTCCGCCCGCACTTGACCAGCGTTGTGGACTATAGCGTGATCCCCCTCGTAGTAAAGACAGTCCTACACCTGATCTCTCAACGCGAATCTCAAATTGTTAATCCACCTCAGTTTCGGAACTAATTGCCATCTATACAGTTAAATAAAATTGAAGTGTCTGTTTGTTATTTCAAAATAACAGCGTTTTACTAAATGCATATGAAATAATATACAGTACATAAAAGTAAAAACATAATTTTTTAAAATTTTGCCTGTCTGTCTGTTTGTTGCGTATAATCTCTGAAACAGCTGGATTGATTTTGACGGGACTTTACCTGGAAGATAGCTAATATTATAGGGAGCAACATAGCCTATTTATGTTTTAGAAAAAGTATTAGGGTTCCGCTCAAAAATATTAAAAATGTATATAGGGAAGAACCCGAGCGAAGCGAGGGTCAGTCTCTACTCGCTAGTAAGTAATGTATAATTAAAAAAATAAACATAATTTTGTTTAGTGACGTAGAAAAATACAGAGAGGGTATCGGCGAAAAGGTGCCGATGTTAATCTACTTGGTGATGTCGTTCGTGACGTCCGTCATCATCTCGTTCGCGTACGGCTGGGAGCTCACGCTCGTCATCCTCTCCTGCGCACCCATCATTATTGCGACCACTGCTATTGTTGCTAAGGTTGTTGTTTACTTATCTCTGTTTATATATGAAAAAATAAGTTTTTGAATACATATTAATGTATACAGGGTAATTTTATAAGAAAAAAACAATATTTTTTTCTGTCTCTCTGTCTATGTGTTCCGACTTACCTCCGAAACGGCTGAACTGTCCCAATATATCTATTGATGTATTCTTTATATTTATAAGATACTTTTATTTTAGAAAAAGAATTAGGTTTCTGCTCCATTAAATTCAAACATACCTAGGGACGCACCCAAGCGCAGCGAGGGTAAGTCTTTACCAAACTTAAACTTAGATCTGCAAGATAAGTAAGCATGAAAGGATATTTTAAGAATAAAAGGAGACGTATGTTAGAATTTTAAGAATGGAATGGAATGAAACGATACGACGATACGCGTGAACATTGTTTTGTAATATTTTAAAGGAATAAATAGTCAATAGTGTTCTAAACGCTGTAATTATTATCCCCGGATGCTACAGTACTTGACCAAACTATTGAACATAAGGTCACCGAACTTTGAAATATGTGAAATGGTTGTTTTTTTCAATAACTAATTGAAAAACCAACCTACATATTACGCTCATTTGAATATTAAAAAAATATATTTTTCTTATTGCTAATATTAAATTGTATTGCAGGTGCAATCATCACTGACGTCGCAGGAATTAAAAGCTTACAGCGTGGCCGGCGTCATCGCGGAGGAAGTGCTCGCCTCCATTCGAACGGTTGTCGCTTTCGGCGGGGAACAAAAAGAAACAGATCGGTGAGAGAATAAAGTTATCAAGTTTTAGTTATTTTCAGATTATTCTCATGTGTTTGGCGAATCTATACCTAATTTATATGTTTAATTTGAAGCTGGTCAGATCTTTGGACCGTTCAAAAGTATTAAACAAACATTTTAGATATCAACAGTTCTTGAAATTATTATCTTTCTTAGAAAATGTTTCAGTTAGTTTCAACATTTTTTTTGGAAATTTCTGTAGATATTGATGCAAACATACATAAAGGTAGTCCCACAAATGTGACCGCCTGTGACAAGGAGGGCGGAGGGTCCAAAAAATAATTAAATTCGTGTGACGTAATTTATGGATGGCCTCAGTACAAGAACAGGACCATAAAAGAGATGTAAAAAAGTCTCTTCCCAATATTTTTCAATATTATAACTCATAACAATATTCGGACGTTAAAATTATTATTTAATATCTATATAGTGTAAGGTTGTATTTTTATATATTGAGCGTTTTAATGGAAAATAATATATATTTTGATTAATTTGTAACGATTTATGTATAAGGCATTTAGTTATGTGACCTTGGCAGATAGAAATGTGTTTTAAAAAAAAAATAAAAAAAGGGCACGGATATTCATTTGCTTTCCCGCGCTTTTGCACAGAGATGTCGGTACCCACCATGTAGTGACTAGTCACGAATTGTTTGTAATACTAAAAGTTATGCTTATAAATTATGTAACACACTGACGATTATAAAAGTATTGAATATAAGAATATGTAAGCAAGGAATATCTCGAAGTTTTATTAGGGATTCTACAATAGTCAAGTCAAGTAGCTATTGAGCTAAAAAGGGTTTAACGGTCTTCGGTTATTTTATATTATAAAAATATGAACATATTATATAAACATATAAATATAAACGTTTTCCAAGCACAGGTACCAAAGTCGGCTAGACCCGGCAAAGAAGATGGGTATAAAGAAGGGCATATACTCCGGCATCGGCAGCGGGTTCATGTGGCTCATCATATACGCGACGTACGCGCTCGCCTTCTGGTACGGCGTCGGCCTCATACTGGACAGCCGATACGAGCCCGAGCCGGTGTACACGCCCGCCGTGTTGATGATTGTGAGTGTGCTGTGTTCTCATTTGTTGTGTGCGCGTGTGAGAGAGAGAAGGAGTGAGATGAAGAAAGAGAAAGAGAGAATGAAAGAGGAGATCGAGAGCGTGAATGAATTGAAAAATTATGTTTTTTAATTAATTTAAGTTTTATTTATTTTCTTACAATAATTAATTTGTAAATATTCTATTTATCTTAATAACGTCAGTTTAACTTTTAAGAATTTAATTATATTTATAACAATCAGCAACGTAATCTGTATAATCCGTATAAATGTTATAAATATGAAAGTTTGTAAGTATGTATGGATGTTTGTTACTCTTTCACGCCAGTACGACTGAACGGATCTGGATGAAATTTAGCACAGTGATAGATTATAGTCTGGAATAAAACGTAAGCTACTTCTTATCCCGGAAAAATATACGGTTTCCGAGGGGTAGATTTCTATTTGTTTTTCTAGAGGCGAACCCGAGCGAAGCAAGTTTGAGTGGCTAGTATCACATATTCTTAAAGCATGCTGTGACAACTTTACAAATTACATAATAATAAACAAACTCGGCGTTTAATAGCAATTAACTAACTTATGTATAATTAGGTATTTGCCCCAATAATAAAAGAAACCCCCCCATCCCCCAGGTGTTCTTCAGCGTGCTCCAGGGCGCGCAGAACATGGGGCTGACGGCGCCGCACCTGGAGGCCGTGGCGTGCGCGCGCGCCTCCGCCGGCGCCATATTCGCGGTGCTCGACCGCAAGCCTGTCATAGACTCGCTTTCGCTCGAAGGCAGCAAGCCCGTGCTGGAGGGGGACTTGGAACTTAAAGACGTTTATTTTAGGTACCCGGCTCGACCTGATGTGCAGGTTAGTTTGGATTTTTTCAATTGTGTTACTTTTATTTGGTCTAAGAGAAAGTGTGGTTTAACTTGTACTATTTAAATGATTATAACATTGATAAAGTCCAAGTGCAAAATACAAATATCTATACATAGTATAATAAAATTCTGGGTCGAATCTGTACATTAAATATTTTTTGGAAAATTTTATTAAAATATTCATTATTATTGATACAGAGGTCGTTTCTATAATTTTTAGAATTTTTGTCTGTTTGTCTATCTGTGACTGCATCACGAGAAAACCACTGGACAGTTTTTGATGAAATTTGATATGATGATGCTGGTTATCCGGGTCAACATATAGGATACTTTTTACTGCGGGAAAATATCTAATTTCTAAGAAATCTATTCTAAACCTTAAAACGTAACTAGGACTGAGTCTAGTATAAATAGGGAAACAGTTTTATAACTATCACTTGTCACTAGATAGCACTATAGCGAAAAATTCAATACTGTTCGTTCTGTTCGCTATGAAAATGGATATTTTTGATGACATTTCCACATCATAGCATTTCTATTATAATTAATGAGCGATTGGCTACCATTTTCGTATGGAATACTAAACAAATAATGAAATCCAATTTAATAATTAGGTGCTAAACGGTCTCAGTCTGAAAATAAACTGTAACGAGACAGTGGCGCTGGTTGGGTCGAGCGGCAGCGGCAAGTCGACGGTGCTGCAGCTGCTGCAGCGCATGTACGACCCGGCGCTGGGCGCCGTGCGCGCCTCCGGCCACGACCTGCGCGACCTCAACGTGCGCCACCTGCGCGCGCACGTCGCCGTCGTGGGGCAGGAGCCCGTGCTGTTCGCGGGCACCATCCGCGAGAATATACGGTAGGGTACACACTTTGTATTTACACTTTATCTATACTAATATTATACGAGTAGAGAGGTAAAGTTTGTGACTTTGTGACATTGTAGGGGGTAATCTCTAGATCTACTGGACAGATTTAGATGTTTGGTAAGAAGATAGTTTGAGACCCTGTGAAGGGCATAGGATACTTTTTATCCCGGAATTTATCCCTTAAGGGGGTGAAAACGGGGATGAAAGTTTGTATCGGGAATCAAGCTAGAGACGAACCCGAACGAAGCGAGGGTGTGTCGCTAGTGTTGTTATATTACGGTAAGGTTACGTACACTTTGTATCGTTATAATATAACGGTAGGGTTACACTTCATACAGTGAAGTACAGTTGTGACGGGCTTGCGTATTACATATTATGTTTTTTGAAAATTCAATGATGTAGATGTAGATTTAGGTATCTTTAACCATTTTATAAATTCTTCCTATTTATTGAACTGTGTAAAATAGACAGTTGAAAATGTTTGTTTAGATCTTTGACTGATTATGCTTAATAAAAGTTTGCTCGATGTATGTAATATCAAATGTATGTAATTCATAAAAAAAATTAATGTCTTCTACTACATTAAAAAAATTTAAATATAGTTTTTTTTAATATTCTGTATATAGAACTTATATGTAAGTTCTATTTTTATATGATATATTTTTTTATTAATAATTATAGTATGAGCAATCCATCGTGCACTGATGAAGAAATAATAATGGCGTCGAAACAGGCTCACTGTCACGGTTTCATTAAACATCTGCCTAATGTGAGTATTGTTAGTATAGTACCTACCTAAATAATTGAAAAAAAAATTGTCTTATATCAAAGACGATAATGACTTGGAGAAGAGATGACTTGTAACTTAGAACTTAGAGCCAACATTCTGGCTCTCAGGTTTGCACGTTGTACGAAAGAAGTTTAAATCATTCACTTCAGAGCCTACTGCTCCGCATTTTATGCAGGCAGCTTATGGGATATAGTCAAAAAATTTTTACACTCTTTGTGTCTAGTATGTATAGTAATGCGCTTAGATTGCTGTTGGGCTCGTTTTTGTTGGCGCTTCAGGTATGTTGGCCGAGGCACAGATCATATAATACTATACTAGTAATAATATTATATTTTTTCATGAACTTCGTGTCTTCATCTTTTTAGTTAGCTTTTATGCAGTCCGGTTTTTATTTTTATAATATACTAGCATTGCCCTCGGCTCCGCCCCCGTTCAGATGACAAAAAACCAAATTCTTACGTTTTACATATTAGTATACTCTTACATTGCAGTTTTTGTATTTTTTCTCAGAAATGAGATATTTTCTCGTGGTAAAAAGTATATGTCGACCCGGGTAAACAGCTATCAACATACCAAATTTTATTTAAATCCCTCCAGTGGTATTTCTGTGATGCGGTAACAGACAGACAGACAGACAGACAAAAATTCTAAAAACTATAGATTCGGCCTCTGTATCGATAATAACGTTTATTTCAATAAGATTTTCCAAAAAATATTAATTGTACATATTCGGCTTAGTTATAACTTTATTATATGTATGAAACACTAGGGCTACGACACGATGATAGGCGAGCGCGGCGCGCAGCTGTCGGGCGGACAGAAGCAGCGCATCGCGATCGCGCGCGCGCTCGTGCGCAAGCCCAAGATACTGCTGCTGGACGAGGCCACCTCCGCGCTGGACTCGCACAGCGAGGCCAAGGTGCAGCGCGCGCTCGACGCCGCCGCCGCCGGCCGCACCACCGTCATGGTCAGCCACCGGTACGTAGGCACTGATATATATACCTACACACATACATGTGTATATAACACGCACATCCTTTTTATACTTTTCTATTTTTATTAAGACCTTTTTATACATTACATTTTGTGACTTTGTAAAAACTTTTTAATAAAAAAATAAAAACCGACTTCAAACAAAAGCACTAAAAAGTAAAAAATAACTGATTGGTAGCTTTCATTTACTATACATACCTAATCAAATATTTTTGAAGTCGGTGTGCTTCGCTTTGTATGGGCTGGCACCGATTTCGATGGTATGTATTTAATAGGTAGGCTTTAATTACTTAGCCAAAGCACACCGACTTCGAAAATATTTAATTAGGTATGTATAGTAAATGAAAGCTACCAATCAGTTATTTTTTACTTTTTAGTGCTTTTGTTTGAAGTCGGTTTTTATTTTTTGTTAAAAAGTTTTTATTTTTCCCTTTTTAGTGTAGACAGTAGTAGCAAAGTATGAATTCTAAAGTGTTAGGCTTGTCGAATCAAACAAAATAAGCCCAAACTCAAAGTATCTACTATTAGCCGTTGAAGAGTTCCACCTATCTACCTTCTGGCCTTACCATTAAATCAGGTCAACAATACCGAACCATTGTACTATCAACGGAAATAGAAACACTTGCAAAGTTTCAAGTCAATATGACAATTATTTCCAACATGATTACTATATCTTACCGTGAATAAAACATCGTGAAACCCGCATGTCTGAGAGAACCTAGTCTGTGGAAGTGTATTGGCCAGTGTGGTGGACTATGGCCTGATCCTACTCATACTGCAAGGAGACCCGTGCCCAGCAGTGGGACGCTAAAAAAGGGCTGAATACTACACTATATAGCTTACTAGCGATTACTTGTGCTTAACAGTGTATATGTGTTATTAAAGATATCTGTGCAGCCGTTTCAGCGTAAAAGAGCAAACATACACACATGCACACTTTTGCATATGTAATAGTAAATGAGTTCATATATTGCTTTAACTAATAACTTCACTAAAAGGTATATATGTAGATATACCTACTCAATATAAAAGTTACGATTTACATATCTACAGGAAATGCTCAAATGAACTCGTTAAATAATTAATTTTGTCATATGTCATCACCAGGCTATCAACTGTGCTGAATGCAGATAGAATTGTATTCATTGACAAAGGCGAAGTCGTAGAAGAAGGTACCCATGAAGAGCTTTTGAAACTGCGAGGGCGCTACTACCAATTGGTGCTGGAGAACGAACCGAGTATAGCGCCAAGTGAAAACACCGGGAACACAGACAGACGTAAGTATTTAGAACACATCATAAATTTATGCATGCAACTAGTTTGAACATAAATAATATTGGTAAATTTATTCGACATTTGACATTACGCGAATATTTGACATTTCAAATAAAACTATTTTTTCGGATTTTTTCGCGAATATATTTAGATTTTTGGTTCCCGACGTTTCGAATGCTTTACAACAATCATGGTCACGGGAGAGACTAAAGTTTAAGATGTCTCAAAAGCATTATATACTTGTTACATATATACTATTCTTTTCTTATTTCCGTGGTAACTAGTGTTTTTAATTTATGATGAAAATATGAAGTAGCAAAAAGCTAAGACACAAATATTTTCTAATAAAGAGCAAACGCTAAACATTTTTCTAGGTAATAAAAATTGTCATAGCGCTACATAATAACACATAGTTATAAAGTCAGATATTCTTTTATAGCAAATTGATTGTTTTTAACAATATTAATTTTTATCAATCGTAAATATTTGAAATTATTTGTACTAATTACAAATTTAAATAATTTATTTAATTTCAAATATGAATTGAATGTTGGTCCTTCGAGACTTTCGTTGTTCTGTTTTTTTTTTAAACTCGTAAATATTGTAGTGTTTTGAATATATAATTGTAAAGCGAATCGTAATTACGTCTCCTGTGCATCACCAAAAAATTTTACTTCAATTATATGTTTTTTAAATACCCAGTGTGACTAACACATTACCATTTGATAAATGGTAACAATTGTAATGGTAACTGCTTACATTTTCATTAATTTTATAAAATGCTTAAAATAATAATTGATAAAGAGGAATAAGTATATTTCGAAAGTGGATATAAAAATCTGATATCTAGCACGCTTTCACGCTACATCTGCACCAATTTAATGGCAATTTTCTTCCAGATAGGTTTTCCAACGTAGAACTAACACGTTAACTATTGAAAATCCACAGCTAACTCTGATCCAACCACAGATATGATACGAAGACCGAAGTTACAAAAATTGGTTTCACTGGATTCTATGAAAAGCGAATCTCTTGATGAGGACTCCGGGTCTGAAGATAGTGTTGTTTTGGAAGAGAAAGAAGAAAAAGAGTTCGAACCTACGACGTGGCAGATTTTGAAGTTATGTGAGCCTGAGAAGTACTTGATGGCGATAGGAATTATAGCAGCTATTGCGGTCGGCTCTTCTTTCCCATGCTTTGCTATACTTTTCGGGGAGACTTATGGTGTAAGTTTTTGATATTTTTTTCTAATTATTTATAAGTTACTAGACACTCACCCTCGCTTCGCTCGGGTGCGTCGCTTTTCCATACAAACTTTCATCCCCATTGTCACCCCCTTAAGGTAGATCCAAAGATTATCCCATACAACATCACAAACTCGTAAACTTTATCTCTTTATAATATAAGTATAGATTTTATGATTATTTCCAAATGTTTTTTTTATATATTATTTTTATTTATTGACATTATAACTCATACAAAATATATAAACATAATTTACTTCAAAGTCTTCTTTGCACTATCGAATCTGACTTAACAATTCCACAAATCTGTAACTTTTATTTCCCAAAAATATTCTATTTATTTAATTTTCATGACACATTAATACTTATTTTTTGGATTAACAGATCAAAAAAACCTAATATTTTATTGTTTTTGGGCAGTTATTGGAAAGTAAGGATGAAGATTACGTCCGTAGCGGCACCAACATAATAGCGGTACTGTTCTTATTGGTAGGAGTGTACACCGGTGTAGGCATATTCTTCCAGATATTTATATTTAATCTAACAGGCGTCAGGTTAACGGCGAGATTGCGGTAAGATAATTTCATTTTATTTTTATTATAAGTCATAACTTGACCATTTTTGAATTTCTATTTTTTTTATGTATGAAAATGTTTACAATTTATTTCAACTTTATAAAAAGTATTAATGATTCTTACATTTGTATACTACATGGTATCTTTATCGCTTGCCAATTGATTTTAGAATTTAATGATACGTTTTAATATCTCGCAGGTTATTTATTGTAAAGACAAAATGATAAGGATTTTGTAATAAAAAAATTTGTATCAAATAAAAAAGTATTTTAAATATGTATTTTTTAAACACAGAGTGGCGGCATTCCGGACCATGCTGCAACAAGAAATGGGTTGGTTCGACAACCCTTTGAACGGCGTCGGCGCGCTCTGCTCGCGCCTCGCGGCCGACGCCGCCGCCGTGCAGGGGGTCAGCATCATACACATTACTAGCTTACTACTTCCCTTTTTTATATTGGGAAATGCAATTACGCATACCACCTGTAGACTACTTTCCTAGGTGCTTAACTTTAACGTATGTGTTATACCAAAACATAATATATCTTAGTACTCATCCAAATCCGTCCGTTTTAGCGCAAAGGAATACAAAGGATACGCACACATATACAAATTTTCACACATTGTGTAATTATAGTAATTTGTTAAGTAGTAGGTAAGTAGTTAATTTTTATTATTATGTCTTACCTGAAAGCTGAGATAAGCTTATCTGTAAGTAATGATAATTATTCTAAAAAAATATTTTTTTAGATATACTCGTAGGTATACGACATATCTTAACTTTTATCAAAACATAACGCGAAATATTAACTATAGTTGGTAGGTAAATAGGTAATCTATACATATAATAAAATTGTAACTAAACCGAATTTGCACCTTAATTTTTTTTTGGAAAATCTTATTGAAATAGTAATTATTATCGATACAGAGGGTGAATTTATAGTTTTTAGAATTTCTGTCTATCTGTCTGTTACTGCATTACTAGAAAACCACTGGATAGATTTTGATAATTTTGAAATTTGGTATGATTATAGCTGGTTATCCGGGTCAACATATAGGGCTTTTTACTGCGGGAAAATATGTTATCTCTGAGAAATCTGTACTAACCGTTAAAACGTAACTAGGGGTGAACCCGAGTGGAACGAGGGTGAGTCGCTAGTCATTTCTAAAATATAATTCATTACCACATACAGGCAACGGGTACCCGTATCGGGGCTCTGATGCAGGCGTCGGCCACCATCCTGATAGGCATCATAGTGTCGATGTACTACACGTGGCGCATGACGCTGGTGTCGCTGGTGTCGGTGCCGATGGTGATCGCGGCCGTGGTGCTGGAGGGCCGCGTGCTGGCGGAGGGCATCGCCGCCATCCGCGAGGCCTCCAACCGGGCCACCACCATCGCGACGGAGGCTATCACTAATATTAGAACGGTTTCTGCTTTTTGTAAGTGCTGTTTTTGTTTTCTATGATGAATTGTGAAGGTTTAAGTTGTTTAATTTCTTATGATGTTTGTTTGTGCGAAATTACTATCTCGTATTTTAATCACAAGCGGCAAAAATATACGATTGCGAATCCAGGTTAGGTCTATAATATGAGTATTAGGTTTTTCGTCAAAAAAATCTCAGTAGGATGAAAGCGTTAGGAAGTATTATGTTTTACAAAGAGTTTAAAATTATCGGTCCTGCATCTAATTTCTTTCTGAGTAATAACCCCAACGGACTAAGAGAGTAAAAAAAAACAAATTCGAAGTGTTTGGGCTACAGGGGGGTAAAATAATGAGATACGTCATGTTATAATGTCATGTAAAGAAAAAGTGTACACATCATTCATGTTCATGTAAACAGTATACTATAAGTATTAGGATCTTCAATTCAATTATTCATATCCATACTAATATTATAAATGTGAAAGTGTGTTTGTTTGTTTTTCTTTCACGTCGAAATGGAGCGACGGATCGAAGTCAGTTTTTTGTATAGGTGGAGGGTTGGGGAACTACATAGGCTACCTTTTACCGCGGAAAATTATCTTGTTCCCACGGGAAAACACGTTATAATACAATCAAAAAAATATTTATAATCAAAATTACATGTAACTTGGTATTAAATAATTAAATTAATATCTATACTAATATTATAAAGTGGTAAAGTTTGTGAGTTTGTGACGTTGTAGGGGGTAATCTCTGGATGTACTGAACCGATTTAGATGAAACCTGGTAAGAAGATAGTTTGAGATCCTGGGAAGGATATAGGATACTTTTTAACCCGGAAATCATCCTTTAAGAGGGTGAAAATGGGTATGAAAGTTTGTATGGGGAATCAACCTAGGGACGAGTCGCTAGTCCATATATACGATAGGTGGGGAAGAGGGCGCGCTGGCGCGCTACCAGCAGGCGGGCGTGGGCGCGCGCGTGGCGGCGCGCAGCAGCCTGCGCTGGCGCGGCGCCGTGTTCGCCTTCGGGCAGACGGCGCCCGTGGCGGGCTACGCGCTGTCGCTGTGGTACGGCGGCGTGCTCGTCGCCGACAGGGAGGTGCAGTACAAGGACGTCATCAAGTGAGGGCTTTGGTTATTTATACAAATAAATAAATATAGGATCAGAGAATGCAATTCAAAGCACTTGATAACTCACCGACTAGGTATTTATTATATTAAAAATTACCGATAACAATATTCACGCGAACCGTCGTGTCGCCATTATAACACAACATTCTTCTTTTCTTTTATTCTTAAAATATTATTTTACGGATACTCATCTTGCAAATCCCACATAAAATAAAAGTGTATGTTTTTTATATCAAAATAAAAGGTTAAATACATACGAAAGTAGGTATATATAAACTATATAAGTGTGGGAAATTTCATACTCCTCCGTCCGCGCAGTTTTCGTGAAAAGGGATATAAAAGTTTTTGCTTCACGTATTAATACATAGATTCTATTTTATTGTTATTGAACAATTAAATGAATATGAGCAGGGTATCCGAGGCGCTGATATTCGGTGCGTGGATGATGGGGCAGGCGCTGGCGTTCGCGCCCAACTTCGGCGCGGCCGTGCTCGCCGCCGGCCGCGTCATGACGCTGCTGGAGCGCCGCCCGCTCGTCGAGAGCACGCACGCGCCTTCCGTGGCTGAGAACTATGTGAGTTGTTGTTCATTACTTACTATGTCTAGAAGTATGAAACCGGAATTTTTTTGTAAAAATTACAAGTCTGTTGTTTGAAAATGATAAGAAATATTTTATTCAAAATAATTTCCATTGCTATGTATACATCTTTCCCACCTCTCCGGCAATTCATGAATGCCACGCTAAAAAAACAGTTCTTCATTTGAAGCGAATCAGTTATTGAGCCATTTTCGCACATTTTCATACGAATTGAAGCGTCGTTCAGCGAGAGTGTGTTCCAGTGATACGAATAGATCATAATCGGACGAAGCCTGGAGAGTTAGCCGCATGCGCTAGAATTTCCCAACTGAACGCCTCGATCGTTTCCCTGATCCGTTTTGCGGCGTGTGATGGGGCATTATCATGAAGCAAAATGACGTTGTGTTGTCTTCTTTCATATTCCGGTCGTTATTCACGTAATGCTCGATTTAAATCGATCATTTGCTTTTGGTAGCGATCAGTGTTAACGGTTTTCCCAGGATTTAACAGCTCATGATAGATTATACCCTTCTGATCCCACCAAACACAGAGCATCGTCTTCTTTCCAAAGCAAGTTGGTCTTGCAGTAGATGTCGATGGTTCGCCTGGATTCACCTAAGATTTATGACGCTTAGGATTCTCGAAATATATCCATTTTTCATCATCTGTTACGATTCGATGGAGAAATGACTTTATTTTGTACCTGTCGAGCAGAATTTCACAAGTGGTTTTTCAATTTTCTTGCTGCTTTTCATTCAGTTCATGGGAAACCCATTTTTTCACTTCCTGAATCTTTTCCATAGCTTTCAAATGAATGAATACGGCTTTCTGTCACATTCAATTGATCCGCGAGTTCTTGTTGAGTTTGAGTATCATCTTCATTCAATAAAGCTTGCAATTTGTTGTCTGCGAAATTTTTCGTTGGTTTTCCACGGTTTTCGTTTCTCAGGTCAAAATCACCACTTTTGAATTTTTTGAACCACTCAAAACACTGCGTTATACTAAGAGCATGTTCACCGTAAGCTTCGACAAGCGTTCGATGCGACTCTGCGGCAGTTTTCTTTAAATAATAACAGAAGACCAATCTTCTTCTTCCTGCCCATTTCCCAAATCACTTGGGGTCGGCGTAGTACATCAGTGTACTGCTGATAGGATTTGGCAAAAGTTTTACGACCGGCCGCCTGCCTGACGTCAACCCTCCTTGGGAATAATAACAGAAGACCAATGCTGTCCACAAATCGTAGTTCGTAGGTACAAAACTCGACATGTTTAAGGTTATAGAAAAATATAACGGTGTATGAAACTGGGGTTGTTGTGTATTTAAAATCTTCGTCAGGTGTTAGAAGGAGATAACCGCTTCTGCAGCACAGAAGCGGTCTTACGGTCCTTAAACTGATGACTAGTACCATCTGTAGGGAAATTCCGGTTTCATACTTCTACACCTATGTATATTGTAAACTAATAGTTTCTTAGATTTTATTGTTATTTGACATTTTAAATAAAAAATATCTTTTCGAATTATTTCGCGAATTTATTTAGATTTTTCGTTCCCGACGTTTCGGACGCTTTACAGAAATCATGGTCACGATAGTAAAGAGATAGAAAAGATATTTAAAAAAAATATAAAATATTGTAAACTAGTTCACTGTTCATCTAATGGACGTAACATTTAAATTATATTTGTGATGGTTGGAGTTCATACAAATATTCTATGAAAATAGCACTTTCAAATGCGCTTTTCCTGATTTTTTAAATTTTTAGACAATCTATTTTTTTGCTAAAAACTATTTGTTCTATTATTATTGATTTTTTTTTTAAATTAACCAATTAACGAATAGAAAGCACTTCATTTTTGTTTATATAAATAGAGTAAATATGAATAATTGCCCAATAAATAATATTAAATACACTAGGTTCAGTCACGTATCATCTACAATATTTCCTTTTTAAAGTTGTAAAAAAAACAAATTTAAAAGATAGGAAACTGTTCTTAGCCGGAAGCTGTTATCCAAATCGAAAACTAAAAATTATGAAAACTGTAAAAAAACAACTTTAAAAAAACACTAAAAAGTAAAAAATAACTGATTGGTAGTTTTCATTTTTTTAGTAATTCTAAAGTATTAAGTTTGTCAAATCAAACACAATAAGTCCAAACGCAAAGTATTAGCCGTTGAAGAGTTCCACGTAGCCACTTTATGGCCTTACCATCAGGTCTGTTCGACAATACCGAATCACTACATTATCACATAATATGACAATTATTAGAAGTAGGTAAAATTTTCATTAGCTATTTTTCCACCCTTAAGAGTAGTATTTTTTCCAAATCTATATGGGACTAAATTGGAAGTATACACTTTCAAACAAAAAGTTTTCCAAATCGGTTAACAAATGACAGAGTTCTGAGGTAACAAACATAAAAAGAAAACACAAACCCGAATCCTTTTTGAAGTCGGTTGAAAAACAATATGATTTCACCTAATCCTTCAGATAGCCCAAGGCAAGATCCAATACAAGAACATAAAGTTCCGGTACCCGACGCGGCGCGAGGTGCAGGTGTTGCGCGGGCTGTCGCTGCAGGTGCCGCGCGGCGCGCGCGTGGCGCTCGTGGGGCCCAGCGGCTGCGGCAAGTCCACGCTCATACAGCTGCTGCAGCGCCTCTACGACCCGGACGACGGGAATGTGGTATGCTAGCTCTTACTATTTGTTGTGTTTACTTCTTCTTTATTGGTTTTTAGGAAGAATTTTGAATTAATTAGTAGGGATGTTGCTCCTTTCTATTTGTTTTGCCTTCTTCTTCTTTATTCGTTTTTAGGTGTGCCAGTTAAGAAAAAAAAGCGGTCATGAGGACTGCCGACTGTAAACTTAAAACTATAAACAAACAGTTGTTATTTTTAATATTCATATTAATTATTTGATCTTAAATTGAAATTTGTAAATTAAAATTGTTTACATTTATCTGGTTTTGACATCTATCGGAACTCTGAGTGTTAGCGTTAACACGTGACGTGACCTTGTCGATGACGACTTACATGAATTTACTTCCCATCCAAACCTTTCTATAGAAGTTTTCACTTCAATAATTTAGGATTAATTAGTAGGGAGTGTGATGATGGGAATGTGGTATGTTGTGTCTGTTTGTTGTTTATGTATTTTAGATGTGGTACTTGAGTAGAATTTAAGATCAATAATTATTATGAGGGAGTGTTGTATGTTTTGTTCTGTGTCTTTGTTGTTTACAACTTTTTAATGTGTCTCTCGAGTGGGAATTAGGAATATTTAGGTTTGAAGATGAGACAAATTTGGATATTTAATTGAATACTGATAGGTAGAAAATGGTTTATGCTTGTTTATTTTATTTTTATTTTGTATTTAAATTAAATTAAAATAAACTTTATTCCGTTTACAATTAGTACCCCTTTTGTATCGTCAATATTAATTTTTTTTTACAAAAATGTAAGAAAATTAGAAATACTAAACTGTAATAATTAAATAAATATAATATTCTACAAGGCTGTGGCAGCCTAGTTGTAACACGCTCGCTTGGGAAACCGAATGAAGCGGGTCCAAATCCCGGGTTTCGTACCTCTGATATTAAAATCAAACCTGCATGTCTGAGAAAACCTAGCAACTTTTCGAAAGACATGTGAAGTCTGCCAACCCGCAATTGACCAGCGTGGTGGACTATGGCCTGATCCCTCTCATATTGACGGGAGGCCCGTGCCCAGCAGTGGGACGTTAAATACAACACATACAATATTGTACACGATTCGAACCCCTCACCCCGCAGTACCTGGACGAGTACAGCATCACGGCGGACATGCGGCTGCCGACGCTGCGCCGCAACCTCGGCATCGTGTCGCAGGAGCCCGTCCTGTTCGACCGCACGGTGGCCGACAACATCGCGTACGGCGACAACACGCGCCTCGTGCCCATCGAGGAGATCGTCGCCGCCGCGAAGGCGGCCAACGTGCACTCCTTCATTGCGGCCTTGCCCGATGTGAGTCGTTCTTTCTCAAAATCATTTCCTATTATTTCAAATCATTTCCTATTAAATTAATTTATTATTAAAGACTTTAATTAAATTATTTTTGATGATTTTTAATTATATAAATTGTTTTCTTACGTATAGTTTAAAGACTCCTCGTAAGCCAGCTTAACACTATACTTACAGTATATACAGATTGATAAAATTGAAGTGTCTGTTTATAATGTCAAAATAACAGCTTTTTTACTAAATGCATATATATGAAATTATAATACGGTATTTATAAGAAAACCACATTTTTTTAATTTTTTGTCTGTCTGTCTGTTTATTCCGGCTAATCTCCGAAATGGCTGAGCCGATTTTGACCGGACTTTCACAGGCAGATAGTTGATGTTATAAGGGGTAACTTATCTACTTTTATTTTAGTAAAAGAATTAGGGTTCCGCTCAAAAAAGCGAAACGAGGGTGAGTCTCTAGTGCTTTAAATCAATAAAAATAAATATATTGATTTAATAGATTTTTATTATAAAACTTATATAATATGATCTTTCCATTTATCAAAAAAATTTTTTTATAAAACCCAATTGTCAATTTTACGGTATTATCAATTGCCATTGATCGTTTACTAGTGCAATTGAAGCGATTGTCAATCGCAATTACGCGATTGAAAGCAAGTCATGGAAATTTTACTTGGTGCTTATTGACAGGAGCCATTGAAGTTGCTAATTGATCGCTTACTGAGTCATTGGCAATCGTTTTCGTCATTCGCGCGTCTGACAGCAGTGAAAACAATAAACAAACTCCTAGAAGCCACGAAACAAAAGTGTTGAATTGAAGCATAATGAGCGCAAACACATTGTAAGATGGCTTCAATCGCACTTCAATTGCAATTGATAATATTTTTGCACTTTTTGCACGTTGACAATTGATTGTCTGGGATCCGCTTTAAAAATGAATATTCGTAACATTGTATAAGAACTACCCACCAGGGCTACAACACGCGCATCGGCGCGCGCGCGTCGCAGCTGTCGGGCGGGCAGAAGCAGCGCGTGGCCATCGCGCGCGCGCTCGTGCGCAACCCGCGCGTGCTGCTGCTGGACGAGGCCACCTCCGCGCTCGATACGCACAGCGAGCGGGTACGGACCTACAGCTTTACCATACCTACTGATAATCCCTGTTTTCTAATTACAGAGCATAATGCCGCACTTTGGCGCACAAACACGAACGACGTGAAAGAACACTTCTTTTATTTTCTCATTTCTGTTACTGAGTTGATATCCGTTGCGCGCATCATGCCAAAGGAAAAGCAGTACTTTTCAAAGTGCTCGACTGTGCGGAGCGTTGCTGTAGTTGAAACATTCGAAGTTGAGCATTATGCCGCATAAGCGCTTTAGTGCTGTAATTGGAAACGCCCAATAGCTCTACTACTATCATAGATCTACGAATATAGGACTACAATTGGATATGATCCGTAGGAAATCAGACGCAGGACCAACAACTTATACGCACATAATAAAACAAAAAGAATTCCCCTAATTGAATAATCCTCCTAACATTTTAAATCGAACAAAACTTTTAAGGGGCTATTTTCACCGTGGTTTATAAACGCGCCGACGATGCACATGTCATGAACATTTGTACTTCATCACCGCATAGGTATACTGCGCTGACTCAAAAAAATCATATTATTTGTGTCCGTATCGATATAAAATACAATATATTATGATATACGTGCAACGACAGCGTGTTAAACATACTCATACAGTACAAAGCCCTAGGCGAGTGTTTTTGTACCTATATCATGTAGTACATTAAACATTACGTCGTCTATACAAGTTCTAAGTTTAATAATCTCATTTTACCAACCAATCGCCTTCGTGTCTTCTCCATTCTAAGTGACATTATCGAAGTAATCTTTACTCAACTGGCACCTTTTAAAGCTACTAACAATAAAATAAACTACATACAAAATAAAACTATTCTACCGTCTTACAGCTAAACTAGTACGGAGGGCAGTGTTTATTTAAACATTGTTAGCTTGATTTTTAAATACTCGTTTATAAAAGAGCTGTTTATTGTACAATAAGCTGTTGATGTAATTATATATAAATAAATGAAATTGAGCTTTGTCTGTTCCCCGTCAGGTAGTACAAGAGGCGCTGGACCGCGCGAGCGAGGGCCGCACGTGCCTCATCATAGCGCACCGCCTCGCCACGATACAGACGGCGGACGTGATCTGCGTCATCGACCAGGGCGCCGTCGCGGAGATGGGCACGCACCAGGAGCTCATAGCGCTCAAGAAGATCTACGCGCGCCTCTACGAGCTGCAGTGCGGCTTCGTGGAGGAAACCGAGGAAAATCTACGCGAGGAGCAAAACTCTTAGACGCATGTTTTTTTTTGAAGTGAAAACTATGTATAAGCAGGTTTTTATTGGATGGTGAGTAAATTCATGTTAAGTCGTCATCGACATGGTCACGTGACGTGTTAACGCTAGTGCCTATAGATGTCAAAACCAGATAAATGTAAACAATTTTAATTTACAAATTTTAATTTAATTTAAGATCGAGCAATTAATTTGAATGTCCTAAAATATCAACTGTTTGTTTGTTTATAGTTTTAAGTTTTCACTTCTGTCGGCGGTCCTCAGGATTGCTTTTTTTTAATAAATAGGTTTGTTGCCTTCTGACATTTTTGTCTTGAGTTTATTCGTCGTTCTAGATATTTCTTTGAGTCGTTTAGAAAAACCAAATAGCCGCAGAATGTTATGAGTAATTGGTAAAATGTAAATACTTGGAATAAGGCACTGGTAACGAAAAAGTTGAAGGCGGGAAAATTGTAAAAATTAAAATTGTTAAGTTTCTTTTTGTTTATTATTCTAAATATAAGTAACACTGTGTATTTGCGAAGCAAAATATACTATATGAACTAAATAAAAAATATACAATGTTTGTAAATGTATGAATAATAATTAATTAAATATTACATTAGCCAAATATATTTAAAATTGGGATCTTTACTTATATTATCATGTAAAAACATGCTAAAAAAATAATGTGGATTTAGGTAATTTCACGTATTTTATTCTCGACTCTTCTAAGTCAACATTTTTTCAAATAATTTTCTATAAGAATAATATTTAAATTTAATTGATATTTGTATTACAATCAAAATCGATATAATTTTAATGGTCAAAATATGTAGCTGTAAATAAAAATGGTAAAACATTGGATACTGATTATTCGATGATTTTTTTTCTAGTCATTTAGTGGGTTAAGCTGTTCACATACATATTATATATATATAGTTAAAAAGAAAATATTATTTCTAGAAATATCATATTTTATACAAAATTATAGTATATCTAAATTCGAACTTAATGTAGAACATATTTATATTTATTTTCATAATATGTATACACCTATGTTTTTAGGTATATGTTTAAATTAATTTTACTTTGCATGAAAGTTTCCTATTTTACTTTTTCCTTTATTTTCCGTTATATTTTACAATTTCCAATTTTAAAATTCACCTTGTGTATGTAAATGTTTTTTTTTAACGTGATTACCACTTGTCTTACGGTGAAGGAAAACATCGTGAGGAAACCTGCATATCTGAGATAACCTAACAAGACATGTTAAGTCCGCCAACCCGCACTTGGCCAGCGTGTTGGACTATGGCCTGATCCCCCTCACATTGAAGGGAGGCCCGTGCCCAGCTGTGGCACGTTAAGAAGGGCTGAATACATACATACATGTAAATGTTGATAAACTATATATGTGTATTTGCCATTAGGGCACATAAAGTGAACATAACTTCCCCATACCACAGTGTATACAGTACTACACTAGTACAAATAAAATAAATAAATAGCCATAAAAAATTAGACAGCTTTAATTCGGGCTATTTTTGTTTTCTTATATAAACGTTAGATGGCGTTAATCTGTAAACTTTCTGTAAAAAGCGCCATCTATGAATACGTACTACAAAGTCATTATTTAATGGCTGATTGTACATGTACAATAATCTGTTAAATTAACGAAGACTTCATCGCAATAATTCATTTATCTTTACGTAGAATATCTCCTACGACAAAAATGTAGCTTTTTCGGAATTATTTTTTTTCTTTTATTGATTTTACACATAATGTACATCAACAATAAGTCGATACATGTAACGCGATCTATTGACATATACCTAATTAAACTAAACTTTCTTATAATTTAACTAAATATGCCGATGTAAAACTATAATTAATTAAACAAGCAAGCAATAGGGAATACCGAATATGCGCGTGATTTAAATAAAGTTGAAATATTTTTTTTTGTAACCTTTATTGCTTTTGAATTAATCTTATGTTTATATTTTTTAATGTATCACGTTTCTTTTTGATTAAGAAAATAATTATTAAAAAGTACAAATATAGGTGGAAAATTCAAAAGTAGTTGAAACGCAACGCCTTTGGTCAGACCATATGTGACGTCGAAGTATGATATAACAGAGCCAGTGCTGCCAATTTATCGCTAAAAATGAAGACTTTTTCTTAAGCAAGTCATTTTTAGCACTAAATTAGCAGCACGGGCTCTGTTATATCATACTGAGACGTCACGCCAAGCGCGTGAAATAATATTAAATTTTAGTTTTTTTGGAACTGGGTATTTTTTTAAGAATGTAAGCTATTATCTACAAGATTAAAAAAAATCACGCATATTCCCTATTGCTTAATAAAGACAAAAACCACGAATGATACCAGTATTTATTTTTTATTATATAAATATAAAAATAAACCACCTAACTTTAAATAATTGTACTAACCATATTCCCAACATTCCTTTAGTAAAAGACGTTACCTTTAAGCCTTAGATAATATTTTTACCTACAGATTCCAACTACCAAATCCATTTGTTTTAATAATTTAGACGTAATGATATTTTATTAATAAGAATATTATACTTTGTATAAAATTGTTATTCTTATCAACAATCGTTATTTTAATCAAGATTTCAACGTGTATATTTTACCTCAGCAACTAACGGACAAAAAGACAACAAATACAATATATACCTATGTATTTATTTAGTGAATTTTGCTGTTTAAATGTAGGTGAACTAGACTTGTTTTTTAAAATAATATTAGTTATAAGTAGCTATTGTTACTAAAGTATAAATACTTAATAGTTTAATTATTAATTTTAGCTGATATGTGCCTTCATAACGATCATGTGTCTTTTCATGCCTAATATAATTTGCGGAAAATTAGATTACAGATGATTAGAGTGTGGTTTAAAATCGATATATTGTAAATTGCTTTAATTTTGTTTAGCATTTCTAGCCACTAACGAATCGAGCTCAATATGAAATTGTGATTGACATATTTTTGTATAATCTGGACGCCGTTGTATTTAAATAGTTGTAACGTAGGCTATTATGAAATATATTGTGGAATTGAGTGTTTCGTTTATTTATAACATTAATACCAATTTACTAATTCTATAATTTATACAGTTTAAAAAAAAATAAGATTAATATTAATTATTTATAAACGTGTACCTTAGTCGATTATAATCGATGATAAAGAACTTTCAAAATTTAAAGGCAACAGGGGTGTTATCATCGGTTAGAATCTATGGTGCAGTCGAGGAATAGGGAATATGCGTGATTTTTTTTGTTTTATACAATAGCTAACATCGTTATATAATAATTGTAAAAAAATATCCAGCTCTTTATGTAGAACTCTATCAGAACTACAATAAATTTTATTACTAATAGTAGTATATGTGTTACTCCAGATTAAAAACCGAGTCCAAATTTTTCTTATGCACATTTCATTTAAATCCGTGCAGCCGTTTCAACGTGACAGAGAAACAAACAGACACACAAACTATCGCATTTAATAGGATTAGAATGTATATAATAGAATTCAACTTGCAAAATAGAATTCGTCGGTAAATGTCTTTTAGAGAGATGTTAAATCAATAAAAACACATGTATATAATTATTTCTTTAATAAATATCTACCCTTAATTATAGAACAAAAGTGCTATAGGATACGTATGTTTGATTAATGAACAGGCAGTTTCGCTTATGAGTATATAAATAAAACAAAAAAAACATTAAAAATAAATTGACATTCAAAACATGTAGATATAAAAGTTATATTCAATTATTATAACATTCATATACTCTTATAATCGTGTTGGTAACATTTTATCTAAATTTTCTATAAGATCTATAATTCAGAAATAATAAAATATAACAATATCATCCCGCTAGTTAAAAATAAAATGGCGGAATGGTTACTTTACAAAATGGCGACCAACATAAAAGAATAACAAAAAAGTACATTTTATAACCATTACTCAAACATATTGGAACGATACAAAACCCTCTCTAACTATCCCGCGTAGGATATAACGTGAAGATATGTACATATGTATTTAAAATCTGACAAGTGAATTTGAAAAAGATTATTTGTTCGTTGCTTTTCAAGTATTGAACGTACTATTCTATATCACATTTCCATGAATACCCATATTCCATAATTTGAGATTGTATAACATATTTCACATAAAAAAACTGTCACAATTTAAAATTTAATAGCGGGAAAATGGCACTTTTGTTCACTTTATTTACGTGGCATAACTTCAACGTGTTTTAGACCAGCAATGGGACTAACGCCACGGATTTCGGGTTCATAGTTTTTGTAGTAGATATCTCCGGAAAGTTCTTCTATACCTACTTCAGGGTCTGATTTAGATTGCTTTGTTGCTTCATCCACTTCTTTTCGTACTTTTGTGTCGATTTCCTATAAAATTAAATATTTTTTTAAAATAAGGATGAGTATTCTACTTAGCATTTAATTAAAATCTAGATAGCTTCTTGTAAGAAAACCGGAAATACAAAAAACATCATATATGAATTTTCAATTAACGTAATAAGATAAATTAATAGTTTTAGCAGATATCCGTGCGCTTCTATCAAGAGCACAACCAGAACTACGTTACTCCTACACTAGTGCATAGTATTTTTGAAGTGAGACTTCTTTAGGCGCGCCATTCGAGGGAAATAAGGATTGGCGTTACGATTTTTGTAACGGAAACAGTTACAGGTACAGGTTACGGAAGTGAAATTTCGTTTTTAAACTATTAGATGAATATTTCAAAGAATAAATTAAATAAAAATAGATATTTATAAAAAGATACTTCTTTCATTTATCTTTAAATGTTTTATATACATATTATAAATATTTTTTTTTCTATTTTATTGTAGTAGATAAAATTAAATTTTATCTTAACACCATCTATACTACGTGAATAATAAAATATTGTTTTCTTTTTTAAAACAATAAAAAAATTACATATAATATTAAATCGTAATTATTTAAAACATAAATTGAATTTCATAACAAGTACCTATAACCTACAAAAGTTTCACTTCTTACGTTTCATTTCAACTATACGAATTTTCAAATTAAAAGAACTAAAAGGCCATGCGTTTTAGACTTATAAACCACATACAAAAAAACAGATATATGCATTTTTCATTGACATTTAAAATATTATTATGTAAGATTGCTTGTCCACCTTAATATATTAATTATGACACTAATGTTTTCTCGCGGTTACTCGTAGTACATTAAAGTATTAATATATCTTTCATAAATGTCTATTACTGAAAGAATGTTCAATATCGGACTTTCAAACCCTGGACATACAAACTATACCTCTTTATAATATTAGTGTATATAGCTAGATAGTTTATATATAACTCTGAGATTAAAAGAAAGAATACCTTAAGCTGTTCGGGTGTGACCAGTTCGTGGGACAGTATCTTGTCCTTGAAGGATGTGATGGGGTCTCGCGTCTGCCGCACCTCCTGCACCTCGTCGCGCGTGCGGTACGACGTGCCCGGGTCAGACATAGAGTGCCCCGAGTACCGGTATGTCTCCATTTCCATTACTAACGGACCTGTTTGTTGAATAACACTTTGTTTTAGATGCAATGTCTATAAAAGATTTATCAGAGATGAGATATTTTCCCGCAGTAAAAAGTATACTATATGTTAACTCGAATAACCAGCTATCATCATACTAAATTTTATCAAAATGCAGTCACAGACAGATAGACTGACAGACAAAACGTCGAAAAACTATAAGATTTGGTTTCTGTATCTATGAATAATGACTATTTCGATAACATTTTCCAAAAAATATTTAATGTACAGCCTCGAATCAGTTAAAATTTTATTACATGTATAGATTTACTTCTTTCTTTACACACAGTGCCGGATTCAACCTTAGCGCCGCCCCTGGGCCTAGTAAAAAATGCTGCCCTATTACCAAAATTTTGCATAAAGTGGGTAAAGTTTCGATAAAGTTTAATTTTTTTAAATTATTATTTTTTTCAAAAATGCAACAAAAAATAATTTATAAATGATTTCAATTTTTCGAAAAATATACTAGTTATTATTTTGTATTTAATCATTCATTTTTTGGGAAACAAAAAAAGCATTTTCGATAACACGAAGAAAACATTTTTTCCCGCCCTCCGAATTTTGCCGCCTCTAAAAATTTGCCGCCCTGGCCATTAGCCCCGAATAGCCCTAGTGTAAATCCAGCGCTGTTTACACATTTGACAGTACAATTTAATATAGTTTTATGATCTTATCTTACCGACCAATCTACCTCGTGTCTTCTCCATTCTACGTGATATTAAGTAGTCTCAATTGGCACGCTTTGAAGCCATTCACAAAAATAAAGTATAAAAAGACACACCTTTCCCACTGGTACAGTAGTCGATAGCGAAGCGCGTGGCCTCGCGCGCGGCGAGCACGTCCATGCCGTCCACCCACACGCCGGGCACGTAGTCGCCGCGCGTGTAGTACTCCGTGCTGGCCGACGCGCGGTCCACACTCGTACCCATACCTGGTCAAATCGGTCTTAAAATTTAAATCTACCGACTAATACTTTATTAGATTTACGCGAATTTTTGACATTTTTAATAAAACTACGAGTATCTTTTCGGACTATTTCGCGGATTTATTTTGATTTTTGGTTCCCGACGTTTCGAATGCTTTGCAGCAATCATGTTCACGGGAGATTATAGACGCTCAAAGGCGTTATATACTTGTTACAGACAGTGCCTACCCACTATTATATAAAAATTATTTCAAAAATTGCACCAAAGTACCTTACAATATTTGTTGATTTTAATTTTAAACATTTTAATTTTTTTATAAATATTATAATTAAATATAGCGATATTATTTATGTAATTTATATTTACTAACTAACTGACACTGTCCTGTTCGACTTATATAGGTAGATTTTCAGAATAGTATAAAATGAGCAGTTTTTGCATATTTTATTTCGTGTACATATCTCGAAAAATGTTCTAACGATTTGGATCAAATTTTGTATTTAAATAAGTGTTTACCTTTAAAGTTTTGTAATATATAAATGTATTTTCTGCAAAAATCATTTTTTACAAAAAAAAAAGATTTTTACAAAAAGAAAAGAAACATCTTTTTATAATTAATTATTGAAGCCTTTGTCAGCTGGCAATATCATATAGCGCCATCTCGCAAATATATTTGCCTTGTCGCTAATGGGTGATAATGATAACGTATTAAGCTCATCATAACTTACCATATCCATTATTCTCGCAAACAAACACACAAGGCAGATCCCATAGCTTGGCCATGTTATATGCTTCATATAGTTGCCCTTGATTTGCGGCACCATCGCCGTACAACGCAAAGCTCACTCCCCCGTCTCCTGTGTACTTATGGGCAAAGGCTATGCCAGCACCAAGAGGCACCTACAAATAAAATAGTGATAATTGTAAATATAGGCAGTGATGGCCCAATGGTTACGAGCTCGCTTGGGTAACCAAGTGAAGCGGGTTCAAATCACGATGAAGGAAAATATCGTGAGGAAACCTGCGCATCTGAGAGAATCTAACAATTTTCGAAAGACATGTGAAGTTCGGCAACCCGCACTTGGCCAGCGTGGTGGACTACGATCCCCCTCGTATTGAAGGGAGGCCCGTGTCCCGTTAATAAAAAGGGCTGAATACAATACAGTCGTAATTCATTTCATATAAGTTTTAGTCGAAGTTTTCATATCACGTTATTATATATTTGTACTGTTATTTGGCTATGGAAATAAATAATGTTCATAACGACAAGACTAATGAGTGTTACTATATTTTATAAATAATATCATAATTTAGGCAAATCTGTAAAGTTTTACAGTTTGCATTACAAGTGCATTTTTATTTAAAGTCGATAAATAATTGCAAATCTTCACTTAAAGCTTATTTTATTGTTTCCACTAATTGTCAAGCATTTATCTACTCAGGATCTGGTCTCATTTGATTTGTAATATTATATAAATATTTTTTTAACAAACAAACAATGATTTTGCAAGCTGAATATATTAAGCTATATATATTAACACATGTGTATGAAATGTCATATATTGGTAGCATAATATCACCTGAATTTTGTGTAAGACTTTTTATTTTCCAAATCTTATCTTTTTTAGATCCAAACTACGACTTCAGCACTTCATATGACGTGTCATAGAAATTGTTGTGTGCATTTTTAAAGTAGTTTTATAAGCTCGCGCCTACCTATTATTACGAAAATAGTCAAAATGAAGCTAGTATATTTAAATACAAGAAAAAGACTTACCTGAGCACCGACAATACCGTTGCCGCCATAAAAGTTGCGTCCATACAAATGCATAGAACCACCCTTGCCTCTGGAGCATCCACTGTGTCTTCCCGTCAATTCGGCAAGTACACCAAGCACACTGACCCCCATAAGGTGAGTCCATCCGTGGCAACGATAGGCAGTGATCACCGAGTCAACATCTCGCATCGCCATTCTCATACCTACTGCTACCGCTTCCTGACCTGAAAGATGAAAAAATACATCTCTATTAGGGTGGAGGGAAAAACTTTTTTTTTCTCTCAACTTGGGAACCGATTTTTTTTTAAATAACAAAATTTTTGAAAAAAAAATTTACTTAACATTTTAAGATGGCCCACTGATTTTTAAAATAGAATGTTTTTTTTTCGAGTTAAGTATCTCCTTTTAAAAAATTCAAGAATTGACGAATATAGTCATTTTCTACTCAACTTTCATATTTGATAAATATAATATGTAATATAATATGTTGGGCCACTTTTGAATTTTCTGTATGATGACACTGATTGCTATCATCTTATTTGTTGTACCACGCGAGTTTCCCCAGTTACTTCTCTGTACATAGCAGAGTGAAAGTGAGAGCAATCCCTTGGCTATCAAGGTTTGCGTCGGTAGGTCAGTCATCAGTGTGTTGTGTTTGAATGGAAAAATCATCTTAGCAGGCCTTTATTAAAACAGGGAAGGTTAACAATTAATTAAAAACAATTTTTTTAGCTAGTAAGTCATCAAATGTATGTATGGAATGTCAAAAGTATACAAGTATATAAATAGAAGATTGAGATGTTTATTTTCCCAAAAAAGGAAAACTGGAAAACATACTTAAATTCAAGCAATACAATATTTTAAATATTCTAATATTTAAAAGTGGTGATTTCACACAAAATCTGGTTCTTTGCACGACACTATCTACATAGTATCATGCAAAGAACCAGATTTTGTTTCGAGATTTTCTTGGGTTTATAAGGTTTTTGACTCTTTTACTTTATTTGGCAAAGAATTGTAAAGCTGTACTTCTTTAAATGTAATAGTTTTTATTCAAATTTAGTACGAAGATTAGGCAATTCAAATTATGTATGTTTCTAGTGTAGTGGGTATGAGTTTTAGTTTGAAAAGTTATTTAGGAGCGAATGGTTTTAGTGATTTTTTTCGTTTTTAGTATTTATTATGCATGTCTCATGTTTGTTTAATGGTTAATAATTTAGGATTTTTGGAAATATTTTTGTTGATGTGCGATAGTCAATATGGTGTTAAGTCTTTAGTCATTTTCTTATTAGGTTTGATGTAATATATTTGTAGATTTGTTTAATCTATACATATAATAAAATTATAACCAAGCCGAATCTGTACATTAAATATTTTTTGGAAAATCTTATTGAAATAGACATTATTATAGATACAGAGGATGAATCTATAGTTTTTAGAATTTTTGTGTCTGTCTGTCTGTCTGTCTGTTACGCATCACAGAAAAACCACTGGAGGGATTTTGATGAAATTTGGTATGATGATAGCTGGTTATCTGGGTCAACAAATAGGATACTTTAAACCGCGGGAAAATGTCTCATTTCTGAGAAAAAATACAAAATTGCAATGTAAGAGTATATTAATATGTAAAACCTAAGAATTTGGTTTTTGGTCATCTAAACGCGGGCGGAGCCGCGGACAATGCTAGTATATATACTAGCATTGGCATTATATATATATATATATATATATATAAATAGACTTTATTTACTTGTCAAGTGTAAATCACAGCATGTAGATGCTTTATCTATATAAAGATAACAATAAGTTTATTAGATTATCATAAAGTAAAGACTAACAAAGATTTTATGACTTACATTTATATCATTATTTTATAGTATGTATTATAAACAATGCATAGCTTCTCAAAATTGGTTGAAATTTGCAATTATTAATTTGAAAATTAATTTATGACTAGCGGCTCAACCTCGCTTCGCTCGGGTTCGTGTCTACAAATACATAAACAAATCTATCCCTGAGGAACCTTAATTTTTCCAGAATAAAAAGTAGCTTATGTGTTATTCCAGACTATAATCTATCTATGAGCCAAATTTCATCCAGATCCGTTCAGCCATTCTGGCGTGAAAGAGTAACAAACATCCATACACACTCACAAGATTTCACATTTATAATATTTATTATACAGATTCATTATTGTATAATATCATAGGCATTGTAAATTTTAATAAATTTTATGCCTTTTAAGCTGGCAAAAGGGAAAATATCTTAAGTATACAAATTATTAAATAAGAAGCCTTAAATTGACACTAAATAATTATTTAAATAATATTAAATACCTGAATACAAATGACAGAAACCACGGATAATCTTTTCTTTATATAAATTGCCTGCTGCAGTTTCAATTCTTCTAAGGACTGCAAGTTTTTCATACATTTTAAGTGCATCTTCAGCTGTCAAAGAGGCTGTTGTAGCCGGACCTTTATCCAACCTGTGGAGTTTGAAAGGCTGAAATAAAATAGTAAAATTATGTTTTAGAAATAATATACATACACAACGTGAGCGTAATGTAATGTCATACTATTAAAAGTACAAAATCGATTGAGAGTATTTTAATCTAAAACCAAAACTACTTAATATGCCATAATTCAAATGAAAACAACACTAGACTTGACATTTGAAGGTTATGTTACATAATTATAAATAAGTTGAACTTTCTATTAAAACAATTTGATTTCAATTTGACCGCCGTTCATTTTTATCTATCGCCAAAATCCAAGGTATTATTTTTCTTCATACAAATATAAAAACCTTATTGTAATTTAATAAAAACTCACTTTTATTTCGAAGGAAGCCTCTGATTTTGTGCTAAACTTTGCGTTGGTCGTGACAGCTACTGGGGCGGCTGCTTTCTAAAATACAAACACAACTTCGTTTTTATGCAAAATCCGGCACTTAAAACAGAAATAGTTCTTAAATAAACTAAAAGCATTAAGCCCACCGTGATTGTAGATCCGCCGAAAAGCTTAACTGCAGATGGAATTAACTTGCTCATCTTTATAAATATTTCTTCAATAAAACCCAGTTTATTTAGTAATTTACGTCGTGGATTTGTTTATTAATCTACTTGACGATAAATTTGATTTAATTAAATCTCTTTTTTGCCGACCCCAGATGTCCTTACGGCTTACACCTAACCCACCTATTTTCAATTTTTCAGGCAAGTGCTTTTTGCTAACAAGATTGACCGTTTGACGCAAGGTGACATCTCCTGACACATGTCACATTAGGACAAAAGGTCATTCGCATTTGACTGGAAATTATATATAATCGATTATGAAATACTATTAACAAAAAATGATATCTTAAGTTTTTTAAATTATAATGATAATTATAATTATAAAAATAATTATATCAAAGTTTAAAGCAAATATTTGTAGGAAATTCTAGAAGTTTCGATTTCTCAACTGAGAGAACAGTGACATGAGTCATGACGTCAAATCGCAATTCAAAATAAAAAGTCAAGTTCCAAAAATGTCGTTTCATGCTGAACTTTTGGAATTGGAATGACGATATTAATCAGACTATTGCTTACAACATCTTGACATATATATTGCGCGAACTTATAATTATATCGTCATTACTGTATATATTTGAAGACGTGCTGTTACACCTCTACACTTATAATATTTTTTTTAAGGAAATCACTGACAATGGAATTTCCACATATTGGAAAGAATTGTTCTCATAAATCATGCAACAAACTAGGTAAGCACAAAAATGGTATATAAGCTTTCTTCTAATAACAGGATTCAGATAATATGTTGAATTTGTTGATTTTTTGAAGTTGATAAGTAACAAAATAAAAGTCGTGAGAAGTAACCTTTTTTATTTTTCAGATTTCCTGCCCGTAAAATGTGATGCTTGCAAGGAAGTGTATTGGTAATATTTCTGTAATATATATTTCGTATCTTATTGCTTATTTTCTAAAGTTATTTATATTTACTTTAGCTGTGCAGTTAAAATTATAACTATTTCACTATACAATCTCACTTATACAAAAGTGTAAATCATCACTTTTATTCACAGATTACATAAAAACAATGTTGTGCTGTAATTTTTTTTATATTTACAATGATTAGAAATAATTAAGGTCAATTTAATTTTCATTTCAGTTCAGACCACTTTTCATATGTCAAACATGACTGTCCAGTCCCTAACACAAGGGATGTCCAAGTGCCTCAATGTCCATTATGTGGAGCACCAGTTCCTGGTAAAAGAGGGGAGCCTCCAGATGTTGCAGTTGGTGCTCATATAGATAATCAATGTACCTCAGACCCAGCCCGAGTGAGGAGAAACAAGGTACACTAGATTAAGAACTTACTCATAACTTCTTACTGTTTTAACTTTATTTTTCTTCTTTGATCACTTGTTATGTGTGGAAAAAGGTTTGGAGCTTGTTAATAATATTGTTGTATAGATTTATGGTGTATATAAGGGTTGTGTCACCATCCTGAGTTTAGAAACTGAAAAACAAACTAGTTTTTCAGTAAGACATTTATATTTATAGACCTACCTATGTTTGTGGCTATTTCTGGCTTTAGTAACATTTTTTAGAAATTTGTAGCATTTTATATTCACTTTTTAACACTATAATCTATCCCTCTTATGGCTCAATACCATTATTATTTCTAAAATAATGCCACTTAAACATCTTAAATAATAGGCAATCTATTGGGCAAAACCCCATGACTAATAACTTAATACTATAATTATATATAACTAATAATCCTATATTACAAATTTAAATTATATGTCATACTGTAAATATTACTAGGTATTATATGATATTATGAATGACTTTAGATTCCAAGTTTCAGTTCAATTCAATATTTGATAATTGATTCAATAAATTTTATGACTATGGCTCTGTGTCTATTCCAACTTACATTCTAATTTTTTCTCTCTTCACCTTCTCATATTTAAATTTGTAATTGAATTTATATAAGAAAGGAAGGGGATTGATAAGTCCACATTTTATTTTTGAGTCTGATCAATGCCTTAGATTGATAAGGAGAGTGGTGTGATGACTGTTACCTAGGACCTACCTCATTATTTTTTATCTTTTAGTACAGTATCTACATCATTATTATCTTTATGTTTAATACAACCGTTTAACTTGAAAATGTTTTTTTACCTATTTTATTAAATATATTGTGTAGTAACATAAGAGCACTTTATACAAAAAGAAGGTGAAATGTTACTGAAAATGTCTCATTTTGAATGAAAGTCCCAGTTAGACCAAAGTTTGGCATCTCACAAGTAGTTCAATTCAGTGTAGTTTTTTTCTCTCTCGTACATATATTTTTTATCAGGGACACAGTCTACTTTCAGAATATGTACAGAAAAGATCAAAATTCATATAACATAATTCTTTTCTTTATTCCTTTTAGAAGTAAACATATTCATGTAGAGATATAAAGAACAAAATGTTTCAATCTTCCAGGTATTTACAAACAGATGTTCATACAAGGGATGTAAAACGAAAGAAATGGTGCCTCTTGTATGTGGCGAGTGTGCACTCAATTACTGTCTCCGACACAGACATGCGGCCGACCACGCCTGTGAGGGAAAGCTGGCAGCTAAGAGACGACAGGCTGCGTGAGTATATATTACTGAATTACTTAATATATTTTGACCAACTTCAAATAGGAGGATTTTTTGCTAGTTTTAGCTTAGTTAAAAATTCATTATAATTTTTTAGTGGTAATTTAATTTATTTTTATAGTCCGTTGTACTGATAAAATTGATAAGCTAATAATTTATTTCCCTTTAATTATGTCGACTTAAAAAGACAAAAATATTTCAAATGATATCTATCTATACATATAACAAAATACTAAGTCAAATCTGTACATAAAATATTTTTTGAAAAATCTTATTGAAATAGCCATTATTATCGATACAGAGGCCGAATCTATAGTTTTTAGAATTTTTGTCCGTCTGTCTTTTTGTGACCACATCATCAGAAAACCACTGGACAGGTTTTGATGAAATTTAGTATGATGATAGCTGATTATCTGGGTCAACATATAGGACACTTTACTGTGGGAAAATTTCTCATCTTTGATCTATACTATACGTTAAAACATAACTAGGGACGAACCAGACTGGAGCGAGGGTGAGTCGCTAGTTATAGTATAAATGCCATATATGGTCTGACTCCACTCGAACCCACACTTCAAAAATCTGCAGCCGAACATCCTAATACTAGTCTAATGAGGCAGTAATGTAACTTATTTGTTAATTACCCTATAAATACAAAATTACAGCAATGCAGCAATGGCGCGTATGAGAGCAAATGAAATCACAATATCAAATAGAACACCTACATCTATCCCTGTCACAACCTTCAGTGAAGTGCAAGGGAATATGGTATGTCATGAATTTCTATATGTAATAAATAAATGCAGTTTTATATGATTATTAGATAGCTCTAAACGATTATAGCGTGATGGTAGGTGTCCTACAGCTTTCTATAATAAGAAATTTTCAACTTGACTGGCAGTTCCAGAGATCGCCTTAAAACAGTAAAGCACCGTGATAGGATTGAACTCACAACCTTTATCAATTTTTACTAATATTATAAATGTGAAAGTTTGTGAGGATGGATGAAAGGAGGATTGTTATTCTTTCACACCAGAAAGGCTGAACGGATCTGGATGAAATTTAGTTCAGTGATAATAATTCAATTCAATTCGTAAAAATATGCAATTATTCATCAATGTTTTTTTATGACGTTATCACGTAAAATTATCGTCCGTAAACCGACTTTACAGAAAACCATTTTTTTTTTAAAACTAGCGCGTGCAAAGGGGTGATAGCTTAGGAAAATGTTTCTTTTGAGAAGGTGATTTTATGGTAAAAAATATCAACCTAGCTTTGCCGAGAGGCATCTGACCCATGCTTGCCCTACTATACTCTTTACATGAATAGAATGTACCTATTCATGTTACCTGTTCATTATGTAATATATGAAAAATCTGTTTCCATATTTTTTTATTGAAAAAAAATTGGAAGACAAAAACTAAAATATTTTGTCTTTACCTTTTTATTTATAAATATTTACTTTATAATCTATTATATTTTTTTCAGACTGAAGACGAAGCGCTAGCTCGCGCTCTAGCTCTGTCAATGCAAGAACAAAACACAAACATACATACAAGAGATACAAACTTTGCCCGTGCCCTGACGCGGCAGCGCGTCGGCGGCGAACAAAACTCAAGATGCTCAGTATCTTAGCATTGTAAAATGAAACCTGTTAAAGTAAAGATCGCAGATTCCAAAAATACATGGACTTAATTCTATAATCGTCGATAGAAAACTTGGGAATGTATCAAAAGGACATTACACTAATGTTACACATGTGAAAGTTTGCGAGTGCGTGTGTTTGTTACAGCTTAACACTAACGATTCAATCAGTTTGTGATATTCGGAACAAGCGACTTACCCTCGTTTCGCTCAGGTGCGTCCCTAGGTACGTTTTGATTATTTTGAGCGGAATCTTAATTATTTTTCTAAAATAAAATTAGCCAAAATTACTCCTTATAACATCAGCTATCTGCCAGTGAAAGTCCCGTCAAAATCGATCCAGCCGTTTCTGAGAGATCAGCCAGAACAAACAGACGGACAAAATGTAAAGAATTGTATTTTTCTTATAAGTATAATATATATTAGTAAAAAGCTGTTATTTTGACATAAACAGACATTTCCATTTTATTTATCTATATAGATGAAGATAGTTTATGTCCTGGATAAATACAATGACTTCTTATCTATGTAGCATGGTCGCTAGGCAGGATAAATACATATAGAAATGTTAAATCACATGTATATACATACATATTTCTTAGTTTTCTATTAACAATATTGATAGATAACTTTCTATAAGTCGATATCGCTTATAGAAATGGTTGTCTAAGGCTCGTTCGAGGCATACATTAATTTCATTGAACTAGAGGCTTCACATAGTTTAATCGAATGAAAAATACAGTTCTCAAAAGATAATATAGTTATAATAAGATAAATAAATAAAGTTATAATAACCTTCGTTTTGTTTCTAATGACAGATGTTCTAGTTAAACTATTAATTTAGATTAATTGTTACATGCCTGGTTAAGTTTAACTAATGACATCAAATTGACATCTTTTTATTATAATTAAGAATGATAATAATCTAAACCATACATGACGATTTGTTTCTTATTTGTGAACATGTTTTTTTTCTTTAATTTTCTATAAATTACCTTAATCCATGTAATTATTTCACTGTAATAAATTGTAATATTGCCATATAATATCTAGATCGCTATTTATGAAAATAAAAAAAACTAATTCTAATGAATTAGATCATCGACACTTGCAAAGAAAAACATTGTAACTTAGTATTAAAATTATTTAATAGTAAATAATAATTCAAAACTATAATATTGTATTACAATATTGTTCTTTGTTGTCGAATGTATATAAAACAAATAGCTAAAAATGATTACATTTGGGTTATTGCGAACAAATAGCTAGTATTTAGTGAAAAGAAAGTACATTTCGTAAGTATGGTGCTATGGGTTAAGATTGTATTGTAAAAGCAATTTAATTATCGACATATACTTACTTGAGTGGAGCAAAAAAAAAATTGTTTTTTTTTCTGAGCTTCTGGGATAGAATTTGCAGCTTATAAAAAAACAAAATTATTGATATAAAAAAAAAATCATTTTTACTGTAATACAAAAAAACATGTTATTTTGTTAACTTTAAAAAAAAATTACAATATTACAGTGAAAGTTGGATAAAAATGATCATCAATTCTTGAATGTTTTAATGTGATCAGTTGAATAAAAATTTCATTCAAACCAAAAATATAAATTATTTTAAAAATCAATGGGACACCTCAAAATGTTAAGTAAGTTTGTTTTTATTTCAATTTTTTTTATAAGCTACAAATTCTAACCCCAAGCTAAGAATAAAACCAAAAAAAAATTCGTTCCACCGTAATACTTACTGTACATTTCAAAATATGTAATTAAATTTATACATATATCCAATATTAAATTCATAACATTATATTTTACATGTAATAAAATCATCAATGAAATTAATTTAATAAATGGTTTCTTGTATGTAAGAGATAATTTTGTATGTTTTTATGTTTGAAGAATTGAATTTAATTGTATATAATAAATGGAAAAGACCAAAATATACATTAAGAAAGTCCACAGTATTTTATAAGCTTTGTATTAAATATCAATTTTAAAAGTTTTTTTTAAATTATTATTGTTCATGTTCACAGTTGATATATTTACACATTAACAAATAGTGTACATTTCTATTAAACCATTTTAAGCACTTGTATGTGTAAAACAAAAAAAAACAATATTAATTTAATCTAAAAAAATCATAACTTTGTATACTTAATGTCCAATAATTAACTAGAGGTTCTTTTCCTAAAAAAAGTGTAATTTAAATGATTGGTAGTGTTAAAGAAAAATAACATAAGTTTTAACTTTAGTTTTAATAAATGTGTAATATAACTACTATACATTTAGTTATACTCCAAAATATTTTATTGTAATCGGCACAAAAAGACACGCTTACTTAAAAAAATAAGCAAAAAAAATTAACTTATCTCGAGTACTATTCATTTTGATAATTCCTCTCACAAATGATTACTTTTAAAAATGTATACTTCACTATTTATTTAAAAAAAAAGGTTAAATAAAACATGGATAAAAGTAAATGTTTTTTATTTTAAATCAATGTGTATAATTTGGTATAATTAAAGCTTAAATATATTTAACAATTGAAATATCAAATCATTTAAATTCTTAATATATAATATTATCCCTGCACATTTTAAATGCCTTCGAAATTATTGGTCATTTAGACCACGATTCTGGTCGAGGTCGTGGCCATTTTATACTAGACTCACATAACAAGCGAAAATATCCCTACAGAGACAGTCTCATACAGCTCGTTACTATAGGTATACTACTACTAGTGGTAGTCTACACACAAATAAAAATAAAATAATAAAAAAACATACAGTTAGGCAATATTATCTGATAGCATGATTCATTATTATCTAACGATGTCAGCAAAGATATGTGACATCGAAATTCGAAGGAACAACAAAAGTATCTAAATGAAATGCAAAAATATAGGATGCAATATCGGCTTCAAAAATATCTTGTATGTAATGAATATTTATGCTCGTGACTGTACATCATTTTAAGTTAAGCCTTTTTCTTTAGACGTGACATTGTCAACAGTTCGAGCCGGAAAAAACCGGTGAACCGTCACGCACACTGTTTTACGTAATAGTGCAACTATCGCTGCACGATTGTACATATGAAGCTGTCTCTTTAGGGATAACTTACAGTGCCACAAACATATCTGATCCGGTGGCTAAAACTGGAACTACGTATCGACATTTTGCAATGTTTCATTTTTAACCCCCGACGCAAAAAGAGGGGTGATATAAGTTTGATGTCGATGTCTGTCTCTGTGTGTATGTGTCTTTCTGTGGCATCGTAGCTATCAAACGGATGGACCGATTTCGATGCGTTTTTTTTTCATTTGAAAGCCAGTTTCCTTGCGGTGGTTCTTAACTATGTTTGGTTAATATTGGTCCAGTAGTGTAAGAGCATCAGCTGTTTTCCAAAATGATGTAAGGCATTTTGGCGTATGATTATTCGATTAAGTGCTTCACACATGCCAGTGTTATTGTTAAATGACAATTAATTTGCGTCGGAGGTTTTTTAATTTATAATGTTGTCATGGAATCGAACCTCTAAATTACCCAGATGAATAACTACATGATCATAATTATAACATTAAAATATTATTTATTAAAAATGTGTTTTGATTATTTTTCCTTGTTATAACAATGACTAAAACAGCAAATTTCCGTTTTGATTCCTACTTTTATCCTTAAAACTACGGATAATCTATTTAGCGGCAATACTAAATTGAACAACAACAAAGCCGTAACCGGGTCAGATCGAATCAGAGAAGTTTGTGGCACAATACTCATGTGCTCGAAGTATCTAAGAGTTCTTAATCCTATATCCTGTTGTTGTGCGTATATACTTCAGACTAAGGAATAATATAGACAGAGTGTCATAGAACTAAACATTAAGCCAAACAATAATGTTTTAAAACTATACAAATATAAATAGAATACTCATTACTGTGATAAGTAAATAGAAATAGCTAACGGATTTTATACTTTTTGACTTTGAAATTTTTTTTGGCAGCCCCTGTCTATATAATTCTGTAAAACATTGCTGAAGTAATCTGTGCTCAACTGGCACGCTTTGAAGCCATTAACAAGAAAATAGAATAGATAATTCTTTAGTCTGAGATATACACCTATGATGTACCTATATAACTTGTAACAATTAATGTGGTCTCTGAGACCAGTTAGTCGTGGTCGATGTATGTCAAAAATATTGCAAAACACATATTTTTCTATATATAAGCTTTATACATATAGTATATTTTCGTAATATTACTACGACATTATAAATATAAATGTGCGTACCCAAAAATTTAAACACCCTAAATTCTAAAATAATAACAAAATGTCATTACTGTATGTAAGACAACAAATCTATAGACAATAGGTCTATTATAATCTATTTAAAGATTACTCAAAATGGCTTTATTATGTAAAGTTCTAAACTTGTGGTTATCATTTAGATAAGTAGTAATAAATTCAGGCGGATTTCTTGATAAGAATAACTCGAGACTCATATACTTGGCTGCGTTTAGACGTTTTCTTTCCGCGTTTGAGCGACACAAATTTTTATGTGCATGTGTTGCAAAGTTGGATGCAACTGTTTCTATTAGCGTTGCTGTCACTTTTTTAGGTTCATCTTCTAATGCTGGCTGAAAAATCCCATTAATATTATGAAGTGCGAAAATTTTAATGGATGCTTGTTACTCAATCACGCCAGAACGGGCTGAACGGATCTGGATGAAATTTGGCACAGAGATAGGTTAAAGTCTGGAATAGTACAGGTGTTACTTTTATCCTGGAAAAAGGTACTATTTCCGTGGGATAGATTTTTGTTTTTCACTAGAGACGAAACCGAGCGAAGCGAGTTGCTAGTAATAAATAAAATTTTAAAATGTTAGTGGCTTTTAAAAAGTAATACTATTTATAATTTATCACTTATTAATAAATATAGTTAAGTTTGTATTACTTTAATTATAAACTCGTTAACATAAAATATAAATTGCAAATAAAACTGATATAAATGCAATAAATTGACGTAATAAAACAAGTATGTATATAAAAGGGCAAATTCAAATTAATGATTCTTAAATTATACCTACTACAAGTCCTTAAAAAAATAATCTTTAACATTAATTTTCACTCAAAAATTAATCCGAATTCAAAATCCTAAACCCAATTCGTCCTAAAATAAACAAAAATTAAACCACCTAGTAGGCGTGGAGTGATCTTTTAGATATTTACCCAGACAATGTGAAGTTATATCAACAAAAAACACTTTAAAACATACATCAGCACCTATTTAAAATCGATTAATAATTAGCAAATCAAAACTATCCAATATCCATACATTACATAATAACACGTTACACTTACCGCAAATCGAACCCACTGCCATATCTGAGATCTAGATATCTCAGCTGTGGCTGAGTCTTCAACATTGCCGTTATAAAAGAAATGTCCTATACCGGCCAACCAATGGTATATGAACAATATTGAGACAGCAACATTATGCTTTAGCCCCTGCATCGTGACCCCGCCCGTAGGAATCAATAGCAAGTCCTGTGGACTCACATCGATATCTAACTTACGATATATTTGATTTGGGTTTACACCGCTTTTCTTCCAGAGCTAAAATACAACAAAATGTGGAAAAAAATGAGTTCGTGTAACCTTTACGCGCGGTTGAAGTAAAACTTCTTTGGCAAATATCGCAATTGAATTAAAACAAATCAATAATTAAATAAGGCGTATTACAATCATATATTTATAGAATATCATATACGGACAGAATATAATATTATATCATATTTGTCAGACAATAACAACGGTTACCATGGCAACATGGCAATGTATTCTATCTCATTCTCTCGCCGGCTTAATCCTATAATATGTAAGTCTTCAAAGAGATACGTATGATAATAACCATGTCAGGCCACACAACTATCACACAGTCCATCCATCCTTCCTCCATTTACCTCTACTATTATATCTATCCTCATTCATACTACAAACTCAAGCAAGAAAGTTATGACTTTAGTATATGACTTTCTTCCCTGTATTTATTACTTTTTTGTTTCTTTCCCTGGTGCTATTTTAAAACTTTTTCGCTAAGAAGGATAAGAAAATGAATGATATATTATTATATACACTCATATATTTACATTCTTGGAAATTTCATACAATATTTGTAGTATTCGCATCTCTGCCACATATACCCTCCTTTCATCTGTTATTTGCTTGTCCAACATTCTGATTTATACATTTCCAAGTCTTTTTATGTCTTAGCTTGAGCTTTAGGGGCGTGTCCCTAAAGCTCAAGCTAATAGGTCACAAATTGACCTATCGCCATGTCAATTATATTAATATTCATTATCAGACTATACTACTATCATAAAGAGTTTGTTTGTTTGAATGCGCTAAACTCAGGAACTACTAAATAAAATCCGATTAGAAATTTCTTTTATGTAGATAGCCCGTTTTGTAAAGGCAAGGGAAAGAACGATTTTTTTTATACTTTGAACGTGGGCGAAGCCGCGGACTCTGCTAGTCTTTTTTTATAAAGTAATAAATATTTTTATATAAAATAAGGTATTTTTTGTCGCTAAGCTAAGCGGAAACATAAGTTATTTTTGTTTATTCAAACAATATGTAGTTTTTGTTGTAGAAATAGATAAAGTATTTCATGGTTGTTGAGCGCGGAAAAAGAAATTATGTAAAAAATATTTCGATTGTATGACCTTTACATAATTTTCGCAAAAGGAATTGTCGGTATTACAAGTGGAAAATAACAGACATACAGTTAAAACTAGTTTAAACTCAAACTTTATTTATTAGGAACGTCAGGATTTAAAAATATGCTGTGATAGAACTTTAGAAATATAACAGAAGCCGAAAAATTGTTGCTTTATTATCTTATCAAGGAAAAAATCTTATTAAGCAAAAAATCATTGGATCGATTCGCAGTTAGAAAAAATCATCGTTATCTAAAATGCATACATTCAAATTGTGGACAATCCTTTTTTTAAGTCAGTTAATAATTAGTTATTTTAAACATTCATCGTGCTAAGATTCATTCTAATTCAAAAAAAATATAAAAATAATATAAAATTCTAAGAATATTCAAAAATTGTTACATAATACTTTAGTCAAAATTTATAAGATTAAACCTAAGTCTACATACCTCATTTACATATGGAACAATGCGTGAGTCGTACACCATGAAACCATCAACACCAGCTTCTATTTCTTTGGATTTTGCTTCCAAGACTTTGCTCACTATGGTTTTTGATCTAAAAAATGTGCATATACACATATTATTTCCATTAATAAGACGGTCATCAATTAAAACTGAAAAATATTTAATTTCTCACAAAAAAACTTAACCCTTACCCCTACTACTGCTACCCTTAGAATTTGATTTTTCGTCAAATTCAAAAGAATCATGCAACAGTAATAAAACAACATATTCCTACAATTTGAAAACGATTAGAAAAATATGTAATGATTTTGCCTAGACCCGTTCGTGAATCCCATACGGTTAATATAAAATATATTTGCCATGACCTGGAAATCGAACCCACGAGAACCAGACTTGTTATCACTACACCATATATCTAATATGTATATTCAAATATTATAATAGGTATATATAAATAAGGAAACGATACAAGGGTGAAAGTTTGTAAATGGCACATTAGATAGTGTTATCAACACGATTGCGTAATTTCATGTCAATAAATATATTCTTTATTAATATGTATACAAGGTTCAACTTTTACATTTGAAATATTTTCATTGCATAATCTATATCATGCTATGGGAAATTATGTGTATTATAAAATTTTATGGCACTTTAGCATTTCATTCGGTTCAAAATTTTATTTACAACTAAGTGTAGAACATATTAAGCAACAATAGTAGAAAAGAAAAATCTAATGTTATAAATGCAGTAGTAATTTGTTCTTTTTTACAAAATAGTAGGTTAATTTTGTCCCAACGGCATTTTTATTTTTGCAATATTAATTTACCTAAACACAATTGGTGACACTTTTAAGATAATTTTTTAATTGGATTGTGTATATAGTTCTTTTTTGATTGATGGTGTCAGTACTCCAATTTGTTAAATCTGGACAATCCAAAAAAGACACTTGTCTTCAGCCCTTTTTAATGTCCTACTGCTGGACACTGGCCTCCCTTCAGTACGAGGGGAATCAGGCCATAGTCCACCACGATGGCCAAGTGCGGGTTAGCAGACTTCACATATCTTTTTGAAAACTTGATAGGTTTTGTCAGACATGCAGGTTTCCTCACGATGTTTTCCTTCACCGTTAAGACAAGTGGTAATCATGTTGGAAATGATTCGCACATGAAAATATCAGAGGTGCGAGACCCGGGATTTGAACTCGCTTCACTCGGTTTCCCAAGCCAGCGCGTTACCACAGGGCTACCACTGCCTTACACTTACATATTATTTAATAATATTAAATGAAAAATTCTTGTATATTTTTATATACATGTTTTAATAAATCTATTTTGGGTATCTTGGAAATGGCAATTTGGATCATATTTTGTGTTTAGATAAATAAGGTTTTTAACTATATAAAGGTGTTTCTTCTGAACAATCCGCAACATTTCCGAAAAAACACCCTATTATATAAAAAAAAATGACAAGCAAAGCTCGGTCTCCCAGGTGATATATAATATTAGAAAGATTTTTTTAAGAATATTATGTATTAATATATTATTATGTATAGTTTACTTTTCATCAGTTCCATCTGTCCCAGGCTTAAGCATAGCTGCTGCCATTCCACCAGTAGCCAAAGCACCTCTCAAATGGCATGTTTTTATAACTAATTTCAAGTAACTATTTAAAAACTTTTGGTCCATATTTACATATTTATTTCGATCTGGTATAAGAAATTCTTTACGGTCACCTGAAAATAAAAAGCAACTATATAATAAAATCTAAATATACTTATCTTTATAGACTTCCAGAAGCACTTTTGAATCATTGATTGTAATAATTTTTTAATTTAAGTTCTATGTCAGCTGTAATAATTTAAGAATGTATTTAATATTGTTTTTAGAAATATAACACATAGCCATCAACTATTTCCCAAAGGGTGTGAAGCACTGACATAGCTATGCTAATGCAGTCACACGGGGCTCCTGATTCAAGGGGGCCCCAGTGAGTTTAAAAAAAAAACACAAGAAAAAATTTCCTAAATTTCTGCATATTATTTTTAACAATGACCATGAGGAATGAGATCATACTTATTATGTTCTATAAAACAAGTCCACTAAGCACAGCTTTTTTACTAAATTTTATTGTACCCGTTCTTCCGAGTGTTTTGAAAAAAGTGAGAAGTTCACAAAGTGTCTGTGTCTATAGACACTTTAATTGGGACCCAAAAAGGTTAATTGGCTTTAAGGCTGGTTAGCCACTGGAGTGAAGTATTTCCTTGATTACTTACCAAATTTAGCAATAATAGAAGCACAATAATCCCAAATACCACAATTTAAGCCCATACAATGGTCTTTCAATGCAAATAATATTTCATCCATTTCAAATGTTGAAATTATATTTTCAATCAAAACACAGGCTTTTATACTCCCTTGCGGTATATCAAGTTGATTTTGAGACCAGACAAAAATGTCATTCCAGAGCTGTGCTTCAGAAGATCCTTCTAATTTTGACAAATAAAAGTATGGACCACTGTTTGCTTCATATAACTTTTTAGCATTATGATACATAAGAATTCCAAAGTCAACTAATGACCCTATTGCTTCTTTACCATCAATCTATAAGAATTAAAATAATTATAAAAAATCTCACATTTAGGCAGAAAATAAATTAAATAATTTATTTTAGTTAATTTTAGCAGAATACTAATATTTATTAAAATATTGCAACAAAAAGTAATGCTACATGCTATATCCAATAATAAAAATTGATATTCTAGTAATTAAGCAAGAGACAGGAATGGAATAAAAAACTTATAAACTCACTAATATATCATGATCTATCATATTCCATGCTCTTGGTCTTAGCATTAATACTGGACATGTAGTGATACTGAGTGGTGCATTAGGAAGTTTTCCATTTACAGCTAGATTAATATTATTGTAAGCAAGCAACTGGTTTTTCCAAGTGGGACAGTGTCCATCATCAAAGTCTACTTGAACGCCTTGAACATCTGCTTCAAGGGCAGCAGCAAAATGAGCTGCATTAGCAGCAGATACATCACCTAAATCTACATGGCGATTTCTAAAAAGTATGTTTTAAGTTCAAATTAAACTTTATATTATTATGTACATATTAAAAATAAAGAATTAAAACTTACTTGTACACACAATAAATTAATGCAGAATGTAGTGGATATTAGATACCTAAAGAATGTAATGGAAATATGGTTGGTGTATGAAAAAGCATGAGCATACCTTATGATAAAAATACATACTGAAGTCTAACAGGTAACGGAGCTACTTTCCAAGTTATGTCACTTCTTTCCGCAGACACTTTAAAATTTAAAGAATCCTTGTGTTTTAAGTGTACTGCTAATTGTAATCTGTTTTTATAAAGTTGATCGATTCTTGAATCAAATTCTCTATGCAAATTTTTTATAAACTCTAAAGCACCCTTACAAAATATTTTTTTTTGTATTTCTTCTAATTTTGGTGGACATGACTGCAATAATAATATACCAGACATTATTTATACTTTCACTGGAAATTAGGTCTAAATAAACTTGATATGTTAACAACAATAATTTTCGGAATAACTATATTCCAGTGTCTTATCAAACTCGAATAGTTATTAATAATAATCATTGTGTTGATGTTTTTATCGTCGGCAACAGGCAAAGCGATAGGTCCGAACTCCGAGGTCGTCAATTGTTTTCGTTTATCATTTGAATTTTGACATTTAGTCAGTTGACTGACAGTCACACTTAATACTTTTATTTATTTCGTTGATACTTAGGCAAAGATTTTATATATTCCATATCCTATTATATATTCCATAAACGTTTATGGAACATATATAAAATCCTTGTACTTAGGTATATTTATTTTTGAACACAGTATAAATTAACTTTTTTAATAGGTACACAACAGTCTATTAAAATATATTTATTTCACTTGAGGTTTGACAAGAAAACTTATGGTTATTGGAAATTACACAAAAAATTACATAAAATCTTACAACTGCGTGAAAATGAGAGTCGTGGAGGATCGTTATGATACAGATGTTTACGCGTTCGGCGCTCGCGGCTCTCTGCCTGGTCGAGCCACGCCGTCGCTCACGCGTTCGCGGGAGACGGGGGGGCGCGGGCGCCTAAACTATACGATCGTACGAAACACGGCCCTACAGGATCGTACATGTTCCGACACGATACCCCGCGATCACCGTTGTTTGTAAAAACCCCGCGTTACACTCTCCCCCTCTAGCCTAACTAAGTGTCCTCACAGTTGGGCTTGTCTAGGTATCTACGCGGCCTACCACGTATACGTTTTTCCCTAACGGGAGGCTCTATCTGGCCGGTAAATGGCGTGAGGTGCGAAACGTGATATTTCCCTATATCTCTTCCGGTCTGTACGTTCTCTAACCCGTACGTAGTAGGACTAACTACCTTGCCTATCTTGTATGGGCCGTCCCGGCGTGGGATAAACTTCGCTGTCTGTCCACGTCCTGCATCGTTCGGCCCCTGCGTTTTAAGTAGCACCATATCGCCTACCTTATACTCTGGCGGCGATCGCCGTCTCTGGTCAGCAGCCCCCTTTATATAGTTAGTAATGAATGTGCGCATACCTTGCCAATAATATCTAGCGCGAACACGGCTTAACGTGCGTTCCACGCCGAAATGTCCTGCCGTAGGCGCGTCGTGGAGTTCAGCCATCACTTGCCTGCGTTCGTGTTCGGGCACAACAATACAGCATTCTTCTCCATCGTCTGACTCTAAGCTATATCTATGAAGTATACCATCGGAAATAGTGTACCCACGATCGGACCATGGCCTCCCCCTAGAAGGTTCGTCAGACTCCATGTCCTCAATGATTTTGCGAATCTCTGGATCTAACAGTTGATTGCTGCGGATATCACCACTACTCCTCTTTGGTAAGTCTACGACTGTCATACATAATTCGCACTCACCTTGGTTCTCAGCACAAACTGGTCGCGAAAGCGTATCCGCAACCACGTTCGAGCATCCCGGTGAGTATTGGATATTGAGGTCGAACTCTTGCAATGTTAGGGCCCACCTAGCCAGCCGACCACTAGGTGACCTCTGACTCATTAGCCATCGCAAAGGCTGGTGGTCCGTCCTAACCGTTACCTTCGCAGTATCTACGTAACCGCGAAACTTACCTAACGCCCACACGACGGCGAGTGCCTCTCGCTCCGTCGTGGAATAATTCTTCTCTGCACTAGTGAGAAGACGACTTGCGTACTCGATCGGTCTCTCATCGTGTCCCTCCCCCTGCATTAAAACAGCCCCGAGGCAGTAAGTGCTGCTGTCGGTGCAGAGAACGAATGGCTTCGACTCATCCGCCTGACGCAGAATGGGAGCGGATACGAGGAGACGCTTTATCCGCTCAAACGCCTCCTGATGCTCGGCGTCCCATCGCCAGGCACTTGATTTCTTCAGGAGTGTTGTAAGAGGTCTCGCGATCTCAGCGTAATTATTAATAAAGCGGCGATACCAACTCACCGTTTGTAAGAAACATTTTAAGTGTTTAACGTTCTGAGGGGCGGGCATATTATCAATAGCCGCCGTCTTACCTGGATCCACCTGGATTCCGCCTGGTACAATAACGTGTCCTAAAAACCTAACAGATTCTCTATTCTGTTGCTCCTGGGTTAACTTAGATCCTTCGTCTGCGCGCAACATCAGCTCATCAGATGCGGCGTGCAATAAATCTGTACCTGCAGGGTCAAGTGTGTACGAATAAATAAAATTAAAGCACTGTCCGGGACTATCCATAAATGTCCAAGTGCGATGGGCAACGTTTATTACCATTCCGGCCCGAGACAAGAAATCTATACCTAGAAGAGTTCTAGTGTCACAACCTGGCAACACTAGTAATTGACACATTACACTATGGCCTTCGATATCTATACCTACCTCGGCCGTCAACAAGTCTCTCCACCCTTGTGTACCGTCAGCCAGGTGTACAAATCGTTTAACTTTACTAAAGTGTACTCCCAAGTCTACTAAAATTTTATATAATAAAGGACTCGCAATACTATGCGTAGCGCCCGTATCCACTATCGCCACTCCGGTACGATCCATAACAGATATATTAACCATAGGATACGATTCACGCGTACTCACGTTAGTTAACTTAATACATGACGCACTTGTATTACCTATACTACTATTATAATTATTAACGCAATTATCATGATTATTAAAATCTAAATCCAAATTATTGAACGAAGTTTTACCATCCGAATTCGTTAAAGTTTTCACACAAATATCACATTTCGACCTCACGACACCTTCCTTACCACAACCGTAACAACGTATACTTTTACGCGTGCTATCGCTATACAAATGTTTATCATTATTATCATTAATCATAACCTTCTCACGATTGCGACATTCTTCACTAATATGCCCAAATAATTTACAATAACTACATCGGGGCCTATTGTTTTTATTACTACGCGGAGTGATCGCGTTCGTACTATCAAAACTCGATCGAGTGAGATCGCGACCGGTAGTAGTGACCGATGTTCGTGAAATCGCGCTTTTACAATTACTACTATTATTGTTATCCTTATTTACCTTAAGAGTTTTATACATATCCTCCGCGATCCTCGTTTTATACATTAAGTCATCTAAATTACGAACATTATCGCGGGAAACTCTTTTAACAATACGTCGGTGTAATAACCCGTAACAAATATCAACTTGCACTATTTCATCGAGCTTATACGGTAACTTTGCAATTAACGCTCGCACTTTACACAAAAACGACTCGGCGCGTTCTTCTTCTTGCTGCTCCGTAGCGAAGATCTGCCGTAGAATCTGATGTGCGGGCTGCGCCACGCCATACGCCGCGCGTAGGCGGGCGACCGCGTCCGCCCATGTAGTCACCGACGCCTTAACGCCGCGCCACCATACTGCCGCTTCACCCTCCAGCAACATCGGCAATCCGCGGAGTGCGAGCTCGTCACTCACGGCCGCACACTCCTTAAATATCTCGACGGCATCCAGGAACGCTTCTAATACCTCGGCGTCCTGGGACGACCCATTGAACCGCGTCGTGCACTTAGTAAAATTGGCGTCGACACTCGCGACGCTTACAGCAGTACCACTCCCGCTGTTCACATTATTTGTTTGAGAGGCCACGACTGGGGTGGAGGCCCTAAATTCACTGCTGGACGTCATCAGAGAATTGATAAGGCTTCTATTTGCTTCCACTTGCGCACGCGTGATCGTTTCCATCAGCGTGGATAGGAAGTGTTCGGGGAGCTGGGGTGCTGGTTGCTGTGTCGAGCCGGCTCGCGCAGCTCCGTCCACGTGGCCGTGCTCGATGGTGTTCTCCTCTCCCTCTGCGGCATCATCCCCTCGCTGCTGCCGAAGCGTTTCCCCTCTCCTCGTCATAGGCATCTTCACGCACTAGTATACAAGTTTAAAAGTTCGAGCCACTAGTATGGGCGCCAGTTTAATAGGTACACAACAGTCTATTAAAATATATTTATTTCACTTGAGGTTTGACAAGAAAACTTATGGTTATTGGAAATTACACAAAAAATTACATAAAATCTTACAACTGCGTGAAAATGAGAGTCGTGGAGGATCGTTATGATACAGATGTTTACGCGTTCGGCGCTCGCGGCTCTCTGCCTGGTCGAGCCACGCCGTCGCTCACGCGTTCGCGGGAGACGGGGGGGCGCGGGCGCCTAAACTATACGATCGTACGAAACACGGCCCTACAGGATCGTACATGTTCCGACACGATACCCCGCGATCACCGTTGTTTGTAAAAACCCCGCGTTACACTTTTTATATTTTATCAGACTACGTCGAAAGCTTTCCGAATTAGTTCAACAATAAACAATATTACTAACGATAATTGTAAATAAAATGTTGATCAATGCCACCTTGAAGAAAATTATATTGTTTATATTTATTTATATTTTTACTAGCAGAACCCGCGGCTTCGGTCGCGATAAAACTTCAAAAAACACTCTAAAAAGGTAGATTTCATACTAAATTTCATCCGCTATTTTACCCCCTTACGGGATAAATTTCGAAGAATGCTGAAACATATATTTATTTAATTGTATTGAAGAGCGTTAATACCAAGTTTCAAGTAATTCTAATCATAAATATTTTTTTGGGTTGTATTATAACGTGTTTCCCCGTGGAAATGAGATAATCTTCCGCGGTAAAAAGTAGTCTATACCACTCTCCAGCCCTCCAACTATGAACTATCTTCACCCAAGAAATTACCCCAGTCCGTTACTCCGTTTCGACGTGAAAGAAGGACAAAAAAACAAACATACTTTCACATTTATAATATTAGTATGGATATTATAATAGTAGGGGAGCCCAAGAGGGGATTTTCTGTAGTTACTCGAGCGCGGCAGATTAACATAAAAGAGGTTACCTTGCACTCTATTGAGTACTTTCACCACAATATAAGTCTTCTATATAAAGGGGCGCGTCTAGGGAATCCGATTAAAATATTTAAAAAATGTTTTGATAAGGTAGAAATACTTGAAACCGTCAGATTAAGGTGTGGTAGGGTAGTCACATCCTGAAAAGTGTCCAATTCAATAATCTGCCGATTTGCACAAGCCTAAGAGGCAAAAATCATCATAAACTTTATAGTCGATTTTTGCCTCTTCGGCTTGTGCAAATCGGCAGATTATTGAATTGGACACTTTTCAGGATGTGACTAGCCTACCACACCTTAATCTGACGGTTTCAAGTATTTCTACCTTATCAAAACATATTTTAAATATTTTAATCGGCTTCCCTAGACGCGCCCCTTTATATAGAAGACTAATATTATGGTGAAAGTACTCAATAGAGTGCAAGGTAACCTCTTTTATGTTAATCTGCCGCGCTCGAGTAACTACAGAAAATCCCCTCTTGGGCTCCCCTACTATAATGCTGTCGTTCGGTTGAAACGCTATGACGGGAGTACGGACGACAGCGATTAAGTTAAATACTGTGGCATCTTATTCGGTTGTAATAGGAGCGATTTTGCAACATAAATGTTGTCTGAAGTGCTGACGACTGTACAAAACATGAACACAACGAACGAATCGCCGCGTTTGCGTAAGGTCAATCGCGTACTCGCTTGATTCGTTCATTTACTACGCAAATCCAATTCGAGTCAGAGAGAGTTCAACTCGAGTTAATTCGAGTTAAGCCCGACTCGAGTTAGTAACTCGAGTTGACACATCTTTACGACATTCGATAACAAAAAGTTAAAGGAATAGAATCCTTTTTGGAATGCAATGAACAATGTTGTCCATAATTGCGTAGCAATTAGCATTTCATGATTTCTCTATAGTTAAAGTTTGTGATCTTGCGATGCCCTTTCGCTCAGCTTAACCTCAAGCCCAAAGGCCAAAAAGTCTTAGCATTCGTATAAAGATTAAAGTTTGTGCAAAAAGTTTTGTACTCTGTAGAATGTAGTTTTATGCTGTAGTTTATTTGTTAAAGTAAAACAAAAAATTAATATAAACTTATAGCAAATAGTGACATTTTTAGTAGTAAAACTAAAATATAGATATGGATTCAAATGATCAAGATTCAAACGACACCTGTAGTGCTACTGAAGAAATTAAATTTAAGACTAAAAAGAAAAAGAATCTTCGGCAAAGAATTAAAGAAGAAGATGATGAATCTGAAGACGAGGAGTTGATTATAGCTAGGTTACAAGAAGCTAAAGAGATACAAAAACTTCGGGAACGACCAAATGGTGTTAGTGTTGTTGCTTTAGCAACTGGCCAAAAAACTTCTTTAGTAGAAGAAGTGACTTGTAAAGATCCCTATAATGTTAAATCTGGTGGAATGGTAAATATGCAGGCATTAAAAAGTGGAAAGGTTAAACAAGTGGAAGATGCATATGATACAGGTATTGGAACACAGTTCTCAGCTGAAACTAATAAGCGTGATGAAGATGAAGAAATGATGAAATATATAGAAGAGCAGTTGGCAAAGAGAAAAGGTAAGTTTATGAAGGCTAAAAGTTATATTCAGTTTTGCTTCTTTGAGCAATTTCTGATTCTATTCTATCTACTGTTATGGAATTAGGAAGTATGTCATTTTATCTAACCTTATTTATTTATTATAAATATTACAATTTACAAATAAGACAGGCAGCATAAAATACATTAGAAGCTTGTTGTAAAAAATACAAATAATCCTTTATATTTTTAAAATGCATATTTAAAAAGATATTAAAAAAATATTAAAGAATATCATATAATATATAATGGCTATTACTTTATCACAAAACTATTATAATATAAGAAAAAAATGTAGATTATAGGATATCACTCATGTATTTTTAGACACATATAGATAAAAAGTAATATTTAAATTCCAGTTTCCATCTTTGCAAAAACTAGTTTTTAACTTCAGATATATTAATTTGTGTATAGTGTTGTGTTTAGTGTGTATAGTGTAAATTTGTGTATAGTGTGTTGAATTTGGTTTTTGGTTATCTGAACTCGGGCGGAGCCGCGGGCAATGCTAGTAACATATATATTTTTATATACCTTTGATTAGGTTAGCATTAGGTTAGCATTGATTAGATAGAATACTGTATGTACTATTTGACAGACATATTTAATTTAGTCTTTACTTAATTATATATTGTTATATCTATACTTATACAAAAGTTTTATCTATATAATTTTATTTACAGAGGGAGCAGATCAAAATACAAAAGAATCTGATGAAATTGATGCACTAAAGTATTTACCTCCAGAAGAAGCCGCATTACTATCATTACCAGAACATTTAAGAGTATCTTCCGCTCACAAATCTGAAGAAATGCTTTCTAATCAAATGCTTAGTGGTATTCCAGAAGTAGATTTAGGTATTGATGCTAAAATAAAAAATATAGAAGCCACAGAGGAAGCTAAAATGAAACTTTTATGGGAAAGACACAATAAAAAGGATGGACCATCACAATTTGTACCAACTAATATGGCAGTGAACTTTGTTCAACACAATAGATTTAATTTAGACAGTGTTAATGCAAAAAAGAGAAAAGTAGAAAAACCAGAAACAGATAAGATAAAAAGTAATGTAATAGAAGAAAGTGTTAATAAAATTGTTAAGAAAGCCAAAGGTGAAAGAGCCACAGATGATTATCATTATGAAAAGTTTAGAAAGCAGTTTCGAAGATATTAGAATGTAATTTGTATTAAAGGTAAATATTGCTTTAACTTAACTGTCTAAAACTACTATAAATTATAGAATAATATATATTATGTAAAATTTATCTGTAATAAAATATAAATCATATCCCTCTTTTGCAAATATCACATCAATCATATATTAATATCACAAAAAGTATAATTTATCACAGGTTAGTTTTATATGGGGCATTTCATGTGAAGCGGACAATGAAAAAAAGTGAGGTTCTGAAATTCGTTTATTATTAAGCATATTTATACTTTTAGAGGAGTGAACATAAACACATACTTAATAATTTTTTTTAATTTGAGGTTTAGTTGCCAATTTATTGGATTCTAAATAATTGATCTGATTGACGGAATTGTTTTTCATATTGACATAATTAGCAATAAAATAATAAAAGTAGTGTTTTGTATATCGATTTTTCAATCAAATTCCCAATTTGAATAATTTTTAATTGTCAAACCGGAAGTAAATATTATAATTCAATGCAGCTATTATAATTAAACGTATTAATTTGTCAAAATAATATTGTGAAGCGCCACTAAAATACGAAATATAATAGCATACGCACTACGCACACATACAAACTTTTTTTCGGAAAAAATCCGATACATATACGAATACTAGCATTGATAGCAGCTCCGCCCGCGTTCAGATGACTAAAAAAAATAGATTCTTAGGTTTTACTTATTAGTATAGTCTTACATTGCAGTTTTTGTATTTTTTCTCAGAAATGATATATTTTCCCGCGGTAAAAAGTATCCTATATGTTGACCCAAATAAGCAGCTATCATCATACCAAATTTCATCAAAATCCCTTCAGTTGTTTTTCTGTGATGCGGTAACAGACAGACAGATAGACAGACAGACAAAAATTCTAAAAACTATAGATTCGGCATCTGTATCGATAATAATGTTTATTTCAATAAGATTTTCCATAAAATATTTAATGTACAAATTCGACTTAGTTACAGTTTTATTATATGTAAGGTGGGTGGACCGTGGAAGGCCACCCTAACGAGTAAACGCTTTTTATTCGTTTATTAACTGGATAAATGAAAAAAACAAATTATCAAATAATAGTTTGTTTTATTGTGTACCATATAAATTACTTTTTTTAACCTAGCTTTAATCAGTATTCATGAAACTTAAGTTTTGTTAAGCTCTTCCAAATGGCCTTGCAAGGAACACGGCTCCAAACAAGGTCAATATTATACATCAGTCGTTCAACTTAAAAATAGAGTTGTAACAATTCATATATTCGCTTTTACTAAAACTACATAATAAGCTCTTTCATTTAAGCAAAACATTAAATGCTCAATATATTTTTATCATTTATAAAAAACTCCACGAACATTACTTGAACACCATCTTATAACTAAGAATATATTAATGGAAATTATTTAAAAACAGTAGTAATGAGTATTATATTGACATCAAATAACTTGCCAACGCGTATTATAATGAAATTAAAAACTTTTTTTTTTACCTCAAATGGCCTTCTTATGGGTCCCGTTCTTTGTAAGGCCAAAATGTTCCTAAGAAGGCCAAACTAAAAATTATCAATGACTTTCTTATATTAATTATAATAAAATAATAGACACTACAGACTAAGTACTGTACTTATTACAAACTTATTATGGTACATAGTCAGTCTTGAAGTCAGGAATGTTTAAAATCAACGATTCTTAAGATTAAAAAACGAAAATAATTGTAACAAAATAAAAATTAACTTCGGAAACAAACTTAGAAAGTAAAAAGGATAATAATTTTTGGATATTTTAATCACAATCTGGGCATATAAATTTGAGATCTTTTTTAGTGAGACCCATACACTCCTCGTGATACCACTTTTGACATTCGGTACATTGTCTCATGTCTTCCATTCGATTCTCGCCACATGCGTGACAGTACCATTCCTTTTCTTCACCTTCTGCACTTTTCTTCATCTCTATTTTCGATCTTTTACTGTTTTCTTGTGGTACTGTTCTTTTTAGCCGTTTTACGGAATTATTTTTATTTTTGGTTTTCTTTTTTTGGTCTCGTTTAATTGTAGACTTTCATTTTTTCTTACTCGTCGCTTGCTTCATCTCATTCTTTTTTTCTTCAGTCTTGAATAAATCTTTAACTATTCTTTGTCCCTTATAATTAATAGCTTTTTGCCGTGAACGTGAAGACTTTATTGTAGCGTAGTTTGGAGTAGGCAAAAAAGCATGAAACGATTTTTCTTTATCCTCTATTAGATTAATTAACGGCTCGTCATCATCCGAAGATCTAGTCTCATGACTCTTTAGTTGAGGTTTTGTTTTAATTGAGCTTTTGTTTTGTATTAATCGTTTTTTTGGAGTGATTTCTTTTTTCTGCTCTAGGTCATCATCAAATGACGAAGAAGAAGTGTATAAATCGGAGACTTGAAGTTTAGTCATGTAGTTATCTTTGATAATAAAATTCACTAAGATTCAAATCAAGATCAGATTCAGAGCTAGAACAGACGATATTTTCTTGTAGGCCGGACGTACTCGGAAGAGGATAATCGTACAGAGATGGTTGAGGGTCATGTTTCGTATCTGCGACGTTGAAACGATGTACTGAACTTAGCAGCATGGGGCGGCACTGATCATTGATCGTAATATCTACTTCTAAGTCTGAAGCATCAGTTGAAGAACTGTAAGAAACAAGAACGGGTTTTCTTTTTGCTGTTGCAGCTGAAAATTTTGGCGATGTCGATACTATCTTCTCTGTGGAAGTTGATGGAAAAATTGAAGAAACGTTAGAAACATGAGCTGACCTCCTTTCATCTATTAGAGACTGAGACGACAATTCTGACACTTTTTTAAATTCAGACACAGGGGGCGAGACTTGAACAGATATAAGTGGTTGGTCGATCTGTTGTTGTAACGTTTCCGATAAAGGTCTTTCAGTTACAATTGAAGGAGCATAAGCATCTTCGGGTATTACATCAGGATCAAGGGGGTATAAACCAGTGGCTTTGAATCCATTCGTTATATTGGTTTGAGTCATACACTTTGGCCATGTTCAGGAGAAAATTTTGTTAAACGCAGCTTTGTTTAAAGTTCTCTCTTGAGAATTGCACAGGTAGTTCAAAACTTCTTCATCCCAGTGATGTTCGAAGGACCGATTCACTGATTTATCTAGAGGTTGGAGTTCGTGCGTGGTGTTCGAAGGTAAGCAGTATAGTACTTTATTATTTTTATCTGCTTCTTCCAGAGACTCATATGATAAATGACACTTTGCGCCATCAAAGATAAGCAGACATTTACCGGGTACTTTATGTTGTGCTAAATGTTGTATGAACTCTACGAATAAGCTACTGGTCATGCTGCCTTTGGGTGCCATGCTTACCTTTGTTCGAGGTGGCAAATTTGATGCTAATTCTGATCTGCGCCTAATCCCCTTAAAAATAATCATAGGCGGTATAGCAATACCCACCGCATTTACGCACATCGCTATTGTAACGTTCTCGGCGTGTTCCGGATTAACAAGATGTACTCTTGTATTCCCTTTTTCAGCCAAAACTACAGTTTGTTTGTGGACCGTAATGCGACACCCTTTTTCATCCATGTTATACAAGCGTTCTGGATGTGCAATAATGTCTAGCTCTTCATAGAGTTTCTTCACTTCTTCAAAATGGTTTTTCACAATGGGCTTATTCATTTTTTGAGCTCTAGCTGGATTCATTAGCTGGGGTTTTCTTTTTGATATTGATGGGTTTCGAGCCAAAAACATTTTTAGCCATTTGCGTCCAGCCATTCTTGTTGACATATTGAACGAGTGCTTGATTTTAAACCTCTCACAAAATAAAAAGGCTTGTTTCCTGATAAATTTAGGCGTAAGTGGTACACCCAGTTTTGCAAAACGTTTGATTCGCTGCGATATATCTTCTTCTAATTGTTTTGTAAGAATAGTTGTCTTCCCAATTATTTTAGTACTGTTACCGCTTACTAAATGGTTTCTAAGGGTGCGTCTTGGAATATTGAACTTCAACGCTGCAGCATTTGTATTAAGTTGATTATTTTGTACTGCTTCCATGGCACGTCTTAAACTGTCTTCATCCCATGTACTACCTCTTTTCCTGGGTTTTGACTCCGACATTCTTGAAATCTGAAATTATACGCATAAAATTTAATCATCTATTCAATTACCGGCTTATTGTTATAAAATTTTTTTTGCTTAAAATATGATTATAGACAGACTATCTTATGACTATCTTATATATAACTTATCACATACTTTACCGTTTTTAACATGTAAATATTTTTTATATTCGTTGCTTTACATGTAAATTAGTTTAGTTTATTTTCAGACATAACCTTCCCATAAAAGAAAAAATGTCTATTCAATATGAGTTAAAAAATTTAATAACCCTTATAAATAAAAATATTATAAATATAAAACATTGTTTTAACTGTAACGGTACGTATTTATTTATTTATTTATTTATTTATTAAGGATCTCCAACAGAAGTACATAGATATACAAAAAAAAATACAGGCTCTTTGGATAATGTTTAACATGTACCCCCAATTACTGGAGAACACAACATGCACTAAAAACAGTGTTGATAACATGAATTACTTAAAGTTAATAGGTGCAACTAAATCTGAACAATCAATTAACAAAACAAAATTAAAAATTCTAAAAATAAAATGAAAGAGAGAGAAAAAAAAAATGTTATGACAAATGTTCACATCACGAATAGAAAGCGTAACATTTCTTTTTAAATGTATTAAGTGTGTCGATACCCATGTCTGCTGATGGTATTGCATTAAATAATCGCGACATTCGGCCTAATGGGTGACACTTTCCTAAATTAGTTCTACTTCTACTCGTTTTGAAAAATGGACATGGATTTCGAGGTGGTTTCCATGGTACATTTATTTTAATTTTTTCAAGCAAGCCACTACTATCGACCTCGTTATGGAGAAGCTTATACAGAAATATTAGGTCCAATATATTTCTTCGTACATGAAGAGGTTGCAATTCGAAGTGCTTAAGTCGATCACCATAGCTTCTTAGAGGTACTCTCATACGATAAGATAAGTGTCTAACAAATATATAATATAAGTATAATATATAAGTATTATAATATATAAATAATATAATATAATATATAAGTATTTATAACTAAAAAGTAACTGTTCATATGTTCATGGTTTGTACATGTTCTTTGTAAGGCCCATGTACCCTAGCAAGGCCAACTGTCAAATTTTTGATTGACCTTATAAGGAACCATCGGCTTTCCTGGGAACACTACCAATATTTTAACTTAAATCGAGGCAAAACTATTTTTTTTTTCTTTAGTACCATAAACATATCCTTATCCCTTAAATGCATAGAGCTTTTTTCAGTTTGGATTTTGAAATAAGAAAAACATTGAGCATGTGTATTATGTGTGTTTATTTAATAATAAAATAATAAAAACAGTTATAGACAGTATTTGACATACTTATATAAAAAAAACTATATGAGGGATAAATCTCTCACCATGCACTTATAAGATATTAAGTAGTATGGAATGTAGTAAAACAGTTGTTATTTTTGTTGAGGCACAAATTGATGCCACATTTGGCACAGATAATAGTAGTATAGCCTGTACACTGTGGATACTTGCACCGAAGAGATACTCCAACATTTGGCCAATGCCCTAAACCATCTGTTCGTACATCCTTTGGGGGAATTGGTTTTGACTGGGCTCTTTTCTTTTTGACTTGCAATTCATGTTCAAGGCTAGAATTGCTGGGTCGACCTCGTTTATTACTATACCTTTATTGCATAAAACATAAGCCAACTCATTTCTGAACTCCCCCAAATTTAAAATATCTTTCTTTGCGACACCATCCTTTATAGCTTTATTTTTATAAATAATCCATGCGTTGATAACAGCCAGATCTAGGAGGTGGAAGAAGATTCGTATATACCATTTACGACTCTTGACTCTTATATGGTATCGACCTAAAAAACTATCAAGTAAGTCGACCCCACCCATATGACTGTTATATTCTATTATTGCTTTCGGACACGTTATATTAACATTTTCCTTTTTTTTCTTGTCAAATCTTTTCACACTTGTTACTGGCTCTGTTCCTACATAACTTGACAACATGGTAACTATTTTATTATCTTTCCAAGCTATAGTTTATAAATCAACTCCCTCATATGATGTTGTATTTTCTGCATAAGTACCCCTAGGAGTACTCTTTTTCATCATCTCTTTTTTATCCGGTAATTTATTGTTAGGAATTCTATTCTGTTGTGCCAAGAGAATGAATTCCTTGCTTGACCAGGTAAATTACTAAAGGCAAAGATGTGTAAAAATTATCAAAGAAGATAATATGATTGACCATCCGTGGTATATCTCTGGCCAAACGAAGCACAATATTACTTGTAGATCCTAAGTCAGGCTCCCCTTCTGGTCTCACGGTTAGGTCTTGGCCAGAATAAATTTCAAACTTGTATGCAAATCCAAAAACACTGGATAGAACATATAACTTAAAACCCCACTTGTGGGGTTTGTTTGGTAGATATTGTTTCAGGTAATGTCCAACCTTAGTTGAACACATCTGCTCATCTATTGATAGCCTTTGGTGTTTCTTTATGCTAGAAAAAGTCTTATTCAATCCATCAATTATTGGCCTTACTTTGTGCAGCGGTCATGGCCTGGTTGGTTAACTCGTATATTACTATAATTGTCATTAAAATGTATGTACTTTTTAATCTTTTCAAATTTGTTAACATCCATAACCTGTTTTATTGGATCATATCCAAATTGTCTTGACCATTATGCTCGGGTAGAGGGAAAATGCTGAACAGACATATAAATTAGAATGCCTAAAAATTTTCTCAAGTCATGGTCATACATTACAAAAGGATTGTTAGGGTTTTGTTGTAAGGCATACAAGTTTGTTTCTCTGACTATTTTTTGACACAGTTCTGGAGTAAAAAAATATTCAAAACACATGTATGGCGTTTTTAGGGCTTTCACTTCAGGTTCTAAATCTGTGTTGTCCCTAAAATAAATATTTGACTCTGAAAATTGAAATGGTCTATTCTTCCAAATCAGCTTTCTCTTGTCTAAAACCCAACTCGAGCTTGCAAGGTTTTCTGTTACTACAGATTCCATAGTATCCTCAATGAGAGGTGGGTTCTGCACTTCATGCTGTACATCAGCTAACGGAGGATCGTTTTCCACATCATCTCTTTCCACCAAGTCTTCCAGAAGTTCATTTCTGTTAGTATAATAGGTACTTTCCTCATTGTCTTCTGTGTCAGACATTTCCATTCCATCTTCAGACAGATATTGTTAGGGTCCTGGTGGACGTTAAAATAAAAAGTGGACTGTATAATAATTATATTTAGGCTGGTACAATCGTCGTTTAGTCGTTACAATGGAATAGGGAGGACGAATTTAGTTATTTGAAGTCGTCTTGTCGCCACGGGTCTCAAAAGGAAGTGAAGTGCTCCGTCGTGTAATGGCCGCTCGCCGTAGCTGTCGATGGTGGGGCTGCGACCGCGGCCCGCCGGTGTCCACTGTTGCGTTTTACGCAACATGCTCCCCCGGTTGAAGGTTGAAGTCTTCAAAGTCTGGAAGGGGGCAGATATTATTAAAGGCTCTACGAATTGTCCCACATTTCGTTTTAAGCTCAACCACTCTAACGACGCCATCGCTCCCTGGGTAAAGTCTTATTACTCTCCCCATCGACCAAAGAAGAGGCGGAAGGGCTTTATCCTTAATAACAACAAGAGAGCCCTGTTTGAGTTCTGATTTCGACGATCTCCACTTTACCTTCGCCTGCAGCAAAGACACATATTCTAAGGAAAAGCGTTGCCAAAAGTGTTGCTTAATGAGCTCTATTCTTTTGTATCGTTCGAGAGCATTGATGTTGGTTGCTGTTATCTGTGGATGAGGTATAGTTATTAATGATCGTCCAATTAAAAAGTGAGCAGGAGTTAAAGGAGATAAATCTTGAGGGTCAGAGGAAAGTGGGGTGAGAGGACGGGAGTTCAAAATTGCCTCAATCTGCGTAAGACAAGTAACCATTTCTTCAAAGGTGAAATTAGTGAGTTGAAGCAGTCTACGAAGATGGTGCTTAGTAGAGCGAACGGCTGCCTCAGCTAATCCATTAAAGTGTGGACTATAGGCAGGCACAAATTTAAATTCAATACCTTGCTGTGCAATACTACCTTCTAGGTCTGAATGGGCCAGGAATTTAGTTAATTCGTTATAAGTGCCGACAAAATTGGTACCGTTATCGGAAATAATACTTGAAGGTTTACCACGGCGCGATATAAAGCGATTTAAAGCGGCTATATATGCAGTTGTCGATAGTGCTGTAACAAGCTCGATGTGACAGGCTTTGACGGCATTGCAAATAAAAATTGCTAAATAACATTTATTTAATTTACAGCCTCTCCCCTTTCGGTCCGCTATCAACACTGGCCCAGCGTAATCCACGGAACAATGTAAAAAAGGGAATTCTAATTCCGTTCGGGATGCAGGTAACTGTCCCATTATAGGCTGAATGCTTTCGGATTTATATCTGCAACATCGAACACATTTATTAACAATAGACTTAGATAAGTTCCTGCCACCTAAGGGCCAAAAGGTTTGCCTTATATTTGCAAGTAGTAATTGTGGGCCAGAGTGTAAATATTTTAAATGAAAATAATGAAATAGAACCTTGCTAAAATGATGCTTACTACATATTAAAATAGGATGCTTAGTGTCATAACAGTATGGGGAATTACTAAGTCTGCCACCAACTCGAATAATATCATTGGAATCTAAAAATGGTGTTAAAGAAGCAAGTCTATTCTTTTTAGGCAAAGTATCGCCCCTTTTCAAAATAATGTATTCTTCAGGAAACATTTCTGATTGAACCTTTTTTATAATTAAATTTAAGGAATTCTGAAGCTCTGTTATAGATAAATAACCTTTTAATTTTATTTTATTTCTACAATTGTAAATAAATCTCTGTATATATGCTACTGATCGTTGTAAATAAGTAAATTTAGATGTATTATTAATTAAACGACATATTAAGTCAATATTTAGAGTATTGTTAAGTACTAAAGAACAATTAAGCAACTCAGGTAAATCCTGTTTCTTAGTAAGATTGGGAGTTTTTGGCCATTCATTTTCATTTTTTAACAAAAATGTGGGGCCCGACCACCACAATGAAGAACCACTGATGGAATCAGCCTTCACCCCACGCGAAACAAGATCCGCCGGGTTATCCCTCGACGGTACGTAGCTCCACGTATGACTTTCAGTGCTCTCCTGAATTTCATTAACTCGGTTTCGTACGAAACTTTTCAGATGAAGCGGTGATGTCTTTAACCATCCTAAGACGATAGTTGAGTCACACCAGAATCTACAACTACTTATAAACAGTGTTAAAGAAGAGAGTACCTTCATACACAACCTTGCTGCTAGCAAGGCACCGCAAAGCTCGAGTCGTGGCATTGTCGTGGGCTTTATCGGCGCTACTTTATTTTTAGAGGTCAAGAGGTGTACTGTTACTAGCCCTGATTTATGTACAGAACGAATATATAAACAAGCACCATATGCTCGTTCTGAAGCGTCTGAAAAAACGTGAATTTCATAAATATTAGAATCACTAAAAACCCAACGTGGAATTTTTAATTTATTAAGAAAGGGCAAAGTATTAACGAATTCCAACCAATGATTTTTAATTTCATTTGAGACTTCGTCATCCCATGTATATTGCTTGAGCCATAGCATTTGCATTATCATTTTAGATTCCACTACGCAAGGACCCACAAGGCCTAGTGGATCGAAAATCTGACTAATTACTGAGAGAATGTGGCGTTTAGTAACTTTTTTATGAAGTTCAATATTAATTGAAAATGACAAAATATCCGAATCACACATCCAATTAAGGCCTAAGGTTTTAGAAGGAACATTTTTATTACTTTCTGAAAAATTGAAGACATTATCCGTTTTTACATCACAAGGAGATAATTGTTTTAAAATTAAATTACTATTCGATTTCAATTTTCGTAAGTTGAACTTTGCCGACTTTAATGTGGATATTACTCCCTTGCAAAGAGTAATGGTACCAGAAATAGATGAACTTCCGCCTAAATAATCGTCCATATAAAAATCCCTTTGTATGGACTGCCTCACCTCATTATTTGGTGCACTAGATGCTAAACTAACTAGACATTTTGTAGCTAGATATGGCGCAGATGCTGTACCGTACGTCACAGTATTTAAAGTGTAAGTTTTTAGAGGTTGTTTTGTATCATATCTAAATATTATTTGTTGAAGACAGCGTTGAGACGGATTAAGTTCAATCGCCCTATACATTTTTTCAATGTCGCCAGTAACGACATATTTATGTTGACGGAAACGAATTAGGATGGAATAAAGATCGTCTTGTACAGTTGGACCGACCATTTGGATGTCATTTAGTGAAATACCAGACGATGTGGTCGCTGAAGCGTCAAAGACTGTACGAAGTTTTGTGGTAAGGCTTGACTCACGGACGACGCCGTGATGGGGTAAAAAATAATTCACCTGTTGAGGATAGCTAGATGACGACTGACTATTTTCAGTCATGTGGCCTAGAGATTCGTATTCCTTCATAAATTCGATATAGCGAGTCCTGTAAGCAGGATCTCTTGCAAACTTACGCTCTAAAGATAAAAAACGACATTTGGCCTTATGATATGAATCGCCTAAGACTGACGGATCTTCCTTCAGTGGCATTGAGACTACAAACCGGCCGTCACTATTTCGTGTAGTATTTTCAAAAAAATGCTGTTCAAATGCGCGCTCATCTGGGGATAATGAGTGCTTAGATGCTACCGTGTCTAATTCCCAGAAACGAGACAAGTCTGGGTTCGATTCCTCATTTAAAAAATGACATATTGGAGTAGAAGAGTGTACCTTAGGACGGGCTATATACCCTGACACCAACCAACCTAATTTTGTATCATATAGTTTAGGTAGATTTTTACCTAAATCTATAGAATTTGACTTTAAGACTGACCAAAATGTATGGGCCCCGAGTAATATATCTACAGCAGCCGGCTCATTAAATGAAGGGTCAGCTAGACAAATTCCAGAAGGAAGAGGAATATTCTCTATATTTATAAAAGAAGACGGCAAATTATTAGTAAGCTTAGGTAAAATATGACAGTCGATAGTAGTTCTATAATCATTATAAAGTGATTTAATAGTAAGACTACATGACTGTGTACTTTGAGAAATATGATTATTTATACCGGTCACCGTGGCGCTTGTACTATGTCGTGACAAACCCAACTTGCCGCAGAAAGACTCCGTAACGAAGTTGGCAGTGCTGCCATTGTCGAGCAGCACCCTGGCAAAGTGCTCGACGTTCATGCTGTCTACCACCTTCACTCGCGCTGTGGAAAGCAAGACGAGAGGAGGAGTAGTAAACTGTTTAGAATTAGTAGAATTAGCAAAATTGTTAATTGAAGTGATGGGCTCAGAAGGTTCCGTTGAATGTAAATGTAAAAGTGTGTTGTGCCTTTTCTTACAATATTTACAAGGAACAAGATTACATCTATGTTCATTGTGACCTGGACGCAAACAATTAAGACAGACCTTGGATTCCTTGGCCTTTTTTATACGATTTTCAATAGAAAGGGACCTAAATGACTCACAATTAAATAAAAAATGATTTTCCTTACACAAAGGACAATTAAATGATGATTTATAGCCATTATTATATTTTTGTTTATTATTTTTAATTGAATTATAATTTAAATTTTGATTATTTTTGAAATCGGAAATAAAAGTTGATTTACAATTATCGTATTTTTGTGATTTTATGATTTTATTTTCCTGTAATGTTTCTAATAAATCTGCCCTATTGCTTAGAAAAGATATAAAAATGTCATATGAAGGTGGGTTATCCAGAGTATTTCTATGCGTTTCCCACTCCCTACGAGTAATACTATCTAGCTTATCAGCAATCATATGAATGATCAAAGTGTCCCAATACTGAGTAGGCTGATCTAATGTAGACAAAGCACGTAAATTTTTATTTGTAATATCTATGAGGTGGCGAATACTCTGAGAAGATTCTTTATGCATGTTTTCCACATTAAATAAAGCCTGAACATGATTGTTAACGAGTAACCTTTTGTTGTCGTATCTAGTGCACAATAATTTCCAAGCGTTCGCATAATTGTCGCCTTTTACATCTAAACTATCAATAATTAACAATGCACTACCCTTAAGAGACGCACGAAGATAATGCAACTTATTAATGTTATCTATATCAGACCTTGAGTGAATTAAGGAAATAAAAGTGTCCCTATACTCAAGCCAATGCTGATAATGGCCATGAAAGGTGGGCAAATCGATTTTTGGTAACCTTATATAATTATATTTGGAACCACCTGCCTGCGCATCTTCGAAACTTGCCGCAGAACCATCGTGAGCCTCACGTCGATGGGAAGGCTCGTCGCCAAGAAGATTGCGAGCCTCTGCCACCAGCTCGTAGTATACGTTTTCAAACTGCTCGCGTTCGTGGAGCTCGTTGTCAGGATTATCCGATAACATTTCGATGTCGCACTGTACTTGATCAAAATCAGCGTATAAGGTATTGAATTTATTAAATCTGCCTCCTAAATCCAATAACTGTAATCTACTTAGTTCCTTGGAACTTTTAAGTACATTTATATAATTACTAAAGATAGTTAATTTAGACTTTATTCCACCACGCTTTTTTATTAACTTATCTAACTTTGTTTCGGTCATAGTGATAGTAAGTGCGTATAAAAAATGAAGTAAAAGCAAAAAGATAAATTGTTAATATATTTTAAAGAATAAAAATGCAACAGCAAGTTAATTACGTAACTTCGAGAACAAAAGGCAAGCGAATGACTGCGAGCCGGCCGATCAGCCGTTAGCGATAAGAAGTTAACGGTAAAAAAAATTACAAGCAATTATATGCAGTTCTAATGAACTTATTAAGAAAAGAAACTATAAATGAGCAATATTTGTATCATATATGATTATTATTTACAAATTTTATTAGCTTGGGTGAAATTATTAATGGATAAAATAAATTGATGAGGTTTATTTAAATATATACTCGAATAATGCGTTAAGCAAATAAACTAATGCTATTGCAGTGTGAGAATAAAACGTAAAGACTTATAGGCTTAAAGAGAAAAATGACGCAATAGGCTAATTTTGCATTTGTGCTTTTGCAATTTTGAAGCTAGGTATGAAATTAGGACAGAATGGAAAATAATTGGAACGACTCACTAATAATACCCATCCACTTGCGTGATGTTGGAAGTTTGTCCTTTTCTTTGTCTTGAGGTTTGACTCGTGGGTCCAAAGTTCGTGCGGCCGACCTCTAAACGACTTTGATGACGTCCGGGCGTGTGTAGATGCTATGCAAAACGTTCACTCGAGATGATGATCGATGATGAACGAATCTTGCCTGTTGAAGTCCACAACTAAGGCTCCGAATCTTGAAGTGTCTTCCCTTCTTCATATAATTACGCGACTTATAACGGCGAGAATCCTAAAGGACCATTGTTAGGGTCCTGGTGGACGTTAAAATAAAAAGTGGACTGTATAATAATTATATTTAGGCTGGTACAATCGTCGTTAAGTCGTTACAATGGAATAGGGAGGACGAATTTAGTTATTTGAAGTCGTCTTGTCGCCACGGGTCTCAAAAGGAAGTGAAGTGCTCCGTCGTGTAATGGCCGCTCGCCGTAGCTGTCGATGGTGGGGCTGCGACCGCGGCCCGCCGGTGTCCACTGTTGCGTTTTACGCAACAGATATCCTCCTTCGAAGCCAAGTAGTCTTCAATGTCTTTATCTCTTAGACGTTCCCTTTGAGAAGACATTTTGACTGAAATATAAACGAATAATAATTTAAATTTGAAATACATCAACAAAACAATAAATGTATTCATAAAGTGCGATTTCTATACATAGGAAGTGACGAATAATGCATAACGAGGGAAATATCCATCGTAACATAACAGTGCCCAGAACACACTAAACACTATGTTTTTCTGATAATCTTTGCAATAATTATAGAGAACATACCTTATTTTATCCGTAAATTATTTTTATAGTTTATAATTTGCCGCAAAAGTTTATGAAATATCACTCTACTAATATATATATTTAAGTATTTTTATTTTTAGGTAAAGTACATTTGTTATTGATAAACGTCTTTAAGAGACCCTCAATGTTGATCACGATTACTGAGCGCTATGTTTTTCTGTCTAAGTAACAGTGTGACCTATAATAGTTAAATCCAGAAATTACCAATAATACGTTCCTTGAACTAAATGTGACAATTCACAGCATAAAATCTTACCCGAAATTACTGAAATATTAATAAAAACTTTGGTAGGTAGTGTTCTTGGTAGATAAACATCGATAAATCATATTTTAGTGCTCAACCTTTACTTCTAATTTGAGATCCACGATTTATCATAAAATTCTTTGAAATATTATAACAGGCATTATGATAATTATAACATTTCTTTATAAAGATAATCAGTACAAAACTTAAATATGCACATTGGCTAACAAAATATAATTCTTATTATTTAAAGTAACTTCAGTCTTAAATGATTATGTTTTTATTTGGCTATCTAAGCACTCACATTTTTAATGATACTCCTAATATTAAATTATTAACTTATAAAGGTAGTGACAACACTTACCGACGCCGAATAAACATAAGAAATCAGAAAAACTATACGTTTAGACTAAATGATAGAAAAAAAGGTAGTGTAGTCGCGACACTTGATATTATATCTTAACGACAATTACGAGTAAGTATTTGTGATCAGTTCAAGCTGACTCCGTATCAATAAGTATTCATTCATTCCCTAATTTCTTGTAAAAAATTCAACAGCTAATGCCTTATCGCTAGTACAATCGCTAGTATCACAAGCACTTAATATGAATTTAATAATTACTACAAAAAAATACAACGTAAGGTTAATTTTAACGCCGCACGTCCGTAAAATTACCCAGTAAACACTGCTCTTCCACAGCTACAGGTATTCCTTCTTTGATCACTGCATTGGTGAGGCAGTTGGTCGTAAAATAAGTGTACATCTGCAGGCAACACAGCCTTTAATTCTTGTAAATGAATGTACTTGTTTCGTGGAATTGGGAGTCTACTGTCATATAATAGCGGAATAGAATCGGATAGACCTGGCATTTTAATCCTTCTTGTTAGTTGTGCAAAATCTTCGTTATGTACTTTTTTATAAAAAATTGTCCCATCTCTGCGGTACTCGATATAGCGCAAATCAAAAACTGTTGCTTCCCCTACTTTCTTTCCAGGTCTAATGGAGTTGAGGTATGGCATACAGCTGAACTTGTGGAAGAAAGTATGGTTTAAGTAGTGAACGTTATAAGGTTTTGTCAGTCTAGTAGTTTTACAAATTTCGACGTACTGTGCTGGTGAATAAATCTCACGATTTTTGAGCTTTCGTTCAATGGTGGCATGCATGGAGTCACACTCCATTTGAGTGTGACCTTTTTCAAGGTATTTATGCGTAATAGTTAACGATTTTTGCTTTGCAGCAAGAAGTAAGGCGTTTTCCAGTATTGCATTCCGATTTTGATTAGTGCAGCCATCGCTCCAGAATATAACGTGCTTCACAGTGTCATCAATATTATTATTCAAAAAATGATAGAGAATACTAGCAAATTCATCGGCTGTCACGCCTCCTTCACACTCATTCCAGATGAAGCAGTACCCGTCAGAAGTTTTCAGATCAAAAATGGTAAAATTATGAACCTTCAGTTTAGTTTTTTAGTAGAGAGCGGATGCATTTAATGCCGGTGATAATAAAACTGCCTGCAGATCAAATGTGAAAACTTTTACAGATGGATCAGATATATTTTTGTGTGAAGACTTCTCTTGTCTTGCCTTATCCTTGCGCAAAATATGTATGTTGTAATCTGCGTCACTTAAATTACCGACCCTTCTGGCGCAACAAACATCACATTCATCTTTCTTGGGAGAAAATAATGAAAGGTTCATTGCCTCAAATTCTTCCCAAAATATGAAATTTGATACTTTACAGTCATCTTTCCCCTTTTCTCTAAGATAATTCAGATATTCTCGGTAAAGGCTTTGTTTGCTGCCCCAACTACGCTCTAAATAAAGTTTAGTCGTAGATTTTCGGCAATAATGTGATTCCAGTTTTGGAAGCATATTCAAATATTCTCTTAAATGTTTTCTTCCTTCTTCTTCTTGTTCTTTAACTGTACTATTCCTATTTTTCGTATGCACTTTATGAGGCACGCTACGTGACCAGTTATGAACAGTCCATTCTCCGATGTCAAAAGTATGTAGATACATTTGTTTGCAAACCGTGTACTGCCCTTCAGGTGTGTTTAAAGTGTATTTATAAGTATTATCTCTTCGAGCATTTATAGTGTTACATTTACGTCTAGCCACACTTTGGCATTGGACTGTCTTTTTAATCCACACTTTCTTCGCCTCCCAAGTTAAATTCCAGTACTAATTAAAATTTGACTGCCTGTTTTCATCAGTCACTTTATGACACTGAAAATATTTACTATTTTCTGTATGACAACACCTAAGTTCCACAGAACGTTTCCTTCTGGGAACATCGAAAATCACTTTCCCTTCTTCAGTTTTTCTTCTTCCTGCATAAGTGTCTCCTTTCATACGTTTGTACTTATTCGCTTCACTAATCCAACTTTCTTTATTTGCCTTTCCTCTTTTAGATCGGCGTCTTTTTCCATCAGTCATATTAATGTCTTCTGATTCAGAAGATGATTGTCTCAATAACTCGTTGGATCGATAGTCAGAGTCTTCATTATCAGGCGAGTAGTCACCGATACCAGAACAAGGCGAAATATGACCCAGCATCGGATCTTCGGAACATGACGAAATAATATCTAAAGGCTCATAAAGATTTTGAGGAGAATCAATTACGGGGAGCAAATCAAAATTTAAAGTACTTGTTGGCGACATTGATGGACATTGTTGTATATTATCCTGGCGTATCAGAGTGTTAAGTGAAGGCTCCTTTAAAAAATCTTTCAACAATACTACTTCTTCTGCTGCTATATAACAACCCATCTCTTCATAAAAATTATCTACTGAAGGAGAATTACCAACAGCTTTTGAGTTACCCTTTGTTTGAAAGGTTGTATGTTCTTTAGTAGCTTTAAGTGTACGTTTTTTTAAAATACTTATTTCTTCTACAGAATTTATCATGCGGAGACACAATTCAACAAGTGAAATGGGCTTGATATGATAATCTTTCAGACTGTTTAACGGCATGGGAGCAGTGTTACTTATTTCGGGAATCTTGACTGCTGCAAGAGGTTCTTCATTTTTGGAAATTAGGTTCTCCGTACTATTAATCACCTGCCTACGTAACTTAGTGAGCGATTCGGGACTATCTATCTGTAAGGAACTATCAATCGGATTATTGACTTTTATTGGAGATGACAGCGTGCTAGTTTGATCAAAAGATTGGACGGGGTCTTCGCTTGTAGAAATATCTTCCTCTCTTACATTTGCCTTAAATTTATGTGACGGATTAATTATAAACTTTACATTTTGACGTAATTTTCGTGACTTTCTCTCTCTACGTGATGGATAATAGTGTTTTATAATCTCTGGAGCATATCTACCGTCGCTAGGATCCGACGCCATGATGAACTAAAACAAAAGTAAATGTTTATTTTATTAATAAAACTGATTCGACATTAACGATTAAATACTGAAAACCTAGTAATGGTTTACTAGCCAAGTAAACATAACATGAAAGGCTCGTATGTACGTTTACGAGATATTCGTACAAAATAATAAAAACGAAATCCTCGTAAATGCATAATGAACTAGAGAAATTATATAAAACGATTTTATGAACTGGATTTTAGGTTTAAATACATTGCATAGTAACATAAATGCATTATACATGTTTTGTAATCTAGTTTACTAATCTGTTTATTTTGTATGAAGACCTCGTAATCATCCTTACGTACTTTTCCTTCTCGACGTAATATACATTTACAAATGAATACCTTGTAAAAGTACAAACGTGGTATTCTGTCTAAATTTAAGTTAAATTAAAACCTCGTATTTGACTTTACGAGCTTTGCAAACATATTTATGTGTCTTTATGAGGTTACTAATTAGAAAACTAGCCACAACTTTAAAATATTCAGTTATATCTCTATGAAAATACGTTTCAAACATGAAAAGTACTTACCTTCTTTGGAAAAACACTAAATTATACAGCTACAGCAGGATAAACTAAAGTAATCAATTTTCAAATAAGAAACCACACGTTCGTTGCAAGGTTTTCACACCAAACTGACAAATGCGAGTATTTACGAGTTTCTCATTTATTGTCAAAGATGGCGTTACGAGTATCGAATGAACAAATTAGTCAGATCAGGATGTGCGTTACGAGGTTTTCTTCCCAGAAACGCAATAAAATAATTTTGGGCAAAAATGCATTCCCGAGGTTTTCACTCTAAGGCGTCGATAATTAGAGTTAGTCTAAGTTTATGAACCTATCATACATAACATCGGCATAGGCTTGCGTATCTGGAGTTGGAGCTCTGAGAAAACAATGTCTAACAATAAAAGTATGTGCACTTAAATTGGTATTATCTCGGGCCAAATTATAGGCTTGTATCATTTCAACACTTAACGTGCCTTGGAAAATAAGAAGCGCGAAATGTCCCACGCTAGTTGATAACGCTGGAGACAAACGCGCCAATGCGACGAGATCCTCAACTATCTGACACATTACAGCGAGTAATGTATCACCATTATTAGCGCGACGCTCCCTCAAGCACGCAGAAAAGGCCCGGCGACACTGTTTCCAATCTTGTGCTCGGAGAACTCTCGCATGGAGGTCAAGCATAGTAAGCAATGTGGCAGTCTGACGTCCTGTCATATGAAAAACTCTGGGAAGCTCATTCTCAACAAGTTTTACACTTACAGGTAAGCAAGTGTTAGCAAATGGAGATGTTAAAAAGGAATGTTGACCAAATGTCTTTATAACGCCAGGATTATTATTGGGAACGACTCTATCCTCTCCACATGTCCCAATTTTTATAGAAGGTTTCAGATCAGGTAAAGTGATGTTCTCAGAAAAGGAATCGGCAATATTGAAATAATACTCAAAAGCTACGTCCGCTCTAAGCTCTCTAAGAAATTTATATGCGCAATCTTGGCATGTATTCTGTAATAGCCACGCCTTAATCATCGTGGCGCTCGCACGCAAGCGCTCATAATCGTGCTCCAGCACTAAACGCGACCACCAGCATACACAGTATAGTAAAGTACGTAGGCCAACTCCCTCTGATACACGGCGACGCACTCGTTCTAGTAAAAGCATCAGAAACCACTGTCCCAGAGTCCGAGGCTTCATAGTGTAACCCCCCTGGATCTCGAAACTGGGTCCTATTAACGGAACTTCAAGTTCCTGAGAATAAGACACACAGGAGGAGTACTAGTACAGGAGGAGAACAAGAACGCACAGGAGGAGAAAAGGTAGGTATCCACCTATCCCTAACCGCATCTATTCTGTCTATCTTGTCGAGCAACTGAGAGGTCAAGGTGTACTCGGACAAATACTGTTCCACTCCTTGATCCCCCATATATTTCAGCATTAAATCAGGAATAGTAATACGGTGAGACTTCCTAAAGAGATAAGTCTCAACAGTCGAATAGTCCAATACACGATGTATCTCAACTCGCTTTGAGCGGATACCATCTTTAAATTTCATGTGGATTTCCTTATTGACGAAGTTGTGGGTATTGACTTGGAACAGAGCCAAACCCAAGTTGCACTCGTCCGTCATTTCGATATGACCATTCCAATCAGTCGATTGCAATGGTCTGGTTCTGGTAGCCGCGCGATGAATCAGCGCGGCTTCTAGATCATACGGCTTGGTATTGTTACGTAAAGTTTGAAGGTTATTTTCCCTCGTACGCCCAGATTGAACTGGGCGTTTCTGTTGCACATTTCTCTTCCCGTTAGGGCTCTCTGCTGAACAATCCCACCATAAGCACGTACAGGTTGCATAGTGTACACGAGGAACGATACTATTCTGACCCAAAATTCGAAAGCTGAAACCGTCAAATGATTGCACTCAAATGACGATAAATGAAGCATAGTATTCGAGTTACGATTAAAGTTTTTATTAAAATTTTGGCGTTGTTGCGTGTTATATTGTCGCTTCCTACATTGATAAATAGTGTGCCCTATACTTTTACAATAGTTACATATTAATTTATCAGAATTAGAGCTTGATAGATAAGAAATTTGTTTATTATAATTAAAATTAGAATGTTTTTTATTTTTAAAACATTGAATAGCAATATGATGGCCCATTTTATTACATATACTACACTGTTTATTCGAATTTTTCGAACACGTTTGAAGATTTTGTAGTTTTTCTTCCTCTATTGCTAATTGAATAGCTTCGTTTCACGTTTGAGGAGTCCTACACCGAACTATATTAGAAATAACAGGATTTAACCCTAATAAAAATGTATTCAATGCTAGATCTTCCATGGCGGCTATTCTACCTGGAAGTTCTTCAGGTTTTTTGCAGCCATAATGTATATCTGACTGGATTTTTGTAAAAATTTGTTCTAGTTTTAAGGAAAAATTTGTGATGTCCTCGGATAATTGTTTACAGTTTGCAAATCTGACAGTAAGTGTGTCGAGTTTTTTTCTCTCCGAAAGTAGAGCGGAGGAATGTTTTTATTTGGGTCGATGTTTCAAAATTTTTTAAACTACACGCAACTTGAGCTTTTCCCTCAAGTTGTGATAAAATAAATTTGCATAAAATTGGTTTGCATAAAGTTGTGATAAAATAAATTTGCATAAAGTGGCTAATGACATTGCATTGTCTCAATTTGTGAGAAAAGCGGGTAAAGATTCCTTCTCCCTATTGTAAGCTTCTATAAATTTCGTCAAAAACGATAGCGTAATTTTCTCTGACATATTGTCATTATTCTTTTCTTAAAGTGACATATTGTGAAATTAAAATTTATATTGAAATAATCACAAGAAACAATTTTAAAGATAGTAACAGAGTAAAATAAAAGTAAAATTAAAGCTTGAAGAAATAGAAAACGACTTACAGGGAAATAATAATTTCTACATGCAGCATATTTTGTGTAACAATGGTTGACACGTTACACTTGTGGCGGATTGCGGACGGAATCGCTGACACGATTACTCTCCGTCGTGGGAAATAGCAGAAATGTAGAATGTTCTTCGGAATATTTTCTTGTTGATGGTGGTGAGTTAGACCCAGCTGGTGCGGGCTCCTGGCGGAGGCTGATCGTCGACCAGGCCGGTGATTTCAGGATCAGGTGTGCGTGGAGCGGGCTCACGCTTTAAAGCGGAGGCTGATCGTCGTCCAAAATTTGTAGTAGTAGTAGGTGCATGCTTAGGCACGGCTAAGGCTTAGTGTCGACCTTGAAGATTTCGGGGACCTCGGATTCGGATGCCAATGTCTTTTACGATTTTCTATTGGCATCCCACTTCTGACACCAATTTGTTAGGAGGCCGATCCCGTAAGTCTTTTAAAAAAAAACACAAAATAAACCTAAAAGTTTGTTACAAAGTTCACACACAAAACTTTTATAAATTCTGACTTCCGAACTTTAACGCGTCTCGGAATCTATGTCCGATCTTTCCGGGGCTCTGAGTCTAACTAACTTAAAAATGAAATTAGAATTAATGTTGAAAAAGGAACAATGCAATCGCTGACTAAGGTTAATGTAAAGGAAAAATACTGTGAATTAAATAAGTGCTTACTAAGATTTAACTGCGTTGTAAAAAGGGATATAACAGAACCCTGTTCATAATTAAATGAAACAATATTGTATTAAAAGAAAACATATTTTATGATTTTTACAATTTTACTATTACAATTACTTACCACTGCTTCGTTTTATAACCATGCCTTCAGTAGTTGGAATAAAACAGTGTGAACTTTTTTTGATGATGATGATTGAAACCGTGGTCGGAGATGTAGCGGAGCTACCACTGTGTTTAAATTTCAATGTGTAATATATATGATGTTAATATTTATCTATTTTTATAAGTACTAGTAGTTTAATATATATTATGTAGCACGAAGGCAAACGGACGGGCGTCGTTAGCGATGACGCAATCGATCGGCCAACCGGTTCAATGACCTACGCGCGCACCGGCCGCCGAGTGGCGCGGGCGCGGCATCTCACAGTTCGCTTCCGACCGCTAACTACGCCCGACGCTTACCGCTCCGTATCAGTTATTGCTTATTTCTATTACGTGTTCTATCTAAACTTTATACTTCTAATTATCTCTTTCTGTATTTCTTGTGTGTGCCGTATTAAACTTCTTTGTGTAACCCGGAATTTCCTTTCACTCTAACGACTACGCTACGCCCATGGACTTTGATACGCTTATTGCTAGGCACATAGACTTTATTGTAGTGGCGATATAATCTCACCATCCCATTATACCTAAACTGGTGACCCCGACGTGATATTGCCTTTATAAATCTTTTCGATCGTCTCTTGTGATTTTGCGGGATCAAGGTTCCAATTTTTTCTTTTAGGAGCTGAACAATTAAATTCTGATGCTCCCAATTAGCCGTGGTATTACATGTCTCTCCTTTACCAACTAGGCCAGACTCTGCGAGATGTGGCATGTGGTATATTATTGGAACATATATATATCCAGAATATTCCATATAAGATCCCGTCTGCTCCATAACAATACCCAATTCAGGAGCTATAACCCCTGATTCAAGCACCCTAATTTTGAATTTCGACAGTGACGTAGTTGTTGTATTTATCGAGGCATCATCTTCGAGCTCTGTCAAAACTCGATAATTTAGGGTATTATTGTTCTTCGACAATGATCTTTTAGATCTCGTCTGGGTGTTATGGGTTGTACCCTCATCTCTCTCATATTCCTCTCGGATATGATTGCTTCTAATCTCTATTCTATTTCTATTTGCTTCTAATCTAATCTGCGGTAGTCTCCGCACGGTCGCCAGCCATTTTTCTTTGGCGCGAGGTGTAGCGGAGACGCCCATGGAGAGTCCGAAGGCCTGCAGGTACCCATCTGTAACATAACTTCGAATTCGTCCTTGGCTATTTTAAGCCTATCGGGTGCCAGTCTGCGTGGTGCGCAAGATTCAGGCGGGCCAGGTGTTGTGCGTATGTAGTGAAGTGTGTTAAAAGGGACTTCTTGGGAACCACTTGCGTTTTTCTCTCGTAAGTTGAGTCCGTCCCAACAAAAGTATTCCCCTTATGATAGAGAGCTCCTGGCTATATACGAAAGTGTGAAACACTTCCGTCACATGCTTGAGGCTAGAGTATTCACTATTTATACCGATCACAAACCTCTCACTTATGCTTTCAACTCTCACAAAGGCAACTGTTCCCCTAGACAGTTTCGTCACCTAGATTTCATTTCGCAATTCACCACTGACATTGAACATATTTCAGGTAAGGACAATATCGTAGCCGATACTTTATCTCGTATCGAGGCAGTAGGGCAGCCGGTAGACTTGAAATTGCTGTCTGAAGCTCAAAGTGGTGACTGCGAAATGAAGATATATTTGAGCGATAGCACAGCGCTACAGCTTAAGAAGCTAAAATTGCCTGGGTGTCAAGAGGGACTATATTGTGATGTAAGAGACGGTAACTTACGACCGTTTGTTCCAACGAAGCTAAGACAGCAAGTCATCAACAGCTTGCACTCGTTGAGTCATCCCGGTGCAAATGCGACTGCGAAAATAGTTTCAGATCGTTACGTGTGGCCAGGCGTAAAGCGTGACTGTCGTGAATTCGTTCGAAATTGCCTAGCTTGTCAAAGATCGAAAGTTACAAGACACGTCTCTTCTCCTTTAAGCTCCTTCAAACTTCCAAAGACAAGATTTGCCTTTGTTCATATCGATCTAGTCGGACCACTACCAATTTCACAAGGTTACCGATATTGCCTCACAGCTGTAGACCGCTTTACACGGTGGCCAGAGGTGATACCACTGGTAGATATTACTGCTGAGACTATATCTAAGGCACTAATTCACGGTTGGATCTCACGCTTCGGTTGTCCTATGGACATCGTGACCGACCGTGGGAGACAATTCGAGTCGGCTCTATTTAAAAGCTTGTCTCAACTGATTGGCTTTCAGCATCGCAGAACCACCGCATATCATCCACAGTGCAATGGATTAGTTGAGAGGTTCCACAGACAGCTGAAAACAGCAATAGTGTGCCACGACGGTACATCGTGGGTGGACGCATTACCACTCGTGTTGTTAGGCATCCGAAGCGCTATTAAAGAGGACCTAAAAGCTTCCTCAGCTGAGCTTCTATATGGGGAACCTCTCCGGCTTCCAGGTGAAATTTTTGAGCCCACAGAAGTTAACAACTTCGATATTTCTGATTACGTGTCAAGGCTACGTAAGTTCGTCAAGAACCTCCAGCCATTGCCCACTAATCAACATGGCGGGAGACGCTCAACATTCATTCATAAAGATCTCGCTACATCCTCTCATGTATTTCTGCGTGACGACAGTACCACAGGCTCCCTTAGGCCAGCGTATTCCGGCCCTTACGAGGTATTGGAACGTAAGGAGAAAGTATTCAAAATTCTGTATAAGGGAAACGAGGTCACAGTATCCATAGACCGATTGAAACCAGCCTACATACTGCATGACCCTAACACCAATTACGCGCCATACACACAACATACTTCAACTACACTTAAACAATCACACGAACCAAATATAACTCACAAACTTAAAATCACACAAAGATCTGCACACACACAAACACACACTCCAACGAACATACCAGATAAGAATCCTCACAGTAAAGATCATATCGTTAGAACCACCAGATCGGGCCGAAAAGTAAATTTTCCCGATTATTATCGCCCATAGAGCGTTATCAGGAGGGGGGTGGTGTAGCGGAGCTACCACTGTGTTTAAATTTCAATGTGTAATATATATGATGTTAATATTTATCTATTTTTATAAGTACTAGTAGTTTAATATATATTATGTAGCACGAAGGCAAACGGACGGGCGTCGTTAGCGATGACGCAATCGATCGGCCAACCGGTTCAATGACCTACGCGCGCACCGGCCGCCGAGTGGCGCGGGCGCGGCATCTCACAGTTCGCTTCCGACCGCTAACTACGCCCGACGCTTACCGCTCCGTATCAGTTATTGCTTATTTCTATTACGTGTTCTATCTAAACTTTATACTTCTAATTATCTCTTTCTGTATTTCTTGTGTGTGCCGTATTAAACTTCTTTGTGTAACCCGGAATTTCCTTTCACTCTAACGACTACGCTACGCCCATGGACTTTGATACGCTTATTGCTAGGCACATAGACTTTATTGTAGTGGCGATATAATCTCACCATCCCATTATACCTAAAGAGAAAAATTCTTTGGCGTTCAATATCATCTTTTGAGCAGTATGTAGTAAATGGCTGTTAGAGTTAAATTTGAATTCGCCCATTCATACAATCGCGATGGCGTTTTATGTCACTTCTTGTTTCTGTATCTTGATAATTTCTGGGGTCATATTCTGATGAATCGCAAGAAGCTATTGTACAACTTGATTCTGAATCTGAAGAACTCTCAACGTCCTTATTCAATTTTTTTAACGGAATATGTGCTTTCTCGCTTTGTTCTTTTGTTTGATTAGTTAGTCTTTTGCAGTGGTCTTGGTCTTTAGGTTCGTGGTGGAATTTTGATTTATTGACTGACATGACGAGATGTCAACGCTTCTGACTGATTTACCTGAAGGCACATTGTTTTTCCCTTTATTAGGTTTGGATGGATTAGGATGTTTGTTTTCATTAAGATAATCAAGTAGTGTTTGATGAACGTCATATCATCTTCATATTTGGACAGTTTTTTATATACCCCATGCGGATTGAATGGGTGAATGTCAGTAGCTTTTAAACCACTCAACATGTTTTGCTTCTTTATATTGGCAGCATCCATTGTCGCGTTTTCTTAATTTAAAGAGAGAAATAAAATTCAATATCAAGTTTTACAAGTATATTAAAATATAGTTACGTAGTACAATTAACAATATTCACGTATCCTAAGTAGGGATTATTACTATTAAGTTAAAAGGTATATACAATAAGAGAACGCTTTTATGATACTATATAATATTAAAATGAAATAATAATAAATTAAGATTAAGGTTATTCGGGTTCGTGGGTTCACGCAAGAAAAAGTCTAGCATTAACAATTGTAAGATAAAAAAAATATTACTGTCCTGGCTAGCGACACGGTAGGTGTAGCTTAATTTTCATCCCCGGGTAAGTCCGCGCTTGTAGCCGGATAATGAAGTCTCAGGACACGGGAGTCTGGAATGTTCGGTGAAGTCCTCTCACGCCCTTGAGTGACCTCTAACGTCCTTGCGCGACCTCTGATGTCCTTAAGTGACTTCTGCGTATCGGATGTCTTCCGAGAGTGAGAAAGTTACTTAGAAGTTAAGAAAACCCTGTAACGTACATATTCAGACATTTTAACAAATGACTGATTTCGTACACCTGACTGCAACATCCTATTTTTCCGATGTGATAAGTTTTTGATACCACGCTAAACACAGGATAGTAATATTCAATATACATTGATATATTAATAGATGAGGCAGTCCAGGCGTAACAAAATGTGTTTGTAAAAATAATTCTAGCATACAAAGGGAATAAAGTTTAACATCAGAAGTTATATTAATTAAATAAAAAAAACAAGGTACAAACATTTCTTAAACAAAATAAGCATAAATATTGATTAAAACAAGGATTGCTTTTAACTACTTTCTAAAATACTTATATATTTTTTAACGTTGACGGTAGATATAGGTACATGTAAATCATACTTACTATTAACTCTTATATCTAAAATATAGGAAATCGTTTTACAACACTTACCCAGTCTGGGGTTAGTAAAAACTTACGAAGATGAAGATTAATTAAACTATTAAAATAAATGCACACCACATTGTAGTAAAATAAGACTAGGGTGCGGCCGTCCGCGGTCAAGACGTGAAGTGATCTCTGGCTGTCTCTTCAACTCGTTCTCCGCCGGCTGACCGATTAAAAGAAGGTCGCGTTGTAATGACGCAGCGTTTTTATACGTCCGCATAATATAGATAATGAGCAATGTATTCTAATGTTTCTTTTGATTTAATCTGTGCGAATGTGTTTAGTAATTAAATTAAATAAGGATATGTTACACCATCAATTGCTTTAGTAGGAGAGGAAAATGGGATTTGTTAAACGATGTTTGTTTACGATTTTCCGTTTTATATCGGAGAAGAATTTTTCTCCATTCTTTAATTAGGGGCCCGAAGAAAGTAACGCCCAGAGGCTGCGTTAAGTGTGTAGACATAGGAGGCAAAAATACGAAACGTATTTGATAAGCCTCACATAATTCAACCACATCGGGATTTAAATGGCTGGATAAGTTACAGCTATAACTATTTTCGGTCTTTCAAATTGTCTGGCCCATGGAATAACAATGTTCGTGAACCAGTCCAAAAAGACAACGGGATCAAACCCACCGATTTTAGAGCGATTATAGCATGCTCCTTCTGGCCCACCTTTACACCACTCACTCCTTAAATTTTCTGATTTATAAACAACGTATGGCGGCAGAGGTTCGCCGTAAGCAGTCCCAGCAAACATAAATAATATACAGCCTTTTGAATTCTCTCATGGTACTTTACTTCCCGGCGAAAAATACATTTTGCGGAGCCTAAGTTGTCAGAAGCATTGGTCTCGTCATAGTTCATTATATATTTAGGTGCAAATAGGTGATAATGCAGGTTGCATGGGCTCAAAATAACAAGAAAAAAAGTTATTGTCCAGATATGAAACAAACGCTATCTTATAAAACTCATTTACACAATTACTTTTTATTATAGGATCATTGAAATCGAACCCAGAGAAAAAGAGATATATCTATCTAATTCTTTTGTTCCTAAAATTCAAAATACAAAATATATTGTTCAGCATTAAATTATTACATTTTTTTACTGAATGTCATGATTCTACTACCAGTTCGGAAAGAAGAAGCCTCAGACCTGAGAAGGACTGGCGAATGAAATGAGGCGAATGAAAGTGTGCTGCAGAATACAACATTTGGAAAGCTATTAAAAATTATGCTTTAAATATCCCATCACCTGCGTTGTTGCCTGGGAGTTCTAGAAAACTTCCATACTTTTTTGTTGGGGATGATGCTTTTCCAATGTCTCAAAATTTACTGAAACCATATGGCCAAACTGGATTAACATAAGAGAAAAGAATATACAACTATCGAATATCGCGAGCTGGAACGATGGTTGAAAGTGTTTTCGGTATACTAACTACTCGTTTTAAAGTATTTCAAAGAGCATTTCCTTTTGATCCTATAAAAGTAAGGACAATTGCTTTGACTTATTGTTATCTAAACATTTTTTTGAGAAAATCCCGTTCCTTTTTATCTCCATCATTTATGTTTCGTGAAGATAACGAATCAGGAATAATACACCCACCATCTCTGGATGTGCTCCCGTTTATACCATTGGAAAATATCAATAAAAAAAATTCGCTGAATATCGCGTACCAAGTACGGGACGACTATAGTTTGTCCAATTTATAAATGGTTTTTTGACAGCTTACGCCCATGAAGTTTCGTATTTAATGGTTAACCGGTAAGTTAAAATTTCATACAAATAATATTGCACTTCATGGACGGGTACCGCCCCCTTATTGATGTGCCACACATAACGATTACTACGATTGTGCCACAGATTACAAATAATCGATAGAAATAAATGCTAATATGTAAATAAGGTGTAATATGTTATTTAATCAGGAAGACAGCAAAATTTTAAGGTTGAAACCAATAAATTAAAATATTAACATTATGTTTTACTTTCTTCTTAGCATAAGGCATACAAATAAAACAACTAAAATAGTTTAATTCCTTTTATTAACATGTTTCGTCAGAATCATCATTTATATTAGATTCGTCCGATGAGGAGTCTTCAGTTATATTAATTATTAACTCTTGTGTGCATAAATTATATCAAATGCTATGTCACGGTCCCAATCAGACATTATGACTCTTTTAGTTCTCTCCACAACACTTGCCCAGTTCTCGGCCGTCACGTGGGTGCAAGCGTTTTTGAGTAATTGCAACATTTTATTCGCTGTGAATGGGGGCCTTGTATTGTTTCTTGCAGCATGCCCTTTTACTTGTGCCCATATAAGTTCTATGGCATTGTATTGGCACTGATATGGAGGAATCCTAAGGACGTTATGACCATATTCTGCTGCCATTTCATCGATCACATACCGTTTTGGTTTCTTTTTGGTTTTTAATATTTTTACCAATTCTATTTTTAACATAGAATCATCCACATTTTCTCCATTTTCGCGTAGCCAATTAATAATTTCATGTTTTTATTGGCTTGCGTTGGCATTTTGTCAATTTGGCGAGAGTGGTAGGGTGCGTTATCAATAAAAATTATTGATGGTTCTTCCAATGATAAAAGCATATTCTTGAACCACTCTTCATACACCTCCGCATTCATTTCTGCGTGGTAATCGCCAGATCCCTTTAAATCAAAGGGAAAGTCTTTAAGTCTTGTACAAAACCTTTTGCTGTACCTGCGTGGCAAATGATGAGGCGTTCGCCTTTTCCAATTGGTACTGCGGAGGTGGAAGCAGCAGTGTCGTCAGTCCAGGATCGGGATACAGTGTGGTTAGCGTTGAGCCATGTTTCATCCGCAAAGATAATATTTGGCAAATCTTGATTTTTTTTTGCCTCTCTTAAAAAGTCACATCCTGCCAAAGCAATATCAGTGCGTTCCGCTATATATACGAAAAGCCAATTCGTTTTAAAACTTTGGCCATAGAAGACTGATGGCGGTGAACCTGTGCCTTATGTTTGTTTGGGAGACAGTGCATTTTCTCTCAATCGTCATATAATGAAACCATTTCCATTCAAAGAAATAAGCCATGAAAAGAGAATTTTTAATTACAGGCTTTCACGTGCAAGACGAGTAGTTGAAAATGCTTTTGGCATATTGGTGCAACGGTTTAGAGTTTTGCGTCAAAGCATAAATGTAAATGTGGACAATATTGATTATATTGTCTTAGCATGTTGTGTTTTACATAATTATTTACTAAAAACATCACATGCCAGATATTTGACTTCCAAAAGTGTGGACTGTGAAGATGTCAGAGAAATGAAGTTTCAACCTGGTGAATGGCGGCGTTCTGAAAGACTAACTCCTTTAGAAAAATGTTCCACAAGACAAAGAAATGAAGAAGGAAACAACATTCGAAATATTTTTACAGAGCATTTGAGTGGCCCCGGAAGTGTAAATTTTCAGGAACAAATGCTGAGAGTTGTGAGATTATTCGATGAATAGCCAACTTATACTTTAATTTAACTTTATTTTATATAATAAATAAGTTGATTGATGATGTATAGGTAGTTTGAAACTTAAGTATAGGTACTTTAAATTAATATTTATTTAAGAATTCATATTTGCTAATAAGATTTACCTTAAAATGAGAAAAAAATATAAATAGTTAAGCTTACCTCATCATCAGATACTCCAGTTTCCATACCACTCCGGGCAGCTATATCTTTTTCATCCAAAAAAGTAAGTAGCTCATAGTACCATAGTGTGGGCACATGCACATCTTCAGAACTGGCACCCGTCTGAGTAGAATTCATAATCTGTAAAATAATTACACAATAAGTTAAGCACTACCAATGTAGATCAAGAGCTCTACTTGTACAACCGGGTAAGAACCATAAAAGTCAGTCTGCGTACTTAGGTTACTATTTTACATATATTGTTTGTTAAATATTGTGATGTGATTAATTTGTTTCTCTATTGGGAAATAAAAAAATACCTACATAGTCAAGTACGTACTTACCTTCTTTCTTTCTCTTCCATACGATGTCCTCATATTCTCTAATTTTTTCTTGAAAACGGCTAATGTAACGTCTTTGTCAAAAGATTTGTATTTCTCATGTAATAGCGACATGGCCTGCGACCGCATGTCTTTGTTGTGATAATGGTCGTGGTTAGTTTTCCAAAGACATGGCAAATCACGATACAGTTCAAATATGTCTCTCCACACGTCTTTTTCGCGTGGACCCATTTTTCTGATGAAAATAAAACTTTGGAGACAAAACCAATGTTATTTAAACTATTTTAGTGTAAACAAAATTTGAAACAACCTCTTCTCGACAAAACCAAAAATGTCAAATTGACATTGACAACCGTCGCAAGCATAGATTATACAAAATGGCGACTTAAATCGGCCCGACCGTGCTACACATTGCGCTGCTTGCAGTATTTGGAGTGGGGAGATCGTACGTCGGGATGGCAGAATGACACTGCGGCCCTGGGGCAGGGAGAACAATTAAAATATCGGCCCTGCATGCATACACACAATACGATTGGCAGTGGCACTGCAAACAGGGACCTGCAGGCAGTGCTTTGAGTAGGGGCCTTTAGTAGACGCTTCCAGTTGTTTATGAAAGATCCAAAAGTGATTTTATTTTATATAAGCGATTCACCCTCGCTTCGCTTCGGGTACAAAAACAAATTATTTTACGGGAACTGTACATTTTTCCGGGATGAAATATAAGCCTTATAGCCTTAATATTAAAATCGGATTAGTAGTTCCTGAGAGTAGCGCGGTCAAAAAAAACAACATGACATTTGTATATTTTTACACATTAGTCTGTTACTTATAAATATTAAAAAAATATTATATACATATATAATTTATATGTATGCGTGTATATATGTACATGTGTATATAAACGAGTGCATGTGTGCATGAGTATGTAAATGAATGTATATGTGTATATGTATGAAAAATCAATGTAAACTTATGTTATGTACTGTCTTTATTATTATTGAACAAAAGAAGTTATATATGTAATTCAGTAGTAGAATGTTTGGAATCCATATAACTATTAATTAATACCACGATTTTAGATTCACAACTATTTATTTATTTGCGTTACAACTTACAAGAGATCTTTTGTTCTACATGTACAATATCAATAGTATTCAATAACAGCAAAATTAACAAGAGCGTACGTGTTCAAGAAAAATACCACAGAGTATATCTAACAATTAAATCGGGCAACGCAATCGGTGTTGCCTAGTAAATAATTAAGACGCCACATCACCCCCCTACGGAGTAAAGAAACCGCAGGTAAAAATAAAATAAAAACTAAAAGTTGAAATCATAGCAGGTAAGAAAAAACTAAAGATCTAACATCTGCTTAAAACGGACCCTGCGTCCTGATCTGGTCATGGTAGGCGCTGCTGGTAAGGATGAAGGCGCGGGTTGGGATGCCGCAGTGGGCTTCGTAATGACAGAGTCAGGCGCCCTCGCTAGTCTAGGAAAAATTGCTGTTTTGGAAGGAACAGAACCAGTGTTGCCACTGGTCATTTGTAGGATTACCGTACGCAAGAGATGAAATTACCTTAATTAAACAAAAATTGCCGTACATTGTTTTATTTTACAATTTACATTAAAAAGATAACACCAGTCAAACAAATAAAAATCCTTCTATTTATATAAAAGATGCTACTGAACCTATAATTTTGGTAGAAAAAGGCACCACAGATCACTCGGACTCTCCTCCCATCAAATCCACAACATCATCCAATAAGATATCTTCAGTGGCGTTTTTTTCATAATCAGACGGTTTTTTAATTTTAGTTATAATTTCGGGAGTTGGCTTGAACGTCGTACAATTTGAATGTTTCCTGGAAATATACTGTTTTGCTAATAATGTCGCATTTATAGTAGATGTTAAGAGGCGGTTTCTTTGTTTTGTTTTAATTAAGTTCACAGCGCTAAAAATTCTTTCTGAATCGGCATTTGCATGTGGCAAGGAGAGAACTTCAAGAACAAATTTCGCCAAATTCCTAAATTGCGGTTCCGATAAATGTAATATCTTGCTCCAAAACTCATCAGGTGACATTTTGTCTATATCAAGGAATAAGTCTTCGGGAAGAACTGTTTCCGGTAGAAGTCTCCATTCATCGTCTATGGCCTGTTTTTGTTCATTTGTTTTACCTTTCATGATGCAAGGAACCTTTAGCATCATGGGCAACAGAGTTGGCTCCATGGTTCTTTGAGCACGAGAAACAGCATTTTTCGGCGATAATATCGATAACTTCTGCAGTAATACATTGGAAAAGTCATATCTGTTCCTTATTTGACAACACCCGGTTATAAGGAAATCTCTCGCTCTTTTTTGGAAATCTGAAATCAAGTCTTGCCTTGATTGAATATCCTGGTTTGCTATTTCAGTCATCAGTTGTACCCCAAAATACATACTTTCAGGTCGTAAAAAATGTTCTTCTTTAGTCGGGTCAATAGCGTTTATATCATTTGTAACAACATAGTTTCGTTCCATGTAACACAACAGAAGCTCTTGATAAGTTGCTCTCATTTTTCTGTCGAGTTCTGTTATTAAGACGCCGCTTTTTTGGAAATATTCGTTTAGATTCACGAACTTAGGCAGCACCCATTGCAAGAATATAAAATATAACTTCATGAATGGATCATTTAAGTCATTGAACGTATGCTCTGCAGACACAATACGCTCATCTAGCCATTTTCTCGTAAAAAACAGTTTTAAAGATTCCCACTGTTCCAGTAATCGATTGACAACTGCTAATAGGGAAAGCCATCGTGTCTGAGAGGGGTGCAGTAGCTTGTGCACTTTAGTGTTAGTAAACGCCTGGAATTCGACAAATTCAGATTGCCGTTTTGAGCTGTGCTTAAAGAATCCATACACGTTTCGGGCTAGATCCTCACACCGCCTTGGCAATTTTTTGCACGCTTCGCTTGCACACAGGTGTAACGAGTGGCAGATGCATTTAATAATGATTATGCCGGGATTGTTTGATATAAATCGACTAGCTACCGAATTGTGCTGATGCAAATCCAATTATGTTCTCTGTAGGAACATTTTCATCCTGAAAGCTTCTGATAATCGATTTATAAATTGCTTCTCCAGTTGCACCTTGATTTGCAGCGTCAAAATCGTTCTTCTCAAACAAAGGTCGCAATTCCCATAGAAGACTAGAAATTTTATGTGTTTCAGGGTCATAAAGACGCACAACGATGCACATTGTTTTAACTGATGAAATGTCAGTTGACTCGTCCACTAGCACACTGAATTTTGTTGTTTTTAACAAAGTTTTTAAATCACTTTTATGTAATATCGGATGCAATTTTCGAATCTGGTATACTTTTTATTATTTCACTTAAATGATCCATGGTTTGGAATGAAATGTTATGCTCAGCCATAAATGAACAAAGTTTTAATTCAAGTTCAGCAACAGAATTTTCATGGGGCCAATTCACATGAGGTTTTTTGAAAAATGAATGTATCGGCTTGGCAAGTTTTTTATTTTTTATTTTCCGTGAATGTTCAACGTTGGACATGTGTCTCTTTAAAGTAGATATTTCACAAGATATTTTCACATCACATAATTTACAATATGCCTTATTAATGTTATTTTCATCAGGGCCAATCCAATCTTTAAATTCGCCTTCTGATTCCCATTGAGTCCTATACTTTTGGGCTCTGTGTTTGGTTTTCTTATATTTCTTGGGTGTGGACGGACCCGTAGCATCTTCTTCTAAATCCGAGGACATTTTGTAAATACCAACGGCCACTGCAAAAACACTTTTTCAAAAGTGAAAAATAAGTTCTATCTCGACACAAACTAAAAAGTAGTGACGAGCGCTCAGAATTGAGAATAATCTTCAAAGGACGAGCGGAAAACAAGGCAAAATGAATTGAGGCCAAAGACTAAAGAGTATAGTAACTAACCTATACCGATTTAGGATTTGGGAATTCCCTTACCAAAGACAATACAATAATGTAGAGTTAAGTTGCGTTCATATTTACGCAAACGCTGATTATGTTCATCTACAATGTCGAGTTGCGTTCATTTTTATACAAACGCTGATTACGTTTCATTTCAGCTACAATTTATTTAATTATGCTATGATTGCCGTATTTAAGCGTACGGCAAAGACCACTTTGCCGTTTACCGTACAATCCGTCTTAGAAGAGCCTAAATGCCGTACGGAACGGCAATTGCCGTACAAACGGCAACACAGAACAATATGGTGGCGACAGAGGACATTCTAGATAAGCCGGTTTCACCCTTTTTTTTATTTTTTTTTTATTTTTTTTTAACGTTGGGAAATGCATTTACGCACGACGTGTGGGACTCACCGGCGTAATACAACCAGTACTACCCACTAAAACCCAACAAAACCTTCCCCCGTCTTAATGGGGCGTCGCAGGATCGCTTACGCATTCAACTACGACGCCCCGACGGCAGGTCTGCCAAAGCAGACCACCACAACCATGGGGTTGCTCCAAGGTCCACTCTGCTATCAGAGAAGTACCAGGAGCAACCCGCAAGGTACACCGCCCCCCGAAGAGGGCCACCTCCCACCGCCCACCGAAGTGGGCTTTTAAGAGGCGATGTAGATCATATATCCAGAAGAGATAAATAATATGCAGTCTTCCAATGATGAATTTATTATTACACAGAATTGAATAAATACATATTGGTCGTCAATAACTTCAGATCGTTTAGATAAAATTAGATTATAATTTATAATATATTTGTTAGACATGCACACTTCGGAGGTTCAGAGAGGAGAGTGAGCAGATTATTAAATTGTCATAGATTAATCATTGTCACAGACTATAAAGATAATTACTTACAGATAATATTGCGTTTTATGCATACTAAACATTATATGGTACTTTAACACTTCCCCTTATGCATATAACGCAAACAGCTCTGACGTTACATAAAAAAACGACTACATTTCATAACTTTACAATAGAAAATACTTATATAATAACATGTCTAACACATAGTTCATAAGTAAAAAAGTTATGCTTTTTCTTGTCTAAAGGTTTAGTCAACACGTCAGCAATCATCTGATCAGTCGACAAATACTTAACAATCACAAATTTGCTATTTACTAGGTCCTTTACATAATGATAACGCACGTCAATGTGTTTAGTACGTTTGTGACAGTATTCTTTGCACTCTAATAATCTATGCGCACTTTGATTGTCATTGTACACAGTAATACAGTCCAATTTTAAATTTGCAAAAACTTCTACCAAAAAATTAGTAATAAAACTTAAGTCTTTACAAACATCGCTTATGGCTAAATATTCAGCCTCTGTACTAGAGAGTGCTATACACTTTTGTTTTCGAGACTCCCAGTTTACAACATTATTCCCTAGTTTTATTGCAAATCCTGTATATGACCTACGATCAATACAATCATTGGCTCAATCCGCATCGGTATAAGCACTCAACACCAATTGATTACTTTTTACATAAAGTAAACCATAGTCAATTGTACCCGCTAGATACCTTAAAACTCTCTTAGCAGCTGACCAATGACATTTACCAAAACAGTTATTATACTGGCTTAACTGACTACAGGTGTAAGCAATATCAGGACGAGTACAAACTGAAAGATACATCAAACAACCTAAAAGTTGTCTATAGTTATATACATCATCACTTAAAGTATCATCTGATTTACATAACTTAAATCCTGATTGCATAGGAGTCGAAACTGGTTTGCAGTCTGACATACCAAACCTTTTCAGTATTTTCCTAATATAAACTGACTGGTATAGCTTAAGTACACCTTTTTCTCTATCTCTACTGATTCTAATTCCGAGATAGTTCTGAATAGGACCTAGGTTTTTGATACTGAATTCCTGCTCTAGTAATCTCAATAAAACCTTAATATTATAGCTGTCCTTATTATAAATTAGGTAAAAGTCATCAACATACAATGCTATAATAACAATTTCTTTTTCAGCCCGTAAATAAAATACACATGGTTCACATTTACTTTGTACAAAATTATTTTTAGTCAACAAGTCATTAACTTTACAATACCACATTCTACTAGCTTGTTTCAATCCATAAATACATTTGTTCAAAAGACAAACCCTATCTTTATTTGTATTATCAGCAAAACCTTCGGGCTGCTCCATAAAAATAGTTTCACTAAGGGTGCCATTTAGAAAAGCTGTATTTACATCAATAAGGTCAATATTTAAGTCATATTCATTAGCCAAACTAAATAATAATCTCATGGTAGAGTGGCGTACAACTGGGGAAAATGTATCTGTATAATCTACCCCTTCTTTTTGTGTAAAGCCCCTTGCTACTAATCTAGCCTTAAATTGCTGAAAATTTCCTGAAGCATCACACTTTACCTTATACACCCATTTGCATTTTACTACATTGGAGTGTTTAGGCCGCTCTACAAGGGTCCATACATTGTTCTCTATCATAGAGCTATACTCACGCTTCATAGCCTGCATCCAGTCATCGCAGTAAGGACTATCCATAGCCTCTCGATACGACTGTGGCTCGTCGACCAAAACATCCCTTACAAACATAGACATATCATAGTCGTCATACCTTTTAGGCGGAACCAAACGTGTACTACGTATTGGGCGTGAAGCTACAGGCACACCTTCCCCTCCAGTCAACGTCGCGCGTTGTGACGTAACAGAGACACCTCCTACGTCATCATTCACCGAACACTCGACAGAGGAGTTGTGCTCGCTGCCAGTATCCCACGAATCTTTGAAAACACAAGAATTAATATTATTAAAACTATCAATCTCCACTGAATTATTTTTATCAACATTAGACAATTCATTATTAACATTATTTTCATTTGATAAACTATTATGTAATAAATAAGGATTAAAAATATTATTTCATTATTATCACTAGAATTGTCATGTCCAAAATTAAAGAATCTCTCCTCCATAAATGTGACATCACGAGACAAGAGTACCTTTCTAGGGTCACAGGGATCAGCCAGCCTATACCCCTTAGTGGTTTCTGAATAACCAACAAAAATGTAAGGTTTGCATCTAGGGTCTAACTTTGTACGCTTAACCCGTGGTACTAATGCATAAGCCTGACAACCAAATACCCGGAGGTGACTAAGGTCAAGTTTAGAACTAGTCCAAACCTCTTCTGGAATCTGGCCGTCCAATGCAGCTGTGGGAGACCTATTTTTAAGATAAGCAGCAGTCATCACTGCTTCTCCCCAGAACCGCTGGTCAAGACCAGAATGTTGCAACATGCAACGTACTTTATCCATAAGGGTACGATTTAAACGTTCTGATACAGCATTCTGCTGAGGGCAGTAAGGAACTGTAAGCTGATGAACTATCCCCTGTTTACGTAAAAACCCAGACAAGTTTGAATTTAAATACTCCGTTCCATTGTCACTACGAAGACATTTAATTGATAAACCAGTCTGCTTTTCAACCATATTTTTAAATTCAATGAATCGGCTAAATACCTCAGATTTTTGTTCCATCAGGTATACAAAGCTCTTCCTTGAATAATCATCGGTCAGTGTAAGAATGTATTTTGCACCACCCCAGCTGCTCACCGACATGGGCCCACATACATCAGAGTGTACAAGCTCTAGAGCCTTGGCTGCACGACTGGCTCCACTCTTGGGGAATGGCTTCGTTGTCAGCTTGCCTTCAAGGCAAGCAACGCAATCCGGTAGAGATTCTTCAGCCTGAAACATACAACCATGTCCTAACCTATCTCTAAGAGCATACATACCTCCAGAGCTGAGATGGCCCAACCTTCGATGCCATAATAGCATTGGCTGCTGATGAGCTGCAACTGCGGCACTCTGGTAGTCCTTCTTATCATGAAGGAACAAAGAATGCTCCTTTTTGTGCAAATACCTACTATTTCTAACACACCCATACAATTTAAATATCCCATTTAAATTCCTAGCAGAACTGATAAGTTTATCATTACTGTCATATATAAAACAACCTCCCGAATTGAACACCACTCTTAGATCTAATTCTAATAACTTACTTACAGAAATCAAATTTGTTGTTAATTTAGGAACATACAAAACATTATTAAGAATAAGTACCTTATGATTACATTGAATATTCACAGTCCCGACACCTTCACATATCATAGTCTCATTGTTAGCAACTGACACTGTTGATGAGGTTGACTTAAGTGACACAAAGAAATCTTTCTTATTGCACATATGTGCAGTGCACCCAGAGTCTATAAACCAATCTTCCTGTCTATGCCTAGAGAGATATGCAGCTGCCATACATACATTAGTACTGTTTTTTAACTTTTTGTCACGCTTTAACTTAAAACATTTTGCTTTCACATGATTTTCTTTATGACAATAGTCACATTTCACTTTGCGTTTTGAAATATAAGCAGCTTCAGATATATTATGAGAATTAGAATTGTTTCTCCGCAAATCTTCTTGTAGTAGGCGAGTTCTCACTACTTCACTAGAAATTCTTGTTGTTAATGTGAACGTTGACAGATTAGACACAAGCGAGTCGTATTCCTGAAGTAGACCGCTTAGTAACAATTCAGCTATTTCTTCATCTTCTATCTTTCGCCCAATATCGGCTAGCTGTTGCACTATGTTGAAGGTGTTGTCAATGTACTTACTCATGTCGTTGAAATCCGTATAGCGTGTACGGTGTAGTTCACGCAACAGTAAAACACGACGCAAGAGTCCCTTATCTTCAAATATATCCGAAAGGCTTCAAATATATCCCACGCTTCTTTAGCAGTAGCTGCGTTGCGAATATGCTGGTAAAGGCTCGTTTTAACACTTAAAGCTATGCGCGCCAGCGCACGTTGATCACGCGCAGCGTCTGTGACGACATTCGCAGTAACACAATCCCACAAGCCTTCTAGTATTAAGACCATACGTATAGCAAATTTCCACGCCAAGTAGTTCTTGCTGCCTTCCAGCTTCTCAATTGCAGGAAACATAGGGACAGACGTCGTCGAATTGACACGAGAGACGCCATCGCCACGTGCAGGGGAAATCACGCCATCGGATGCCATAATTAAGATTTCTTCACGTAGATAGATCAGAGTGTAATGTTCCGTGCAGTGCGTATCGATCGATCGTATATTTCTCAGTATACTTCTGGATCTGGAGCCCTGGCCCTGGCCCTGGGCCCATAACCTTTTAAGAGGCGATGTAGATCATATATCCAGAAGAGATAAATAATATGCAGTCTTCCAATGATGAATTTATTATTACACAGAATTGAATAAATACATATTGGTCGTCAACAACTTCAGATCGTTTAGATAAAATTAGATTATAATTTATAATATATTTGTTAGACATGCACACTTCGGAGGTTCAGAGAGGAGAGAGAGCAGATTATTAAATTGTCATAGATTAATCATTGTCACAGACTATAAAGATAATTACTTACAGATAATATTGCGTTTTATGCATACTAAACATTATATGGTACTTTAACATGGGCAACCTCCCTGTGCGTTTCTTAGCTTCGCTACTACTACTGAGCCCCCCCACCACGACAAGGTGAACGCACGTTGGAGGGGAAGCCGGTTTCACCCTGTCTAGACTGACTTCAACTTCCTTTTCTTTGACGACTATACGTATGGTTTTGTTATTTTGGGAAATTACTTTGTAAGGGCCTGTGTAGTGAGCCGTAAGCGCGCGCCGGACGAAGTCATCCCACAGGAAATAATTAACTCAATGTTAAAAATATCTTCATCCTCCGTACTACTTTTGACTTGAACATAATTATTAAGGCAGAAACACATTATGAAAACGCGACGCGACGCAACGTCTTGACACCCGATATGCACCGTGCACATTACCAACACGCGACGCCACGACATAATAGCGATTTCTGAATATTAGCTAACTGCAGTGAAAGTGTATGGTTATGTACTATGGATTTAATAAATAATGAGTAAGATGAAGACTTTGAAGAAGATTTGATGTAAATGTTGAGTACATATATGAGTCATATCCAAAAAAAATGCACATAAGCAAATAGTTAAGAAAGGGTATTGTCAAGAAATGTTAGGAAATGGTTAATGTAAAGGTGTGTTTTGAATAGTAAAAATACTTCATAATCAGTCATCTGTATTTTACTCATGAATTACTTTGATACCTTTGGTATTACAAATCAAACCCATTTCTTTTTGATATACTTAGGTATTACAACATAAAACTTTTGGTAAGTTAGAAAAAACAACAAAAAACCTCTTCTAAAAAATATAAAAAATAAAAAAAAATAACAGGCCTTGCATTTGGTTTAACATACAATAAAACTATACATTAGTATTTACATAGAACAAACACAAGCTTTTACTAACAAAATAAAACAATCTCTATTAGAAATTATAACATTAACATAACAGGCTTAAACCACAAACGCAATCAACAAAAACGCAATTAAACAATAATATTTAGGCGGTATTTATCAATACTTATTAAGGGCATCCGCTGCCCGTTAATGTCAAATACTAAAACAAGTAAAGTTATTTTGGTTTTAAAACAGGTAAACGGATTTTTCAAGCTTCATTAATATCAATAGCTCTCCTAAAAATATAATTATCATTTTCTTTTTTAGGGTGAGGCAAATACTGAATAATGTCTTTCAAATTAATTATAGAGATATCGTCCTCAACAATTCGGAACATATTTTTACCTTTTTTAGATTTCAGTCCCTTCACAACTATGCAGTCTCCATAAATATCCTCAATTAAACAGACATATCTATATTTTTTTTTGAATGTTTTGTATAAAATTTAGCAAGGACAAAATTCCCAACCTTAGAAACTTTACCATATTTGGAACTGGCGTCAACCACATTCTTGTTTGCTTTTATTATAAATTGTCCAGTTTTTTCGTCTAGGACATTGACAACCTCAATATCACTTAATATTTTAATATTTGTATTGCAAGACGTTATTAAACTACGGTTTGGTTCATGAAGTACAAGTCTTCTGTTCTCTTTTTCTTTCATTTTTCTGGAAATAGTGATTTTTCTTTCTTCAGTTTCTATAATCTCTCTGTCCACGATCATATTCTCCTTTTTTTGTTCGGTCTTGAGCTTTTCCTTAATAGCATGAACGTCTGTACATTTTCTTTCATCTTCACTGCTTAGATCTTCACTAATCTTATATCCTTCACTTTCACTGGTTTCAGCATAAGTTACATCAGAGTCTAGTTCTGTGTCTGTAGAGTCCGTATTTCTCTTTCTTTTGCCTGATTTTTTGATGCCTGATTTGCCTGATTGATTTTCAGGGTCCTTTGCTGATCGTTTCTTAGTAACGGTTTTCTTTTTACGAATCAGTTAGTGTTCTTTGAAATCAAAACATTTGCAAAGTCCTCTATTGTTAGATTCGCAGAAACAACTTACATCACTGTAGAATATAGACCCATCACAGTTTTGTGTAATGATCTGATGTACTCGAATTGTTCCTGGCAGTGATATTAGATCATTAGGTATGGTATTTTGAATAGCAGTTATATCTTCTTCCGGGATGTAAAATATTTTCACTTCAGTTTCTTGTGATTTCAGTAGAAAGTATGCTGCTTCTGCAGATGGTATATCATGTTTATAAGCAACCAATTTGTCTAGCTTCCTTTTAACGGCACCACCTACGCCGTCTGCAGGGCCTTTGCCATGCGCAGCTTCGAAAAACGACCAAGTACCGTAATCAAAGATGCTTTGACCAATAATCTTGTTAAATAAATAAAAGTTTTTCTTCTGACAATACTGCGTCGAAGGTCCGTCGGAGAAAAAGTGAATAGCACGTGCCATTTGACATCTTTCCTTTGCGTACTCAATAATTGGTTTCAAAAGTGCCCAAATCGCACCAGGATCATGAGAAAGCGATGGTGATATGGTACAAAATGAGACTGGACTGTTTCCTTGCAAATAAATCACACCTGTGTGTAAAGTAAATTGATTTTTGCTTACGCCAAAATGCGCAGATTGTATTTCTTCAGACATTTTGCACGTGAAATTTTCTGAGAAATCATAAATTATAATAATCTCATTTTCTTTAATTGTGTCTTTGCACACTTTGAACGCTGAAGCTTGAGTAACTATGTTAAAGTGGTGACGTTTAAAGGTATGCAATTCTTCTTTGAATATTTTCACCAACGTTTCTAGAGTTCCAATAAATTCATTTTTTGTATATCTTTTTGTGACAATAGTCTTTGAACAACCCGGTTTGCCTTTGACATATTCATGATTTTTTTAAATCCATTGGTGCCAACGTATTTCCTTTTTGCCATGAGTTTCAGTGTTAATTTCAGGCATTTTTTCTTTACAAAACTCACAAAAAGAATACATGCAGATTTTGGAATTACTGTCACAAGCAACTTCCTTTACAGCTGTGACAGTGAGTTAGTTGTTAGTACTCCTAAAGCTTTTAGTTTATCTGCTTTCAATTGTAAATTTGTATGTTTTGTGCACAGGCAGGTGTTTCTGTTATTAAAATTTGGGCTTATGACATAAAATGGTCTATATCGCCCAAAAGTTCTTCGAGATGCTTTTCCTCCTTCTGATTGATATTTTTTGTATAAATTGTCTACGGTATCTGTCAAAAACGTTTCTGCATTTTTATCTTATTCAAAGTCCTGGTTTCACTTCTCCCTGCTGTAGAGCGGCTTATGTCATCTCGAAGGAAAAAATTCGAAATGTCTTGTTCTAATATTCTGTTTGGGTTTTTATACCTGTGTCGATTTCTAATCCTTCCCTTGAGACCTAACTTTAGTGACAAATTGAATTTCATACGATACTTTGTGGTTATCTCGTTATCAGCAATGTTTTTTAATTTCGCTTTTGTTACATTTGTGTTAGCGTTCTTGTATTGTGATTTAAGAGAATCTGATAATACATTGAGCTCAAAAATTTTCTTTTTTATTTTATTTTTATCGACATCTGGGATTGGTTTGGATGACAAAGAGTCTATAAAGGAAATAGTTTTGCTTAACGGAGTTGCACCTGGTGTCGTCACTGGTTGCACATTATTGGAGTCTATTTCATTATTAGTTGAAAATGGTTCCCTCAACACTTGCACATCTTTGGAATCTGTTTGATTATTAATTAATTCGTTTAATTGTTGATTTTTTTTCTTTCTGTAACGGTATAATTTCTTTTGCAAAGCAATAATTTTTCGATTTAGATCTGTTACATTTTTACGAAGCTCTTCATTCTCTATTTTTAATTTGCTTCTGTATAAAGCGGAACGAATTTCTCTCCTTTTTTTTAATGTTTCTTTATTCTGTTTTTGCAAAAAACCCTGTTTCTTATCTTTTCTCTTTTTATTTGCCTCACGCCATTTTTTTCTTTGAATAAGTTTTTCTTCCTTTGATAAATTTGCAATTTTCTTTTGTCTCTGTTTTACTTTATCTAGATGTTTTTTTCGCTTTTCTTCATACTTTTCTGGATGTTCTATTTTCAACCGTTCTTTATAGCGTTTTTGACGCTCCGCACCAGTTATAGTGCTACAAGGATCTTTTGGCACTTACATGACAGTGACATGAGGGCGTTGGTGTGAAATTAGGGTTACAAGCTAATAAAATCTACTTAGTTTTAGGGAATTATTTAAAAAACTTTATCTTTAAATTCCGTAATTCAATTTAACTTAGGAAATGAAAAAAATAAAATTAAAAATGAATGAAATTTAATTACTTAATATACAAATTATTTAATTAATATAAATAAATAAAACATTAAATTTTTTTGCTGTAACTATGTTCTGCATGAACTATGTCAAGAGGTTGCATACTACTAAAGCTTTCCTCATCTTCATCGTGAGAATCATCATCGTCACTGCTTTCTTCACTCTCAGAGTATAATTGTACGAAGAAAGGTTCGTCCAAATATCCATCTTTTTTTTGATACTCTTTTTCTATTTTCTTGACATGGGCGCAATGATTACGCCATTCATCGACAAGAATGGAATCAAAAGCATTCTGTACCATTTCTTGCATTTGATTGGATGGCTTTCCAATATTTATCTCGGCTACTTTTCGTTTCATGGATGCCCAGACCATTTCGATGGGATTAAGATCACAACGATAAGGTGGTAAACGCAATATCTGAGAAAAAAAGAAGCAAAATTAAATAGTTTACTCACCCATACTTAAAATATTGTTTTAAAAAATAGCATAATAAGAAGACACTTTGTTAGTGCCTCAACGGGTCTAGTAGAGCATTCAAGCTATAATTACCTTGTGACCCAGTCCTGTTAAAATAGCATCGACAGAATACACTGGTTCGGGTTTGTTTTTATTTACAATTTCTAATAGTTGTGGTCTAGTATATTCTTCTGAATATTCAAAATTATTTATTCTTAACCACTCAATTATTTCATTTTTTCTTGTGCTTGTGTTTGGGTGTTTATTAATTCGTGTGTTATGATATGGAGCATTGTCCATTATAAATAGACTGGGCTCCATCAAATTGGGAGCCAACTTTTCTAAAACCCATTTATTAAAAATTGTGTTATTCATGTCTCCATGGTAATCACCACTCTTTGTTTGTGATTTAAAAACCAAACAAGCATTGTTCACAAAGCCTTGATTACCTCCGCCATAAACAATAATAAATCTTTGTCCTTTAGAGATGGGCTCTTATACTCCATCTGAAATTGAATTTTTGAACTATAAAACAACTATAATACAAGCAGAGTAGAGTCTTAGAATAAATATTAATAATAGATAAATACATATGAAATTAGTCAAAAAAGATTTAAAAATATATTACTCATTAATATTTCAAGATATTTAATTAATTAGCCAATACCTTCATCATCATTCTGCCAACATTTTCCAGCTGTATGACCGGTGTGAATATATGTCTCATCTAAGTAAATAACAGGAAGTTTTTCTGTCTCATCATTATACTTTAAAGTCTGAAATAAAATAATTCAACGGTTTGTGAATTGGTGTGGCAGTTTCATAAATGTTTCCATTTGTCCTTATTAACTTTTTTAATAATATTAAAGACTATAAAAGTACATGTACCCATACCTGCAGATAACGAGCGCGCCAAGCAGTTATATCGTTACGTTCTATCAGGACTTTTCTGTTGCTTTTACTTTTTCTAAATCGAAAACCAATCATTTTTATATGTTGTCTGAGAATTTCTCGACTGCCTGTGAATCCTATCTCTTCTTTAAGTACATGTAACAACTTATGCACTGTTGGTATTTCTTTTTTCCAAGCATAAAATTCATGTATCTTTCGTCTAAGAATACCAATATCGAAATTGTCCATTACAATTTTATCCTTTCTCGTTTTTCTACTTTTCCCTGGTGTAACTATTTTACTGGATGGTGCTTCAGCCAATCTGCCTTCATTTTCAATTCTTACAACTGTTGGTAAAGATATACCTACCTGAAATCGTATTTTTTTTTAAAGTTTGAAGGACAAAATGTGTTTCTTAATTAAGGATACAAAATATGAATTAGTATTCTTGGTAATAATTAATAACGGCCACACTTACGAGGTATAGTATGATAACACTTACCTGTTGCAGCTGCGACGCGCTCATTTACTCTTTCAAATGGAATAATCGGAGCGCCAGATTGCTTTTCTTTCATAAAAAAATCCTTTATTTTTAGCACCACCTTTTTTTTTAACGTTGGGAAATGCATTTACGCACGAGGTGTGGGACTCACCGGCAAAGCCAGTACTACCCACTAAAACCCAACAAAGCCTTCCACCGTCTTAATGGGGCGTCGCAGGATCGCTTACGCATTCAACTACGACGCCCCGACGGCAGGTCTGCCAAAGCAGACCACAACAACCACGGGGTTGCTCCAAGGTCCACTCTGCTATCAGAAAAGTACCAGGAGCAACCCGCATGGTACACCGCCCGGCGGCCGTTTAGAATTGGGGACTTGGCCCCTAGCGGAGTGGGTGGTATTTCTGGATAAGGGACGTGATAGAGAGTCGAAATGTTAAATAAATTTTTTAATACAACAAAAGAGTCAAAAGTTATTGAGACTTAAAGTTATAACATTTCCATACATTATTTTGACATTACTACCATTTAGACACTTGGAGTCAAAACGTCACTTTCAATTGTCAAAATGATCTCCAGATGATTGTCTTTATTTGTACTTTGCGTGAAATTCGAATTTTCTAGTTTTCTAGTCATTTATGGCACTCGCCGGCCGCTACCGCGGCACGCTCGCTTCGCTCGCTCGGCTCGTGCGTTGTGGCAACTGTTCTAACCTAACCTAACCAAGATATGACGAATAATTAATAAATAATCTTAAATGTTCTAACCTAACCTAACCCAGATATGAGGAATAATAAATAAATAATCTTAAATGTTCTAACCTAACCTAACCCAGATATGAGGAATAATAAATAAATAATCTTAAATGTTCTAACCTAACCTAACCAAGATATGACGAATAATTAATAAATAATCTTAAATGTTCTAACCTAACCTAACCCAGATATGAGGAATAATAAATAAATAATCTTAAATGTTCTAACCTAACCTAACCCAGATATGACGAATAATAAATAAATAATTAAAAATATTCACAGATAAAAAAATGATTTTTTTTACTAAATGTACAATTGTAAAACAATATATTTTACATAAATCAAATAAAAAGTTATAAATGTATTTATAAAGTGAAAATAATATTTTTCTTTTTATTTATTTATTTATTAATATTAATATTTTACCAACAGAAAAAGCAAAAATAATCAAATATAATCTGTTGTCATTTAAGCGGTAATATAAAACAAAGTGTCAGTTTTGCTTTTGTCAAAATGTAAGATCATTTTGTTTGTGTTGTGAAATTATTAAAATATTAAATACAATAAAGCATTAATTGTTGTGAAAATGTGTAATGTACATAAAAAAGGATGCGTACTATTCGTTAAAGGTATGTTTATCTGTTGTAATCACTTATTTAGGTAAAGAAATGTATGGAAATGTGTTAGATATGTTATAACTTTAAGTCTCAATAACTTTTTAGTCGTACGTTTCCTCCAAATATTTTTAATATATTTTGACTCTCTGTCACCTCCCCTATCTAAAAATACCACCCACTCCGAATGGTGGTAAAGAAATATATGAAAATGTATGGAAATGTTGTAACTTTAAGTCTCAATAACTTTTGAATCTTTTGTTGTATTAAAAAATTTATTTAACATTTCGACTCCCTATCACGGCCCTTATCCAGAAATACCACCCACTCCGCTAGGGGCCAAGTCCCCAATTCTGAATTTGTGCCCACCGCCCACCGAAGTGGGCGTGTACGTTTCTTGGCTTCGCGCCCGGTTGGGTTGCCGGGCACTACTGAGCCCCCCCACCACGACAAGGTGAACGCACGTTGGGGGGGATTTTTAGCACCACCTCTCTAACACCACTTCTTATTACCTTTGGCATATTTTGAGACATTTATAATGAAATAAAAGCACGACTAACTTATCAACTCCAGCTATCTGTCAAAAGTGACGCTTTACAAGATCCGCCATCTTGTCTGTTAGTTCCGATTTCAGCCACGTGCCAAAAGATCCTTGTAGCACTGTAACGGCATCTAATAGTACAAAAAAATAAGTATAATTGCACGTTAATAATAATTGTTTTTAAGTAAATAAAATAAAAAACATGTTTATATTTTTCTTTTTAGAATAGCTAGATTCTTGTTATGTAAACTTAGCCTAACCATGACTTACAATTTACTGACGTCAGGAAGTCATTAAATTGTATCAGGAAATTGAGGTGCCATAACCGAACTTTTCATATAATTTTTCAGATTGTTAAATTATTAACTTCGGCAATATATTATCTCATGAAATGGTATATTTCGTATGTAATTCAATGAGTAACATGTTTCTTACTTTTTGTCAATCAAACAGCGTCAGTAAAGAGGTAACACTTTTTTTTTCCACACACGCCGAACACACATGAGAACATGAATGTCACGCAAATGAAAATGGCGGCAGTATGGCAACATGTCTATGGTGAATGTCAGTGTTGCCCTAAACCTAGGCACTGTTGAGAAGCTAAAGTGAAAATTCGCGTCATTAAACGAGTGTCAGTAAATGGTTCGGATTGAATAGGACACATAGTTCTACACGCTTTTTTTATAGTTATTTAAGTAATTTATCAATTAAAGAACATGAAATCAATGGTTCATTTAATTTTAATTTGTATAGCTTGTTTAGGTCAGCAGAATAATAGCACAACATTGGTAAAACTGATTTTTAAAAGTTGCAAAAAATGTAGGACACTAACTTTTTTCATAAATTACGCGTATTTTATGAAATAAAATTTTACTTTTCACTAGACCTTATTAAAATATTGCTCAGTTAATAAATTGATTGCTTAGTTTAGCATATAGATATACTATTTCAACAAGATTCAATATCATTTTTGCAAAAATGATCGAGATAATCTACTAGGACACTTAAAGGACAGTACCGTAGTAAAATATGTACAACTTTTTTGGATATGACTCACATAACACACTGGAAATAGGTGGAAATTTATAAAGATGAGCTTACATGTTTCTACTGAATTTCGTGGTGTTCTGGAAGTTGTGCGTCGGTTTTTGTTGAAGTATGTTTACGTCAACTTTATTTAATTGCAGGCCGTATCTGGATCCATACCTCTCTTTGACAAATTGTCCTTTATTAAAACAACTACTTTTGTTGCATTTGAAAAGTCTCGTTCCCTTAAGCCATTGGAGGATAGTGATCGTATCTTTCTTCTTTTTTGAAAATCCTTAACGCATTTTGTGAAATCCACTGCATTTATATTAAAGGGGAATAGCCCACACTTTCTCAATACGATTTTTATATTTTATGTTATATCTATATCCAGAGTTTCCTTAAATACTTTACAAAAATTAGTCTTCGTCACGGTTATGTTGAGGTACTCCGGTTTGGCCTGCCAATTTCTTAGTTTTTTCTCTAAGAAATTGGCAGGCCAAACCTTGACTTGATTTGTAAGTATGGGTATCAGTACAGTGTATAAGTATTGCATTGTGCCAGAATGCAAAAACACTATCATTCTATACCTAATAAAGTGTTTTTTCCAGTCCCGATAGGTGCAAAAAGTAGTGGTGAATTGAGCGAGCTGGATCAAAGAAGATCCATCTCTCTCAATTCACGTTTTCAAAAACTTAGAAAAGTCCAGTTTTCATAGTTTTTAAAAACTTATAAAAGTCTACTTTTCATATTTTACTTCTCAAAACTTGTAAAATCAGTTTTCAACATATTATTTCAAAAAGTTATAAAAGTTTTTTTGTATTTTTACTTTTTCTTTTGTGTCTGTTTATCATCATACAAAGAATTTCATTTATATTATTATATTAACTACTTATATAGACTGGTAAAAGAACGTCATTTACAGTTTAAAAAAAAAATATGGTTTTACCCAAATGTAAACACGGCGTCACTTTCTATGCAGTTATGTAATAGGTATATTGGTATTTTAACAATACTGTGTGGATAAAATTGCTCGATTCGAAAATCGATTTCTGGTTTACATAAATAAAACTTTGTATGTAACACATAAATCAATTTTGGTTGGTTCCTATAATATTATCAAGTTATTAGTGTATTTAAAATAAAAACGACATGTGACTTATTAAAGATTTTTATTTTATTAAAATACTGCCAAACCGAATATAAATAATACTTACTTACTGAAATGTTATAAAAATAGCTATTTAATAAAGTAAATAATACAACTTATAGTTTTACGTTAATCACTCAGTTGTTCTTTCATTTGGGTGATAATTTTAGTAACATCTCTATAAATATCATCCCGAAACAAATTTTGTACTACGTGCTGTATACATAGATTTGCATTACACTTGCATACTTTATCCTCATTATTTTGCAATTGTTCCACATCATATATTTGAATGCGAATAATTTTGGTACCTTTTGATGGTATTTTCATATATGAATATAGTGTATTAGCATCCGCTGATCTTTTACTGCTCTTTTCTTCTGGGTTATTTGGTATAAATCTGAATAAGTCTCCAGAGTCCTGAAATAAAAATTATTATTGAAAGTTATTTACTTATTATTAGTGTATTTTAAAGTATTTGGTACAGAACATTTTATTCATAATATTAAATGACTTAAAATTCCGCTTTCACAGTTTTTAAATGTTCTATTAATGAGACTTTAATATACCTATGTACTAGTAAATATATATAAGACTTATAATATTAACTTACTTCCATTTCCCCAAAAAATTCTAAAATGCTGTCTACAGCATTTTAGAAACTTTCTACCGAAGAAAGGTTTTTTGTGAACTAAGTAGGTTTAGTGCACGCACAGTCAAAGATACTTTTATTACACAAATTCACATAGGACCGCTCTTAATGAGGATCTGATTGAGAATAACTTGAATTTTCTTTGTAAATCATCAGTAAGTAAATATAAAACAAAGTTCTTAGACCAAGTTTGTCTGTGTATGAGCTATAATCTCATAATCGAGAAACTAAATGATTTTCATTAGAAGACGTATCTATGGTTCCATTATGCTATTCGTGTGACGCCAGGGCTCAATATTAGTATGGATAAAATGCTTAGTCCTCCAAGTTCAGTTTCCAACATGTTTTAACCTGCAAGATGTAACGTGATGAAATTGAACATTCCTTACCATAAAAGGACACCCGACAAAGCGGCGTCGTCGGGTGCAAATTGATCCTATCGATGTTTACTGAAACTATCATAATAACTCTCTAACCATGTTTTGTCAAGTTGTACGCACATAGATTATCAGGTCATATTTTAGAATAAATATGGTATACAGAACCAGGGGAATATGTAAAGTTCATTTTAAAATAATTTGTACTATCTCCGCATTTTTAGATTAATCTGCAAACATATCGACAGTCAGCTTACATACGAACAATTTGTGTTTAACTGTCTACACACACATTTTAAATTTTTGAAACTATTTATAGGCTGGTGCCCATCAAGCCGCCATTTTCAAGTCCTACTTTCAAAGGTGACAGAATTCCTCAGCTCCAATTGTTTTTTTTTTACAAGTAGGTACCTAACCAAGTTGAAGTGTTCATCAGTGTTTTTCGTGAATTAAGTAAAATTTTCGTGAATTTCATCCAACATGTAAGTACTTCTTTTATATATTAGATTTTATTTTCCATTTCCCTGTATCAATTTAACATAGTCATATAAAATTCTTCGGATACAAGAAAATAGAATAGTAATTTTTATTTAATTACTAACTGATGCCCGCGACTTAGTCCTCGGGGATTTAGTTTTTAAAATCCCTCGTGAACTCTTTGATTTTCCGGGATAAAAGTAGCCTCTGTCACTCTCCAGATCCTCAACTATACCCATTCAAAATCACGTCGATCTGTAGCTCTGTTGCGGCGTGATTGAAGGACAAACCAACAAATACACTTTCGCATTTATAATATTAGTATGATTTAAACAGTTTCGATAAATTCATCCAACCAGACGTTCTTTTTCAACTTTGATGAAATTGTCTGATTTTTCTCTGAGGATTGAATGATACTAGAATTACAATAATTTTTAATTTACATTATTGAATTATAATAACTTGGAGGTACCTTATTTAAAAATATTAAGAACAGCAGTTGGCAGCTTCTGTGTATTTTTTTTTTTTGTATCTTTTGTGAATGTCAGATCAAAATCAGTTCAGCCTTCCTACGTTGCATAAATAATGGTGAACATTAAGATAAGCTACATTAAAAGATTGTTCACCATTTCTATCGAAAATATTCACATTAGTTCTTAACAGATGTCTAGTTTAATAATTAGAGCGTGTAAACAAGTCGTCTATTCGCAAAACTGACTCAGAAAGAAGAAGTTATTTAAAGGTTTCAGATTCGAATCCCGAGACATCGTAGAAGATATATTATTTTTTTTAGATATTTAAAACTTAGTATTCGATGCAAACTTACACCCATATTCTTAGTTGTCACCTCGAAACTCCCTCGACTCAAACTCGACTGAGGCGTGTTCGAGGAAGGCCTCGAGAGATCCTCGAAATCGGTATTCATAAACATCGTCTTGAGGAAACTTTAGAATCCCTCGAGTGAGTGTGAGTCGAGGGAGAGTCGAGGAAAACGTCATGAATTACGTCATGAAGTGGAGGATTTTGTTATTATAAGTAGTACTAACTATACGTATACACAAAATCCGTAGCTGTCATCTTAATTTGTCGTTTTTTATCAAAGTCATGGGTCAAAATTGGGTTAGTTTAAAGTACTTCAGAGCAGGTAAACACACCATATTTTGCAAAAGTGCTTTGGAATGTTAAGTGTATTATATCGTATTTTATACAAAAAAGATGTTTGGCGTTTGGTACACGTTTCGTCATTTAGTATTAAAAACGCGCTCATTATGGCTGGAAGACAATTATTTAATGAAACTGAGAAAGTTTGTCTTCAGGAGTTAATTATAAAATATAAACTCAATTCGACGGCTACAATATGTGGTGGAAGTGTTGCTTCGAAAAAAGGCGCTTGGGCACGCTTAACGGAGGAGTTTAACTCCGTTGAAACAAACTCAAAAGTAAGTACATTTCACATTTAAATAGTTCCCCTCTGTCGTCTTAACTTTCATGTAAGGCTATGTGAACTTGGCACCCGACTTTAGAAAAATTGTTCTTTTTTAGGTTTATTTGAACGATTTCGGTTAGTAGTAGATAGTAGTGAAGCTAACTTCGTTTGTAGTAGTGTCAAAAAAAAAAATACAGACAACAAAAAAAATGTCATCCCCCGAAGTTGGTAAAAAAATTTTTTTTCGCTTGATTCGTATAGAAAAACGTTAGTAGTGGTTTGTAGTGCAATTTTTTTCGTTTGTAGTAAAACAAAAAAAAAAATTTTTTTTTTCGAGTATTTTTCCAGAACGATTTTTACTACATACATTCATTGTTTCGTTTGTAGTACCATTATTTCATTTGTAGTAACGTTAATTTTGGTTTGTAGTACCATTACTTCGTTTGAAGTAACGTTAATTTCGTTTGTAGTACCATTACTTCGTTTGTAGTACCATTATTTCGATTGGAGCTGTTTGTAGTAACGTTAATTTCGTTTATAGTACCATTATTTCGTTTGTAGTAGTTTGTAGTAACGTTAATTTCGTTTGTAGCAACGTAAATTTCGTTTGTAGTACCATTGTTACGTTTGTAGTACCATTGTTTCGTTTGTAGTACCATTATTTCGTTTGTAGTACCATTATTTCGTTTGTAGTACCATCATTTCGATTGTAGCTGTTTGTAGTAACGTTAATTTCGTTTGTAGTACCATTATTTCGTTTGTAGTTGTTTGTAGTAACGTTAATTTTGTTTGAAGTACCATTGTTTCGTTTGTAGTAACGTTAAATTTATTTCGTTTGTAGTACCATTTCGTAGTACCATATTCGTTTGTAGTTGTTTGTAGTAATCGTTAATTTTCGTTTGTAGTAGTTACCATTATTCGTTTGTAGTTGTCGTAGTAACGTTAATTTCGTAGTAACGTAAATTTCGTTTGTAGTAACATTGTTACGTTTGTAGTACCATTTTTTCGTTTGTAGTACCATTATTTCGTTTGTAGTACCATCATTTCGATTGTAGCTGTTAGTAGTAACGTTAATTTTGTTTGTAGTACCATTGTTTCGTTTGTAGTAACGTTAATTTCGTTTGTAGTACCATTATTTCGTTTGTAGTTGTTTGTAGTAACGTTAATTTCGTTTGTAGTACCATTATTTCGTTTGTAGTTATCGTTTAAAATGCCTCGAGCGGCCGCGAATCCGCCACACATTATTTTTGATACTTTAAAAGAACTGCGGTTTATCGATGATAAAGGCAATCTTTTGCCATGGAGTAATGATGTTTGGCGCAAAGCGACCGTCGCAATGAACTTTTTAAACATGGTGGCGCGTTGGAGCTGCTTCAATCGCGAGAGTCCTGAAAAAAAGGATTTCTTTCTCCGATGTGTGGGTCTGTTAACCACATGTATGGAAATTTACGATTTTATTCGGCTGTGTACCGACGTATTGACCATTGCTTTTGCTACGCATGAAAACATTGATGACAATCAGAGTCACTGTTTCGCAGCACAGAATCGAGTTTCACAGCGCTTGAAATCGTATAATCTTTCCGACAATGGTGCTGACAAAATCAACGATAATCAGAACAAAAAGGAAACTTTGCTGGAACAATTTAACGACGTTGATGGAGAGACCGAACTCGATTCGAGTGCTGCAATTGGAGTTATTTTAAAAAAATCGAGTCAGATAGCAGGAGTGAACTCAAAAACGGACGATTGAATCCTTATCAGTGCTGTGCGTTCGGTTCTAGATTGTTGAAATTGGTAAAACAATTTGTTCTGTGGACTGCCGTTAACTCTCGTAGAGTTATCGAATGACAAAGACGTACGACTTGTTGCCAGTTCAGCTCGCAGTGAAGAATATTTTCGCGAATTAAAACATCTGGTTTTTAAAAAAGAGAAATCTATTAGGATCGACAAGTTCCTCGTTATTCACCTAAGGAACCTGGCAGGCACAACTATTTTGTTGAATAAACGCGAAACCGACGCACAGAAAAACAAAAAAAATGAACCCCAAAGTAATACATTCGACGCCTCGAGTAGATGATCTGGTTGTGGAAAAATCCTCAACTTTGTTCGTGGACTCTCTAACTTCGACCATCGAAAGCGAATTTCACGAGAATAACATGAGAAATTTCGATGAAAGTGAAGATGAAAATGTTCGTAAGCGTGTAAGTGAAGATGACATACAATCGTTAGATGATATTTCGACCAAATTAAATAAATCTTCCATGTCTTTTCTCAATGAGAACGAAAATTGGCGTGGCCTTACAAAAAAGACTGAACTGATCCAATCAAATGTACAGGGTCGACCCAAGAAACGAGGAAAATATCTGACACCATGTCCTGATATACAAATAATACGCCAGCGGCCAAAATTCAGTTTAAATTTGCCTCTACTCGTAAATGGTAACAGTTTGGGCCCTGCAAAAATCGGCAAACAATTTATTGCTGTGCGGAACACATGTGCATTCGACTCCATCGTGCAAAGTATGCTAACAGCATATCACGATTTCGCTACGTATTACCAACACATCACAGAGTCAAAGAATGCCATACATGATTTTGTAGAGGCGTTGTCGAAGTCTGGTGTAAGTTCGAAATTATACAACGAACGATGTGTAATTTTAAAACACACATCAGAAATAAAAAATGGAGTGTTGGATTGCGAAATCAACGTCGCTACTTTAATAGAGTTACATATTTTACCGAACACTCCATCACTTGAGATAAAAATTAATTGCAATGATTGTCAATACGAAAAAATAAGCATCATCCCAGTCCTTGAACTCAATCCAGATCCCATTTTCAAAGAAGCCATGAGGGGCCTACAGGAAGCTGTATGTAAGTCTGTAGAACATTACGTGTCTAAAACTCGAAACGAGTGTTGTTTTTGTAAAGGAACTAATATTACTAAGACGTTTGCTGGAGGAAGCCACATTTTCCTCAATCTCGAAGCGGCCGAAATTGGGCTGCTTGCCGCACGGCGTGGTCTAGCCAATTGTAGGAAACAATTCACTCTTTCGGAAATCCCTGGAAATTTGAACTATTGCGATCGTCAGTACAAAATGGTTTCAGCGATCATTTTCGTCGCAGGGCATTACTACGCATGTATAAAACGAGCGACTGGCAGGTGGGAAGAGCATAACGATCTATGTTCTTCGCAAAAAGTAATAACGATTACCAAACGGGATGTACTAAAACAACGTCGAACACCTTTGCTATTTTACGTCCGAATTTAGATTGTGGATTTAGTTGGCACAACATCAAGGTTGACGAAAGAACCAACAATTTAGTGTTTGGTTTACCAAAGAAAAGATACTATAAATAAAATGAACATGACTACCACCAAGTACTATTACTTCTTTACCCATCGGCAAAAAAAGTCAACATTAAGAAAAATTGGATATGTCCCGAGTGCTCATTATCTCAGCCGCGTCAAGTTAATAAGGACAACACACCGGTCAAAATTAAGCAAACTTTCTTTTATGATCAATATATGACCTAATTAAGGTTATAATTAAAGTTACTACAAACAACTACAAACAAAATAGTGGTACTTCAAACGAAATTAACGTTACTACAAACAACTACAAATGAAACAATGGTACTACAAACGAAACAATGGTACTACAAACGAAATAATGGTACTACAAACGAAACAATGGTACTACAAACGTAACAATGGTACTACAAACGATATTAACATTACTACAAACAGCTACAAACGAAGTAATGGTACTACAAATGAAAGAATGGTACTACAAACGAAATATTGGGTCTACAAACGAAATTAACGTTACTACAAACAACTACAAACGAAATAATGGTACTACAAACGAATTAATGGTACTACAAACGAAATTAACGTTACTACAAACAACTACAAACGAAATAATGGTACTACAAACGAAATTAACGTTACTACAAACAACTACAATCGAAATGATGGTACTACAAACGAAATAATGGTACTACAAACGAAATAATGGTACTACAAACGAAACAATGGTACTACAAACGTAACAATGGTACTACAAACGAAATTTACGTTACTACAAACGAAATAATGGTACTACAAACGAAATTAACGTTACTACAAACAACTACAAACGAAATAATGGTACTACAAACGAAATAATGGTACTACAAACGAAACAATGGTACTACAAACGAAACAATGGTACTACAAACGTAACAATGGTACTACAAACGATATTAATAGTTTCTAGTACCATTATTTTGTTTGTAATGGTTTGTAGTAACGTTAATTTCGTTTGTAGTACCATTGTTTCGTTTGTAGTACCATTAATTCGTTTGTAGTACCATTATTTCGTTTGTAGTTGTTTGTAGTAACGTTAATTTCGTTTGTAGACCCAATATTTCGTTTGTAGTACCATTCTTTCATTTGTAGTACCATTACTTCGTTTGTAGCTGTTTGTAGTAATGTTAATATCGTTTGTAGTACCATTATTTCGTTTGTAGTACCATTATTTCGTTTGTAGTCTTTTTTTGTCTACAAGTTTGTCTACAAACAGCTACAAACGAAGTAATGGTACTACAAATGAAAGAATGGTACTACAAACGAAATATTGGGTCTACAAACGAAATTAACGTTACTACAAACAACTACAAACGAAATAATGGTACTACAAACGAATTAATGGTACTACAAACGAAACAATGGTACTACAAACGAAATTAACGTTACTACAAACCATTACAAACAAAATAATGGTACTAGAAACTAAAGAATGGTACTACAAACAACTACAAACGAAATAATGGTACTACAAACGAAATTAAGGTTACTACAAACAACTACAAACAAAATAATGGTACTACAAACGAAATTTACGTTACTACAAACAGCTACAATCGAAATAATGGTACTTCAAACGAATTAATAGTACTACAAACGAAACAATGGTACTACAAACGAAATTAACGTTACTACAAACAACTACAAACAAAATAATGGTACTACAAACGAATTAATGGTACTACAAACAAAACAATGGTACTACAAACGAAATTAACGTTACTACAAACAACTACAAACGAAATAATGGTACTACAAACGAAATTAACGTTACTACAAACAACTACAAACAAAATAATGGTACTACAAACGAAATTAACGTTACTACAAACAACTACAAACAAAATAATGGTACTACAAACGAATTAATGGTACTACAAACGAAACAATGGTACTACAAACGAAATTAACGTTACTTCAAACCATTACAAACAAAATAATGGTACTACAAACAACTACAAACGAAATAATGGTATTACAAACGAAATTAAGGTTACTACAAACAACTACAAACAAAATAATGGTACTACAAACAAAATTTACGTTACTACAAACAGCTACAATCGAAATAATCGTACTACAAACGAAACAATGGTACTACAAACGAAATTAACGTTACAACAAACAACTACAAACGAAATAATGGTACTACAAACGAAATTAACGTTACTACAAACAACTACAAACGAAATAATGGTACTACAAACGAAACAAAGGTACTACAAACAAAATTAACGTTACTACAAACAACTTCAAACGAAATAATGGTACTACAAACTAAATCAAGGTTACTACAAACAACTACAAACGAAATAATGGTACTACAAACGAAATTAACGTTACTACAAACGAAACAATGGTACTACAAACAAAATTAACGTTACTACAAACAACTACAAACGAAATAATGGTACTACAAACGAAATAATGGTACTACAAACGAAATAATGGTACTACAAACGACACAATGGTACTACAAACGTAACAATGGTACTACAAACGAAATAATGGTACTACAAACGAAATTAACATTACTACAAACAGCTACAAACGAAGTAATGGTACTACAAACGAAATATTGGTACTGCAAACGAAATTAACGTTACTACAAACAACTACAAACGAAATAATGGTACTACAAACGAAATTAACGTTACTACAAACAATTACAAACGAAATAATGGTACTACAAATGAAATTAACGTTACTACAAACGAAACAAAGGTACTACAAACAAAATTAACGTTACTACAAACAACTACAAATAAAATAATGGTACTACAAACGAATTAATGCTACTACAAACGAAACAATGGTACTACAAACGAAATTAACGTTACTACAAACAACTACAAACGAAATAATGGTACTACAAACGAAATTTACGTTACTACAAACAGCTACAATCGAAATAATGGTACTTCAAACGAATTAATAGTACTACAAACGAAAAAATGGTACTACAAACGAAATTAACGTTACTACAAACGAAACAAAGGTACTAAAAACAAAATTAACGTTACTACAAACAACTACAAACAAAATAATGGTACTACAAACGAATTAATGCTACTACAAACGAAACAATGGTACTACAAACGAAATTAACGTTACTACAAACAACTACAAACAAAATAATGGTACTACAAACGAAATCAAGGTTACTACAAACAACTACAAACGAAATAATGGTACTACAAACGAAATTAACTTTACTGCAAACGAAACAATGGTACTACAAACAAAATTAACGTTACTACAAACAACTTCAAACGAAATAATGGTACTACAAACGAAATAATGGTACTACAAACGAAATAATGGTACTACAAACGAAACAATGGTACTACAAACGTAACAATGGTACTACAAACGAAACAAAGGTACTACAAACAAAATTAACGTTACTACAAACAACTACAAACGAAATAATGGTACTACAAACGAAATCAAGGTTACTACATACAACTACAAACGAAATAATGGTACTACAAACGAAATTTACGTTACTATAAACGAAACAATGGTACTTCAAACAAAATTAACGTTACTACAAACAACTACAAACGAAATAATGGTACTACAAACGAAATTAACGTTACTACAAACAGCTACAATCGAAATGATGGTACTACAAACGAAATAATGGTACTACAAACGAAATAATGGTACTACAAACGAAACAATGGTACTACAAACGTAACAATGGTACTACAAACGAAATTTACGTTACTACAAACGAAATAATGGTACTACAAACGAAATTAACGTTACTACAAACAACTACAAACGAAATAATGGTACTATAAACGAAATTAACGTTACTACAAACAGCTACAATCGAAATAATGGTACTACAAACGAAGTAATGGTACTACAAACGAAATTAACGTTACTTCAAACGAAGTAATGGTACTACAAACCAAAATTAACGTTACTACAAATGAAATAATGGTACTACAAACGAAACAATGAATGTATGTAGTAAAAATCGTTCTGGAAAAGTACTCGAAAAAAAAAAATTTTTTTTTGTTTTACTACAAACGAAAAAAATTGCACTACAAACCACTACTAACGTTTTTCTATACGAATCAAGCGAAAAAAAAATTTTTTACCAACTTCGGGGGATGACATTTTTTTTGTTGTCTGTATTTTTTTTTTTGACACTACTACAAACGAAGTTAGCTTCACTACTATCTACTACTAACCGAAATCGTTCAAATAAACCTAAAAAAGAACAATTTTTCCAAAGTCGGGTGCCAAGTTCACATAGCCTTCATGTAATAGTGCCATAGGTAGCCTGTATAATACTGCTGTAAGTTCGCCATCTTTACAACCTATTACTAGTATTTAAATTCTTAAGAAACAATTTACTTAGTGATATAGTAAAATGTGTACCTATCTACAATCAATTGTTGAGTTATAAAGTTAGCATATGAATTTAATGATTTTCTTTCTTTCAGAGAACTGAACAACAACTTAAAAAATGTTGGGATAACCTAAAAACTCGGCGCAAAGGTGTATTAGCCCTACAAAAAAAAGAAAGAATGAGGACAGGGGGTGGGCCTTTTAATCCTGATATACCAAGTGCTTCCCAATCCAGCCAGGAAGTATTACTGGACAGCGCTCTTACTGAGCAGACAGATGTGGAGCTGATGTTTGCAATCGATAGTGACACACCAGACACACATACTATTGAAGGTAATAAAACATGGTTTATAATAATATAATCGATGATATAATGTGGTAATAGGTGTCTGTTCCAGTGAAAACGATTTTAGTTTTCTATAAGAATATAGGTATACTGATATCAATATTTTCCAATTTTTTACTAATTAATTTTATTGTTGACAGATATGCAAACTAATCTAGAGACGGGTGCCCATAAAACTACAGAAAACCTTTCAATTGTTACTGAAGGTGTAAATGAGCCTTTGACTGAAACAGGTAAAGAAACTTAATTCAATAAATTTATAATTTGTGTAATTTGAATCTAATATGAATAATATGCTTATTAGTTTGGTTTATTATAAAATAGACATTTTTTAAATGACAAGCAAACAAGGGACAATATTATTACATTTGACATTGGTCCTATAAAGTAGATTTATTATTTTATTAGCAACTTACGTTATATTTGTAAGCATTTCTAGTACTTCTGTAATAAGGAACGAATTTTTAAATGATATTTTATGTATTGATCGATTTGCTTACAGAATGTGTAAATACTCCTCTCCGTCAATCTGAGTCCCGGATGTCAGATCTTGCTATATCAGCCCCATCACAAGGTAATTAGTTTTGAAATATTATTATGCCTCACACTATATTTATAGTCATTATGTTCCATATCACAGGGCAATTCTGTTCACATGTCATATAATAATTATTTAAATTTCAGTATCAAGAAATATACGGACCAAAGTAATCGAGGAAGAGTTTTCTATTAGACGGGAAAACTATAAAATAAAGCAAAAAAGGGATGAAGAGTTACATAAACTTAAAATGGGTGAGTATACATTGTTAGTGAAGGCTGCAGAAGAAAAATATTTAAAAACAAAAATTGAGAGAGAAGCTGCCGAAGAACTCCTTCTCTGTAATAAGATGAAGAAAGAAGAAGCAGAGCTTAAATTGTTGGAATTAAAAAAATTAAATTAGATTGCACATTATTTTATTTGCACAACATTTACATAGTATAATTATCATATGAAATATGCGAATTAATATTATAAAACTTGCAACTTTCAACTGTACAGGGTAATCTTTGAAGGTACTGATCCAATTCTAAAAACTGATTCTTGAGATCATAAAAGATTGTCATCTTTATTTTATTATCTTAACTTTTATGTTTGTGTGCCCAGCAGGGTATAGCATTTTTACTTTAACCTGTTTTGTGACATAGGTTTAAAAAAAGAACAGGTAACTATATAAAATATAACTAATAAATATAGACTTATATAGCATAATAATGATGTTATCCTTGCTATATAATAACAATATTATTAATGCGGAACTTAAGTTTGTTTGTTACGCTTTTATGCTTAAATAGCTGAGCCGATTTTGACGAATTTTGGTACAGAGATAGGAACAGATCTAAGTTAATGTTTGAATACTTACTAAACATTGCATATTAACACATTTGGAGTTTACTGGTTATTTAATAATCTAACGTAATAATGAATTGGTTTAATTATATACTTTAATTAAAATGCCTGGCAATAAATGTTCCTCGAATTAAACTACCCCTTTCAGTGTCACTACTATTTGAGACTGGAACATCATCATGTGTGATGGGTTCAGGCATCTCTTGATTAGTAGTTATACTAATGTTGTGTAGAACTGCACATGCCACAACAATATTGCATGTGTTTTCTAAATTATTTTGTAGCTTCCTATTCAGGCACGCAAATCTTCTCTTCCATACACCATTCAATCTCTCTATTACATTTCTTGTGGTAATATGAGCCCTATTGTATCGTATTTCCGGTTGAGTTTGTGGATTGTACACAGGTGTATACATATAAGACGACTGCCCATAGCCACTATCACCAATTAATAATCCAGTTATGTCTCCGTCTTCGAATCTCATATAACATCTGCTATTAACAAAAATTCTTGAGTCGTGTACAGAGCCAGGCCAGCGTGCTACAATGTCATATATTTCCATTAGTGGACCGCATACGAGTTGCACATTGATGGAAAACCAACCCTTTCGGTTGCGAAACACTACCAATTTGTCGGTTTGGATTTTTTATTGGTATATGGGTGCAATCAATACATCCTATAACTCCAGGAAATCCAGCAATGCGATGGTACATAACTTTAACATTGCCTTGCTCGGAGACATTTGGAAATTTTATGAATTGCCTTACTTTTAAAGCTAAAGCTTTTGATATTTTTGCTACAAACTTGGACGCTGTAGACTGGTTAATCTTATGCAAATCTCCACAAACAATCTGAAAAAAAATTTGTGCATACATAAGTTTAATATCTAATAAATAAAGAAGAAGTCTAATAAGATTTCGTCAAACATCAAACATGTCTTGGTACGTTAGTACATTACTCGATGCAATTAGCTTAGTTTATATTATAAGTACATTGTAAGGACAACTTACTTGAAAGTTTCCAGTTGCGTAAAATCGTAGTGCAAGTAGCACTTGAATTACAGGTGAAATAGGCAATCCACGCCTATTGCCACCACCATTATTTTGAAATAATAAGGGCAAAAGTAATCTCGTCAGAACATCTTTAGTAAAGCGAAATCTATTTTTAAATTCACATTCATCATAGAACTCCATAGGATTATTTGCATCCCGTAGATAGCGCCGTGATAAATAATCGTACGGATTGTCATAGATATGCTCAATAAACACTTCAAAAGACATTTTAACTCACAAATTACTTTAAAATATAATAAAATGTTAAATAACTCGCGTTGTTTTTGTCAATAATTGTCTCGAGGTTTCCTTAAGGTAGATCGTGAGGTACCTTACATTTGACAGTTCGTTCCTCGAGTTTTCCTCACCTTACTCGAGGCGAATACTTGAGGTAAGGGACAAAATGACATCTATGAATACCGAATCACCTCAGTGAGGTTGAGTCGAGTCGAGGAAATCTCGAGTTTACGACTAAGAATATGGGGGTTAAAGTTAATACAGGTTTTTTTTAATGATACATACAGTTTTTGTTAAAGTTATAATTATTTCTAATTTCAGGTCAAGCAACCATGAAAACATTTTTCTATCAGAAGAGTCTTCCTCTGAAGAGAGGACCGAGCCGAAGGGGAAAGAGAAGAAAGCTGTGAGGAAAAACAAGCGAGGGCATAACTCTCATGGAAACGAGCCTTCAACTAGCGGGGACGCTATAGTACGTGTTCGATCCAGCGGAAAGAAATCAAGATCAGCCAAAGTCACCGCTCAAGATCTTTTCGGCGTAGACTCCGATGATGGTGAAATCAACGATGTAACATGTAAAAATACATCTCCTTTAGTATCTTATTTAACAAAACGGGTAACAAACGGCTTTTCACGACAAATAAAGTTTGATAAGCCTGGCAGTCATTTTGTCGAAATAAAAATATATAAATGCGAAGAAATCGAGTGCGTATCTCCGATGAATAGATGGCGCTATTCAATAGTTGCTCTTAAAAATAGAACAAATGTTGATACCGAGTCCTGGCGATATTTATCAGCATATTTAAGCGAAGTCCGAAAGGAGTTCAAGGAATGTTCGCCAAATTTCATAAATTCACATTTATTGTAAATAATATATATTTAACGTTTTACTTTATTAATAGAATGTATAAATATTAATAAAGTACATTTACCTATCCTACTAATCTTGTCATATTATACTCATTTACGTTTTAAAACTTACTATTTTATAATAAATGAATATTTCAAGTTTCGTATTTTCTATATATTCGTATTTTATTTCTTGTTCGCAGTTGTCGACACCAGTAATAAAGAAAAAGACAAAGACATTAAGTTTTGTAAATACTGTAATTTATATACATTAAGAAATAAATATAATTACCATTTAAGAAGTAATATACATAAGTCAAATTGCTTGTTGAATACAAAATTTGATAATATAAAAGTCATTGCTCCTGCATTTAAAAATCGAATTATAACATATAGATTACAGCCTGAGAATATAGAAAAGTACTTTACTCCCGAGTCATTTCTTAAAGATAATGAAAAAGATATATTAAAGGTCATTGAGCTCTCAATTACTGAACATACATGTGTGAAAGTTAATTTTGAACTTTTTGCTCTATTTTATTTACCAAGTTCTGATCAACAACAACTCAAGTCATTTAATTCAAAATTTCAAATTCTATGTCGAAATACTGATCTGAAAGAAATGTTTTCTTTAGTAATAGACTCTATGAAAATGAAAATGGCTGAATTCGAACATTGCAAGTCTGGTTGGACTTTTGGAACAATTAGTCATTTAAAAATAAACGTGAATAAATACTCGCCTATGAAGGGAAGTACTTATATAGAACTCCCCGCGACTATTAAAAATACTAAGAGTTGTATTAATATTAAAAATGAAGACGATCACTGTTTTTTATGGAGTATAGTTGCAGCATTATATCCAGCAAAAAATAACGTATGTAGAACTAGATCTTATCCTCATTATAGTAATGTGTTCAAAATAGGTGGTATGTCTTTTCCACCTACTACACACGATCTCAAAACTTTTGAAAAGCAAAATTCTAATATAAGTTTCAACATTTATGGCCTCGATAATTGTAACCAAGTAACTGGTCCGCTTTAAATATGTAATTCAAGAATAGTACACCATGTCAATATATTATACATTGAGAAATATAATAAGGGTCACTATTGCTTAATAACAGATTTGTCACGTCTTGTGCGACCACAGATTTCAAAACATAATGGTAAATTACATTTCTGTGATTTATGTCTTCAACATTTCTCGTCGAAAAAAAAATTTATGTCACACCAATGTTCTAAAGTATTAACCATATTGCCGAAAGAAAATAGCATATTACAGTTTAAAAGATATGAGCGAAAAATAAAAATAAATTTTATAATATATGCAGATTTTGAAAGTTTATTGTTGAAATGTAATAAAAATGAACAAACATGTAATACGGTTAATTTACAGTTACACGAGCCATCTTGTTTTGGTTACTATATTTGTTGCTCTCATGATTCTTAAGTTAAATAAATATGTATCATATAGAGGTCCGGATTGTGTTAAAATCTTTATAGAACGTTTAATTGAAGATGTTAAAGATATTGATAAGCTATTATCTGTTAATAAACCAATGAATCCACTAACCGATAAACAAAGAAATGCTTATTTAAATGCTACAACTTGTCACATCTGTAATGAACCTTTGCTGGGAGATGAAGTTGCTGACCACGATCATATTACTTCTGAATATCGGGGTCCAGCACATTCTCACTGCAATCTCATGTTAACCCATTAATTCCCAAGGGTAAAAATAAAAGCATATTTATTGGTTTTATTGTTTATTACGTTTATAAATACATCCAAAAAGAGAAAATTATAGTAAAAAAAAATATTGAATTATTAGTTTACATTCCGCAAAATGTTGCGTCTAAGCGACTTTGGGATTACTGAACTTCAATTTTACTAGCAAGTCTAACAACGCTAGAGTATTAGCGTGAGTGAAATATTTTAAAACAATCAGCATGAAGATGTACTTGACATTTTTTACACATATAAATTGTTGTACTTCTACACTGTCGACATCTTCTTCGACGTTTACTTTCCTGCTCTTCTATGACATGACCAATATTATCGAAGCGAATATTGGTAGGTAACGCGTTTTTCGATGGTCTTCCTAGATTAATATTTGAATTACCCAAAAAATGCGAATTATCTGCAAGTTGGGCTTCTTCGGTTTTCATTAAACTTACAGTAACGTAAGATTTGAATTCCAATTGACTCAAAGATCGCTCATTCGCCAGATTGTAAATTTTCCACGAGTTTACCAAAACACTGTCTATCAAATTGATGAATAGTGGCCACCACCACTTTTTCCCTCTTACTTGAATCCTATAATTGGCTATTCCATTATCATGGAGATCTACGCCTCCCATATTTTTATTATAATCTGCTATAACCTGGGGCTGTGGCACATTCACCATCTTTTTTATCTTTCTATCGTAACGTTTTGCTGTAACCAATGGTTCGTTTTTTGCGTTGTTAGTAGCCACATTCACCACAGAATTGTCATTCCATCGAACCAACAGTACTTCATATTTTTGGTCAAAGTTATAGTCAAATGACCCTCTCTCTTTTTTCTGAAGACTTTTCGTATTTATCAAGTTTTTATTCATTGTTCTATTTTCTCTAATAGTACCAGTGGCAAAATAGCCTTTCTCTTTCAAAATACAAAACAATTTATGTGAAGAAAAGAAATTATCAAAAAAAATGCGATGTTTGCGTGGGTCTTCAATAACGGACAATAGGTCTAAAACAATATTTTCTCCCAGACCTAAATCATTTCTAGTAACATTACTATTCTTTCCGCCATATGGAATAAACTGGTACAGATAACCATTTGAACTACATAAGCACCATAACTTGAATCCAAATCTTACAGGCTTTCCTTTGATGAACATCTTGCAACCATGACGTCCAAAATACGGCACCATTTCTTCGTCAATTGACAAGTTATGTGAAAATATTCCGAACTGCATATTTTTTTGGTTTATTATATTGAAAATAGGACGCAATTTAGCGAATTTATCATTTTGATGCAGATCAGTATTATCACATAAATGAATATTTTCCTTTATAGAGTCGAATTTGTTACGACTCATACAATTTCTTACAATTGATACATTTTTGTCTTCATCTTTTGACCAGTATAACTTCGCAGCAGGCAAAGAATGATATCCAGTCAATAATAATATACCAAAAAATCTTTTGAGTTCTGCTACCGTGAGGGTAAATAAATGACGGTTATGGTCACACGCATATTTTTTTGAAAAACCTACAATCTGTTCCCAAACTTCATCACTAAAAAATAAGGAAAATACTTCAAAAGGTGTTTTTCCACCTACACGTTCTTCAATATTCTGTGTCATTGCTGTTTCGTCACTTGTAGGAAAATGTGTATAAATTGGATGTTCTTTTTTCCAGTCTGGAACATATTTTGGTGACTTCTTCGGCAGTCTTGGCTTTTTCGAAGTTGAAGGACCGGGCTCACCTTGCGTATTTTCAGGCTCTGCGGGTAAATCGGTGTGGATTTCATACGTTCCAGCGATATCAGTGGGCACAGTATTTTCGTAATCACCTAGCGCGTCATCATCTAGGTCTTCCTCGTCTGTAAGATTGTCAACCGTCGGGGGGATGTACACGGCATCGATTTGATTGGCATCTTCTAAATCCTTTTCCTCTTCTAATATACTCAGTATTTCTTGAGAAGATAATGCTCGTTGCCAAGCCATAATATTTCAACTTTTTATTCACTGATTTGTGTACACTCACTTATCGTTTTTTAAGATTTACTGTGACACGGTTAGCTTGACGTTCTATAGCCGACTAACTAATAAAACAAAAGTGCTTGTACTCTTTGAATACCGAGGATCCATTGTTTATAATAAATTTCTAACATCAATGGCAAGCTGGGTAACAATAACAATTGATCATTATTTCTCCCAACGTTGCGCATATGCAACGCTTTCTAAAACTCTAAGATAAACAGCACGTGTAAGTTTTGTCCAACAAAAGGGTTTATACAATAAATAAGATATTGTTAAAGCTTTACAAAGTGTAAAAAGTATAGCTTTATTTCAGTTAATATTTTTTATGATTGAATGAATCTGTCGATCTTGAGATGACTCAATTAGCAGTTATTGATAAATAAAAATAATATGTATTATTATTTAAAAAACCATTTTAAAATTTTTTAATCCATCTCTTAGTTTTTCTTCTCGAGACTGGCTTACATGTCATAGATTTATTTACTTATTTTAAAAACAAAAAAATAATAATTTTGAAATGTTGCGCTCGCGCAACGATGGGTACAGATGGGTTAAGAGAATATTCTTTTATACCAGTCGTATTTCATAATTTATGTGGTTATGACAGCCATCTTTTTATCAAAGAATTAACACACCATGTGGGAGACATAAAAGTTATACCTAAAACAAAAGAAAAGTATTTAACAATAAGTAAAATAATTTATAACGAGCACACTTCTCGCAACGTTCAAATTAAATTTATAGATTCCTTTCAGTTTTTAAGTTCTAGTTTGAATGAATTAAGTAAAAATTTATCTGAAAATGCACACATTCATCCCTCAGAAGAATTCAGAAATCATATTGACTTTAACTTGTTAAAAGAGAAAGGTATATTTCCTTATGATTACGTAGATTCTTGGTGTAAATATGAAGAAAAATCTTTGCCACCAAAAGAATGTTTTTATAATAATTTAACCATGAAACATAACTTATGACGAACATGCACGAGCACAAAAAGTATGGGATAATTTTAATATAAACACAATTGGTGAATACACAGATTTATATTTAAAAACAGATGTCCTATTATTATGTGACATTTTTGAAAACTTTAGAAATACATGCTTGGAATATTACAAATTAGATCCCGCGCATTATGTATCATCTCCTAGCTTAAGTTTGGATGCTATGTTACTGCATACAGGCGTTCGATTGGATTTAATAAGTGATTTAGAAATATATCAGTTAATAGAAAAAGGTATTCGTGGAGGGTTATCGCAATGTTCTCATCGATATGCTAAAGCTAATAACAAGTATCTACCGAATTATGATAACTCAGAAATTTCTAAATACGTAATTTATCTTGATGCCAATAATTTATATGGATTTGCTATGATGAAAAAGCTGGCTATTTCTGAGTTCCGTTTACTATCTGAAGATGAGAAAACGAATTTTAATGTATTAAATATAACAGATGAGTCGGAATATGGCTATATTTTAGAGGTTGACTTAGATTATCCAGACCACCTCCATAATGCTCATAGTGATTTGCCATTTGCACCAGAAAAAATAATACCTCCAGGTGGTAAAACATATAAATTAATTGCTAATCTTTACAATAAAAATAAATACGTTATTCACTACATTCATTTGAAATTATGTTTAAAACATGGTTTGATCTTAAAAAAAATATATCGGGTACTAAGTTTTCGTCAAGAACCTTTTTTAAAGAATTACATTGATTTAAATACTCGCCTACGTCAAGCATCTAAATCAAATTTTCAGAAAGACTTGTTTAAATTACAAAATAATTCAATTTTTGGGAAAACAATTGAAAACAGAAGAAAACAAGTTGATGTAAGATTAGTATCACATTGGGAAGATAATAATAACGTATCTAACAAACGCATTGGTGCAAAATTATTGACAAAACCTAATTTTAAAAGCATATCAATCTTCGATGAAAACTTTGTTGCGATTCAATTGGAATATGAAAAAGTTCTGTTAGATAGACATATTTACATTGGATTTACTGTTTTGGAATACGCCAAGCAACATTTATACCAATTTCATTATGGCTATATTAAAGAGAAGTATCACGACTGTGCGAAACTTTGCTATACAGATACTGATAGCTTACTTTATTTGATAGAAACAGACGATATATATGCGAACATAAAATAAAATTCTTTAAATTTTGATACAAGTAACTTTCCAAATAATAATATATATGGCATTTCTAAAATGAATAACAAAATTCCTAGATTATTTAAAGACGAATTAGGTGGTGACGTGCTAACTGAATTCATTGGTTTGAGAGCAAAATTGTATTGTATAAACAGTATTAATACTCAAATAAAAAAAGCAAAAGGTATTTCTAGACCTATTACAACGAAAATTACTACGACTAAATTCATGAAAGCTTTGATGACTGATAAACGCTACAAGCAAAAAATGAATGTTATTCAGTCACTTAAACATGTTTTGTATATACTCAAGAAGTTTATAAAACTGTACTTGATCGAAGTGATGACAAAAGACAGATTTTAACAGACAATATACAAACTTTACCTTGCGGGCATTGGGATAATATAGCGAACGGAATTCAAATATTAAAAGATGATGCAATACGACACCCCCGTCGCACGCGCCGCCCGCCGACACGCTATCACGGACGGGAGGGGTAGTTAGTTATGTTCGGGACGCGCATTACACTAGACCACGCCGCTCTCTCTCTTACGCCGTTGTTTTATATCTATACTTACATTGTGTTAAAATCTACTCTGCAACTCATGTACAATAATAGTAAATATATTAAAGTGTTAATTACCAGTTTCGAATATCATTTCCCTTCGCTATAAGTGGCTGCCCAACGCGAGGAACGAATGTGATAATTAAAGTCGTACCTATAGGATGATGCAATCATTCTCAAATATTAACTCATGTTTGAAGTTTTTGTAAATTGTGTCGCGAGTCAAAACTGAAACTTTACGATTATCGGTGTACATATATTGTACTTTTTGAGTGTGGTTCGTGAATCGTGTGTGATAGTTAGGTACTTATGGTGAATACGCGTTCGCGCCGAGTATTAGCAATGAGTGATACAAATGAATCCGTGCCGCCGCCCCAGGTCGGGCAGGCCGCAGGATTGGTGTTACCCGCTGATGTCGTGTCCGGCGTGCGTACGAGCGCCGACGCGACGCTCCATGCCTCGCCGCAGCGCCCATCGCCATCTTTACACGTGCCGTTCGCGCATGGTGCGGACGCACCAGGCCACGGTGCGCCGACAGAGATACCTACGACACCTACTCCCGTAATTATGACGGACCAGCAGCTAAGTGTTATTTTACAATCTTTACGTATGCCGCCGACTTCGTATACGCCACCGCCTGAATACGGTGCCTATGTGTTACCGAACTTTGCAAACTGCACCGCACGTTTTGACGGCTCAGGTGACGTCGAGGCGTTTATTGACTCAATTGTTATTTATAAAAACTGTGTTAGTATAGACGATGATATAGCTTTGAAGGGACTACCTATGTTATTAACTGGTTTTGCGGCTACGTGGTACCTAGGGGTGAAACATAGTATTTTCACATGGAGTGATGCGCTTTTATTATTAAGGCAGACCTTTGGCCCGCGCATTCCACCACATAAAATATATCGAAAGATATTTGAACATGAACAAGGTGATGAAACAGTAGACGTGTTTGTGTGCAAAATTAGAGCTTTGTTTGCACAATTACCTGCTAACAGTCTGAGTGACACGGTACAACTGGATATGATATATGGGTTGTTACACAGAAGAGTCAGGGAAAGGCTTCCACGGAATTCCTTTTCTACTTACACTCAGCTTTTAAGTGAGGCACGCCGTTTAGAGGAGCTTTTTGAAAAGGGACGTAGTCACCGTAGAGCGCCGGATGCAGCCGTGCTTCCTATCCCGGAGACGTCTCGAGCTTCTTGCGTACCTACCGCATCAAAAGCACTGAGCCATAGGCCCCGATGTGTGTACTGCAAACAATATGGTCACGCGAGGGAGGATTGTAACAGGTTGAAAGAAAAGGCGTCGAGTGTAATAAAAGCAGAGAAATCACCTGAGCGATCTCAAATAACTTGTTTCTGTTGTGGAACGCCCGGTGTTATACGTGCAAAGTGTATAAAGTGTAGTAAAACCGCCGCGAATTCCGCGTTTCACACAGTGTCCGCAATCGGGTCGAAGCCGGTAGATCCGAGGAGTCGACCACTCCTAGAAGTGTTAGTGTACGGTGCTAGGGGTCGTGTATTGGTCGATACCGGGGCGAAACATTGTATCGCGAGTGAAAGCTTAAAAGCTCATTTATATAAGAATAACCATAAATTTGTTAAAGTTAGGATAGAATTGAAATTTGCTGATGGCACTGTAAAAAATTTAGTTGTTGATACTGCTCAAGTGGAGGTGACGGTGTTAGACATAGTAGTGTCGACACTTTTTATCGTTCTTCCCGGTGCCACAGATTCGCTGTTAGGCATGAATTTCATTAAGGATTCTGGTATGGTACTTGATTTTAATCGGAATTTATGGGGTTTAAAGGGTTCGTTGACCCATGCTCTTAATTTGAGGGACCTTTAGATAGTTTTCGCGTAGCATGCTCGACTGTGGGTCTCCCACACGATGAGGGAACTGTTTTGAAACCTGAAGAGAGGCGAGAGTTATCAGATGTTCTGGAAAGGAACCAGGATGTCTTTGAGCCAGGGGGAGCCCCTACGACTCTGGCCGACCATCGCATTGATCGTGGAGATCATGCGCCAGATCGAGTAACCTTTGGAACTCAATACCTCAAGTCATGTGACATATGTAAGCAATATAAGCCTACAAACCTGAAACCCACGGTTCTATTGCAGACTCCGACCCCTCAACAACGCTGTGAAGTGTTAGCGATGGATCTGTTCGGTCCACTACCAGCTGAAAGCCAAGGGGAGGTCAAATGGAGTATCGGGGAGCAACAGGATCGCCGTAAAGCTGTGAAGGACCAACGCCGACGACCAACAGCAAGGTTTAAAGAAGGTGACCTCGTGTGGGTGGAGATGCACAGTCACAGCAATGCTGAGAAAGGGGTCACCCGGAAATTCGCGCCGCGTGGGGAAGGTCCGTATAAAATTTCAACAGCCGTCTCTCCAACTACTTTTGAAGTGATAGATAAAGAGGGAGAGGTTAAGGGCAAGTACCATGCCAGCGCGTTGTCTTTGTATCAAGGGACTTCTAGGTCTGACGCTGTCACCCTGCGTAAGAGAGGACGTCCAGCCAAGTCTCAACCACCTAGTAGTGGCTGTGACTTGGAGGGGGAGGATATAGCGAACGGAATTCAAATATTAAAAGATGATGCAATACGACACCCCCGCCGCACGCGCCGCCCGCCGACCCGCTATCGCGGACGGGAGGGGTAGTTAGTTATGTTCGGGACGCGCATTACACTACACCACGCCGCTCTCTCTCTCTTACGCCGTTGTTTTATATCTATACTTACATTGTGTTAAAATCTACTCTGCAACCCATGTACAATAATAGTATATATATTAAAGTGTTAATTACCAGTTTCGAATATCATTTCCCTTCGCTATAATAACATATTATACTGATTATGTCACTTATTTACAATAATAAGTAAAATAGTTAAATTATAATTGGTACATATTATTTGAACTATATGTAAACAGGAGTTTGAGAAGTTAATGTAGAAATTAATAAAGATTATAAAATTCTATATGAATATTGTTTTATTTTTATTATACCCAGCTGATGCGTAAAAGCTTTGATGAATTTAAATTTAAAATGATTATTAAGGTAGCATTCGGTTCAAGACGACCGCGACGCGAGACCGCGACTCGAGACCGCGACCGGCAACCGGTCGCAGGTCGCAGGACGACAGCTACCTACGAATCTACGCGACACGAGTCGTGCGACCCATACGAAACTCAGTATGCTTGCAGTTACTAAACTAAACGGTTGTATTCCATCACGACGCGTTTTAACTATGAACAGAAAAAGATTTATTCGACAGTTATTAGAAGACGAAGAAGAAGAAGACGATGATATGCTTCTTTTATTATGTGCTCTAATTCCGAAAAAAAGGATGAAAATCGATACATTGTTTACGTCGCGAGAAGAAGAGGGCTGCTTTCAGACACTCATAAAACGACATTTAAATTATAAAGAAAAAAAGTTCAGAAAGTATTGTAGGCTAAATCATAGTCAGTTTAATTTTGTACTCAGTTTAATCAATCAAGATATTCAACCAAGAAGAAATGGCTCATCAATCATCACAAGCGCTCAGAAACTTTTCCTTACATTGAGGTAAAAAAATAATTGTTATCATATTCTGTAGATTCTTCTAATTGGAGATGATTATTTGCATCGTGAGCAACCTGATTCAGTAATGGGATGCTTAAATCAGTTGGTTGGGCAGGTGGAGACGCAATACTGCTGATAGGGGAATATGGGCTCAGGTTTGATGCTGAACTATGTGTAATATTCGAAATTGAATAGTTTTCATTTGAATGTGGGCTGTAGGAAGCGCTGCTGAGACTTGAACTTTTATTAATACTTCTCAATTCATATTCTGCCAGTAAATTAAAAACTTTCGTTTTAGCCTCCACTCTTAAACCCGGTGGTAATTTTTTTAAAATAGTCCCGATATGTGAGCAAAATGAATTGATTCCGTCTTTATCAGCTTTCTCTTCCTCTTCTGCCATGATCTTCATTTGTTCTTGTCTTTGTTTATCTCTTTCTTTCCAATGCTGCAGTAAAGATGAAATATGTAAATTACTATCCAGTTGACATGTTTTCTTTTTTTTTCTCCCACTTGTCTCAGCTGTACCTTTACCTGGTCCGCTTGCCTCTTCATTGCTCGTTACTCCACTTCTCTCTGCATTACGTTTTGTTCCACTTGTACCAGCTGCACTTATTCCTGCTCTTTTTACCTCTTCATTGCTTCTTTCTTCACCACTTATCTCTTCACTACGTCTTCTTTGTTCACTTATCCCTGTTGTACTTGTTTCTTCACCACTTTCGCTACCTTCAGTATTTTCAGCTTCAACTGTTGCTACACTCGCTCTTTCTGTGGGAATTTTTTCTAAAAAACGAAGTCTCTCATACAGCATCCATTTTGTTGTTTTTAAAGAGGCTGAAGAACCCGTGGGCAATTTGTTCTTACGTTTGCATCTATTATAGGAATCTCTTATATATTTCCACCTCTTCTTGCAATCATTACCTGTAATGAACATAACGTTGTTTCAGATTTATAGCTACTGGAGAAACATATGCATCTCTAGAGTTCACGTATCGTATATCGGCAAGTTATATTAGCAGAATAGTGAAAGAAGTGCTTGCAAGCCTGCGAAAGAACTTGGTCCCACTTTGCATGCCAGTACCGACAGAAAATCATCTAAAGCAAGTGACGAGTGATTTTTGGAATCGATGGAATTTTCCCAATACTTTTGGAGCCATTGATGGAAAACACGTGCGTGTTAAAGCTCCAAATAACAGTGGTTCGCTGTTTTTTAACTACAAGGAGTATTATTCGATCGTACTTCTGGCGATTGTAGATGCCAACTACAAATTCATTGCTGTTGACGTGGGTTCTTATGGTAAAGAAGGAGACAGTGGTATTTTTCAAAAGTCATGCATAGGGAAAAATATTGCTCGTAATAAGTTTAATGCTCCGAAGCCCGCAAATTTACCAGGAACAGATATTATGCTTCCACATTTTCTGGTCGGTGATGAAGCGTTTGCCCTTGATACATATATGATGAAGCCATATTGTAGAAATGATGCGAGAGCGAATCGTGATAAAGCTATCTTCAATTATAGACTTTGCCGTGCCAGAAGAGTGACAGAAAACTCGTTTGCATTGTTATCACAAGTATTTAGAATATTCTACACACCGATATCAATCAGACCTGAGGTTGTTGATGACTTGATTTTGACCGCGTGCTGTTTACATAATCTTTTGCGGGATGCTTATTTAGAAAAAAAACGGCATTCCTTATTACAAATATGATCCAAAAATCCCCCCACCTACGGAAAACATGATACCATTCTCAAGAGTTGGTGGTTTTGCTAGTCTGGCGGCATTTGATATACGAAATTCATTGAAATCATTTTTTTTAAGTCCAGTTGGCCAAGTATCATGGCAGGAAAATCGTATAAATAGAATAGAATAGCGTCCCATGGAAGTAATCCCAGAACAGTTTTATAACCTCAAAAAATAGAGAAAAGTAAAATAGTACCTATTTGTAAACAATAAAAATAAGTACCTTTTCTAATAAAAATATGTATCATTTGAACTTACTTGTTTTATTCAACGCTTTTCCAATTTCTTCCCAAATATTGTCTCTCACAGTATTATCTTTATAAGCTTGAAGCCTCGTATCGAATAAAGGTGCGTTTTTACTAACTAATTCTATTAAAATTTCGTCTTCGTGCGAAGAAAACACGGCCATTTTGCATCTGTCGCGCCACGGCACTGCCTTGTGAGCGACCGAGTCGCGCGACGCAAGTCGCCGGCAGGCCACGCCCACACGTCGCGCGACTCGGTTGCTTGCATCCGTCAGCACTTCCTATTAATTCATATAAAGCAGTGGGTCGCGGTCGCCGGTCGCGGTCTCGAGTCGCGGTCTCGCGTCGCGGTCGTCTTGATCCGAATGCTACCTTTAGTGAAATTTAAAGATGAATTACTTTTTATTACATCATAAAATATAAAAGACTATTTTTATTTAAAAGTAATCAGTCAATACCATGAAGCTAATAAAGCAACCACTTTCAATAGAAATATACAATGTACAGATTTTAGAAAACAAGGATTTCGTTAAACATAGTATACTACTACCTAATTCAATACGCTGCTTAAAATGCGGACCGTCTAACTGTGGTAAAACTAATGTGATGTTAAGCTTACTGCTTCATGAAAATGGTTTGAAATTTAAAAATTTGTACTTATATTCTAAAACGGCATTTCAACCGAAGTATCAATTTTTAAATGAAGTTATGAAAATGATTCCTGAAATAAAGTTTTTTATTTTTAATAATGAAAAGGAAGTTATAGATCCTAATGATGTTTTGAATAATTCTATTATGATTTTTGATGATGTAGTTTGTGATAACCAAAGCAATATTCGTAATTTTTTTGCAATGGGGAGACATAAACAAGTAGACTGCTTTTATTTGTCTCAAATATATTTAAAGATTCCAAAACAGCTAGTGCGAGATAACACTAACTTTTTGATAATATTCAAGCAAGACGATATAAATCTAAAACACATATATGACGAACACGTAAATACTGATTTAACTTGGATTGAATTCAAAAATCTTTGTTCAAAAGTATGGAAAGAACCGTTTAGTTTTGTAATCATTAATAAGGATTGTGCTGTAGACAAAGGAAGATACAGAAAAGGATTTGATGTCTTTTTCAATTTTAAATAGCTATTAATATGTTTCTTGAATTTAACATGATTAGTATCATTTTTTTATTTGTAAACAGTAAGTAGTCGTTTAATTTTAAATATAGTGAAATGGAAAAAGACATAAAATCACGTTTGATTGAATCAGTTTGTTCGATAAAAAAGAAAATTAAAAATATGAAAAAAGATGAAGAACTGACTAATTTATCAGTAAACAAAATTTTAAGACCTGTTGTTGAGCCGTTGCATTCACTCCTTAAAATTGATAAACATATTCAAAATACAATATCGCAAAAAGAGGATGCTTCTAAATATGTAGGAAATGCAAGTTCAGATCATGAAAATTTATATAAAACTTCAGCTAGTTTAGATGAAGTGGATCCACCAAATGTGTCTGAAACTTCTAAAAATGATGATATTATTAAAAGTCCAACTATGATAAATAAAGTTTTAGAGAGGTCGTTAAAAAAGAATGAAATTGCAGATATTTATGACAGCTTAAATGTACCATTTGGCGTACGCAGCGTAGGTAGAGATTTATTCATGGGGAATTCAAAAGTCAAATTATCCACCCTAGTTAATCCCAGCAGTAATGAAAAAACTAATTTGATAAATATTGAAAATAAGCAATATGAACTGTCATCCGGTTTAAGAGAATTATTATTTTGTAAAAAACCTAATTTAACATTAGTCACAGACAAAGATCAGCTAATATATAAGGATATGTTGTATAATACATGTGCTCATAGACGAGATTACAATCCGCAGGGACAAATAAGAGGTGACAAAAGTATAAAATATGACATTATAAAACCTTTATTTTATGAAACTGAGCTAGAAAATAATCAAAAGTTTGGTTCTGGTATACCAAATTTAAAAAAATATGCTCGTAACACTGATTTCATTTATTGGGATGATCCAAATGAGTTAATTGAAAGACTAAAATTGCTAATCGCTTCTAAAGACGCAGGCAACACCAGTCATGATAATGAAATAATTTCTATTATTGAAGAATTGAAGGAAGCAGGTATAATCAAGGAATAAAAAGAAAAATATCTTATGTATGTAAATCAGTATAAAGTAACAGCTTCAACATGAATGTAGATAAATTTGGGCATCATATTTTTAAGAAAAAAAGATTTTCCACTAATTTACTTCCTTTGCAGTGTATTTTAACATACACTGATGATGATAATTTCAATGCACAAAACAAAATAATTAAACATCTAAAAAATCCATGTGTCACTCCATGCTCTGCTAATAAAGTTTCCATTTCTGCATTCACAAATTCTGTCCCATTATCAGTGCGGAGTGTACAAACTGTATTATTTAATGTTTTTGCCTTCATAATAAATTCTTTAATCTTTTCAACAGTTTCCGACTTGTAAGTTAAGAAATAAATTGTCCTATAGTTTGAGAAATCATCCTTTAATAAAAGAAAATACCTTGCACCAACTCGCCTGTCTTACTTGTAGTACTTCTACTGCTATCAAATGGTAATCTATGCTGTTTACCTTTTACACAAGCTGTCTATGTGTCTATTGGTGATTCACTATAATCAATATTATTTTTCTTTAAAATGCGTTTAACTTCCTTATAATTCTGATGTACTAACCTCTCATGTCACTCTGACTTAAAATCCATAACATACAGCTTCGAACATGATTCCTTATTAGCAATAGCACACACTCTATTATTCTTTGAAAATACACACTTGTCATTTGTCATACTAACATGAAAACCATTGCATACCCACACTACCTACAGAAAATAGATTAATTTTTAATTTAGGAACATGCAAAACATTGTTTATCGAGCAACAGACATATCCTTCACCATCAAATGCCATTAAATTTACTTTTCTCTATACCTAAAGTATTTAGCTTTCGTCCATCGCCTATAATAACAATTTTAGGGGTAGATAATTTTTCATATTCATAAAATAATTCCTTCTGATATGTCATATGGTGACTAGCACCGCTGTCTACTAACCATTTTTCATCTATTGACCGATCACTTGCACTAACTAGCACTGTAGATACAAAAGCACTTTCAGTTTTCTTATTACCTTTGTCACTATTTTCTTTATCTTTCTTATCATTTTTACTAGCTTTACATTTATCCTTAAAATGACCTTGTTACATTTAAAACACACATTTTTAAGCTTGCAATCTTTCTTTAAATGACCTGGCTTGTGACATAAAAAACATTTAAAATTACCTTTATTTGTACCTTTTTGACCTTTAGAAAACAATGCTACACTTTCTTCTGCCTTACTACTATACTTATTATTAAGCAGTTCTTCTTCTACGAAGAGCCGTGCCGTTAAGTTGTCCATAGTCTGTTTTTCTTCTGCACACGATTCCCAAGCACTAACAAAGTGAACATACTTCAGTGGAAGTGACATGATGATATTCGACATAGCCATCCTGTCGGTTACCGCTTCTCCCAGTCGTTTCAAGGTCTGCTGCTGCTCCTGCACTTTGGAGATGAAGTCCGCGACACTCATGTCATCTTCAAATTTTAGGGCAAAGAATCGTTGTTGTTGTAGCATCAGTGACGTTTCTCCACTTTTTTCATAAATACTGTGTAGCCCACTCCACACTTCGTGCGCTGTTTGACAAGTAATTACGTGATGTAGAACTGATTCCGCCAATCTTGTCACAATTGCACTCATCGCCTTTATATCCTTCTCTACCGACGCCTGCTCGGGCTCCGCCGACGCCTGACCGGTCTTTGTAGTTTCCGCCGCACCGCCATGTTTGACATTAAGACTCGAGACAATTTTGTACAATACTTGATCCCGCAAAATCACGGTCATCTGGAATCGCCAGACACTCCAATTCCTCGCTCCTTCCAGCTGCACTACGCCGAGCTTTTCCATTGTGTTATTTTTGTCTCACAGTGACAAAACAAACGAGCGACGCCAATATTTCCGGCCGCCACCACGTTCCTTCTTGCTTGTCGACACCCGACCAAGCTCCTACCGTACAATTAATTCCAAGAATATCTTCACCTAAATACGGTTACAGACTGGGCCCATAACCTATTAGGACTTTTTGGAATAATAATGCAGATTTTACACAATGATTTTTTATTTAGATGAAGCTCTACAAAGTACAAACACCCGGCGTCCACCATTACAGATTATCAAGAGAGAGTTGCCAGTGGTATAAATCAAAATAAGTTTTGCCTTTCCCTACAGCATAAAGTAAGTGATACAAATAAGACCTACCTAATTTCAAACACTCAAAATTTGATAAATTATTCGAAGAAGGTGATAAATAAAAGCGTGGACTTCTTTTTTGGTTAATATTTTATTATAAATTAAGTAAACATTATATAATCTTCAATCAAAAATCAACTAAAATGAGATAATTGTAAAACCTTAGCTTTAGGCCTTTTAAAAACTAGTGACTTAATTAAGCCTACATATTTAAAGTATAGGAATATTGTTAATATTAAACTATCAATCATTATAAAATTATGTATTTCTGAGTTTTTTATCACGTTTTCATGAGATCCTTGTACAACTTTTTAATTTATGTGACTATATATTATACTTTTAGGCGAAAACAAACTTATTTATTAAAAAAAAAGACACAAAACCGAACACTTAACTTCTATTTATTAATAATTTTACAACTCGAAAAATCATCACGAAATTAACCTTAACCACTAACTAAATAAAAAACACAATAAGAATTGCAATTTAAATTAACCAAGCAATCAATCGTTAATTTGAATATAAAAATAGTATACGCGCTCGTCATGAAACAACGACCTATCGTTCCGAAAGCCGAGAAGCAAATGAGCTCTGAGTCTCGAATCACGAAACATATTAAAATTATCGAGATTATGCTGATAATACTTAAATTGCTAGTCAGACTTGTGGTCGTATATTAACAAGAAATAAAGAATACTATAAAAAACAACATAATATAATTCACATAAATAATATTCAACATGATATAATTCACTCTCAGAATCCCCTAATAAAAGAAGATCCACTCCATCCTTGTCTAGAATTAAATCTATCGAGTTTGCAATTAAGAAACTTTCGTCACAAACCAGCAAATAAACATAATTTCTTTAAAGCAGACTACGTAAAAATTAATGAATATTTATCAAAAATAAATTGGAAAGAAATTATTCAGGCACAAACAATTGACGGACTTATAGATGTATTTTACGATACTCTCAATAATATAATTTCAAAATTTGTTCCCCTTAAAAGAACAAGCCTTTCACACTACCCACGGTGGTATTCAAAATCTTTAATACACATTATAAGAGACAAAAAAGAAGTTCACAAACGATGGAAGATCTATAACAATCCGCGAGACTACGACGAATTCGCTTTACTTCGATCTCGGCAAAAAGTCAACCAAATAAAGTGCTTTAATTATTATAACCAACGTATGCAAGAATTTATTCAAAAATATCCTAAAATGATCTTTACATACATGAAAACATTGAGAAACATTAAATATGGCTATCCTAATACACTTACATATAATGACAAAACTTATAACGAGGATACTGAGGCTTGTATTGGATTTAGTCAATACTTCCACAGTATTTTTACAAAACCCGCCACATCATATGAAGATCTTGAACTGAACACTAACGTTATTAATGATACAATTTCTGCATTTACTATAAAAGAAAATACTGTTCTTAACCATCTAAAAAAACTTAACATACACAAGGGCCCAGGAAGTGATAATATTCCACCAATATTTTTAAAAAACTGTGCAATGAATCTTGCTAAGCCTCTTACAGTTATTTTTAACTTATCAATAAATAATTTCGGATGCTTTCCTTCTAAATGGAAAGAAGCCTTAATAGTGCCTATTCATTAAAATGGATCTAGAAATCTAATAACAAATTATCGACCGATCTCAATCTTAAATACTATGAGTAAAGTATTTGAAAAAATCATTTATGATCTAATTGGCCCTACTATAACGAAATCTATCCCTGGAGAACAACACGGATTCATGCACAGACGCTCCACAGTAACAAATTTAGGAGTCTTTACAAACTACATTTTTGACGCTATGGACGGACGCGACCAAGTCGATGTGATTTACACTGATTTTGAGAAAGCCTTTGATCGCGTAGACCACATAATTTTACTACAAAAGTTACATCAGTTAGGAATACAGGGAAATCTTTTTAGATGGTTTACATCATATATTAAAAATAGAATGCAAGCAGTAATTATAGGCGATGCTAGAAGCAACTTCACGTGTGTACCTTCTGGTGTACCACAAGGTTCAGTACTGGGGCCTCTTCTATATAATGCATATCTTTATGATATAGATAAATGCTTTAGGCATTCACAATTCTTAATGTTTGCTGATGACAAAAAAATCTTTCTTAAGGTCAAAACTATTGAAGATTGCATAAAAATACAAGAAGATTTAAACACACTAGCCCATTACTATGAAATAAATAGGATCAAGGTAAATGTTAGTAAGTGTCATCACATAACTTTCAGTCGAAAAGAGAGACCCATCTATTACAACTATAATATTAACGGAATATCCATCGAAAAAGCTACCTCTGTAAAAGATTTAGGTATTACACTTGATCAGAAACTATCCTTTTCGGAACATTACGACATAATAATAAACAGGGCATACAAACAGCTTGGATTCATTAAACGAGCTACACAAAATTTCACGAATACAGAGTATATTAAACTTCTTTACTTTACGTATGTACTAATGAGAAAGTTAGGTCAAAAAAACCGAAGTAATATTACTCATTATTCTTAATAGAGGCTAAATGGATCTAGAGACATAGTTAATTAATATAACTCAATGCAAAATGGTTTAAGCACCACGTTTTTTTTATGTATTTGAATGCAAAATGGGCCAAACGACATACCTTATTGTTTTGCTTTAATTCAAAATAGGCCAAACGACAAAACCATAACCATAGCGAAAAAGCCAAATGCCTTAATCGACACACGTTATAAAAATTTGAAAGATCAAAACAGCTTAAGTCAACGAGTCCTCAAATTTGTCTAATTTTGTGTCGTATAGATCGATGAGCTTAGAAATGAGGACGGTTTTGCTGTGGGTGCTAAGCGCCGAAAAAGTAGTAAAAAAAAAATTGAAACATGACTTAAACGACGGAGAAAAATTGGCTGATTCCGAATATGTATATAACTCAATATCGCAAAAAATGTCGCTTAGACCAATTAGCCTTTCAAGCGTCGATATAATAGGTTCTTTAGAATTATTTCTCTGGTAAGTAAGACAAATATTACATTGATTTATGTATTTTTCAATATCTAAATTAATGTTAGGCCAAAAAACTTTATTTTTTGCTAATCTAATACAACTATTTATGCCTTGGTGACCTTCATGAATGATTTTCAATATATTTTCTCTCAACGTCTCTGGAATAATAATGCTATCTGACTTAAAGACTATGTTATTAATGACATGAATTTCATCTTTGTAAGAAAAGAATGGCTTTACTGACTGACTGACTGACTTTTTGTGCTCTGGCCAACCATTTTGACAAAAGTGAATAATCTGACTAAGAGTTTGATCTTTACGAGTAGCTTCTTCTATCTCTTTAAGCTTATTTGGACTTACTGACAAAGTTGACATGACTAAGTTAATGTGTAAGTCTATATCTTTTTCTAGGTCTGTGAGTGTATTATCAGGCAAGGCTGCTCGTGACAAGGTGTCTGCTATGTATAAGTATTTACCTGGTTTGTATACTACAAGTAAATCGTATGGCTGTAGTCTGAGCATTATTCTTTGAAGTCTAGGGGGTATGTCATATAATGCTTTTTTGTATAATGTAATGAGAGGTTTGTGGTCTGTCTCCACAGTTACCTGTCTACCATATATGTAGTGATGATATTTGGTGCAGCCAAAGAGAACTGCTAGTAGTTCCTTCTCAATTTGGCTGTAGTTCTGTTGGCAACTTGTGAGAGATGCAGAGGCATAGGCTATTGGCTGATTTCCATGTGACAAGACTGCTCCCAGGACGTCTTTAGATGCATCCATTCGGTTGGTTCTTCGACACGTTTATCACACCACTTTTCTCTAATGACAATAGCTCTTCCTTTAGAAGATTTTGTAGCTGTAGAGGCACGCGTCTGCACACGTCGACTGAAGGAGTTATATCAGGTTTCAAGGTAAGATTAACCTCTAAATCACGGATACAGCCCAGACCTTCAAAGAGGTCTCTATTTTTCTCAATAATGTCCTGTGAATTGGTCTGTGTTGTAGGAGAAAAGCTGACAGTATTTACTTTTTTGACTAAGTTTAATATTTTGCATGTTTTTCTACCAAGTGTATTTTGACAGTTTAAATCTACTATGTGAAAGTTTACTAAGTAATTCTTATTTTTGTATGAAATGTTGATAGTGCATTGACCTACTGTCGGTAGTATATGACCACTGAATGTTGAAAGTTTATGTGAACTTGGTTTAATGTCTTTTGTGTGTAAGTTGAGTTTAGTGAAAGTGTTTAACGAAATTATGTTTGTGTCTGCCCCAGTATCTAACATAAAAGAAATTACTTGACTATTAATAACAATATCCGCCATCCACTTGTCATCTTGTTCTTCGCACTTCAGTGTTCCTATAAAATATTGGTCTTCATTGCTTTCAGGTTTTATATTTTCTCGTGTTACTGCACGGATAGTCCTTCTCGATCTGCACATGACTGCAAAATGGTTGTATTTCTTACATATTTTGCATTGGACTCCGTTGGCTGGACATCTATAGCGGTGAACTTGACCACAACGGCTACAAATTTCTTTATTATTGCCATATCTCTTGTTCTCCGGTTGCCTGTTCCGTGAAGGTTGTCTTGATTGACTGTCTTGTCTCAGCTGGGATGTCTGTCTTGTTCTAGATGTGTGTCTTGACCTGGATGCCTGTTGTGTCCTTGCTCTTCTACTAACTTCACTAATTGTGGCTGTAGGTGTACTTTCTAACATCTTGGCTTGTTTTCTAGAAGCTTCCTGGTGCTTCGCTATCTCAATTGCTTTGTCTAATGTCTGTGGCTTTTCTTGAAGAATTCTCTCTTTAATAAATTGGTTGTTTGCATTGAGATTCCAACTAAAGATATCACGGAGAATGTCATCTTGGTTTTTAAATTCACACTGACTGGCTATGTTTTTAAGATCTGTTATGTAGTGCTCAATCGACTCGTCATCTCCTTGTCGCCTGTTGAACAGCTTATGGCGCTCTATTGTGACGTTGATTTGCGGCAAGAAATGTTTTTCAAAATGTTGGATAAGGTCTTTGAAAGTGACAGTGTCGATGTCAAGGCCAAATAAATAAAATGTATTCAAGGCGTCTCTGCCTATGTGATGCAACAGAATAGCTACCTTCCTGTTGTCCTTGCTGTCTTCTAGCATGTTGGCACGAAGATATATTTTAAGTTGGGTGAGCCAATTTTTCCATTCTAATGGCATGTTGCTTGAATTTATGTTCAACGGGTTGAGAAGACCTCCCATGGCTCCTAGGTAAGACTGGTTTTTATCTTCTGACTTTGTCTTTTCCGACATCTTAGCACGCTGATGAAACGTGGCATGCGGCGACTTGATTGACTACTGGGCATGCCTTTTAAGTTCTGTCGTTTCTAAATTTCCCGGCAATTTAAATTTGGAACTGTTACATATTCGAATGTGTCTAAATTTTGAATCTCAAAACAGTTGAAAGTTTTAGAATTAATGCTATTGTTTAGTTACAGCGTCGATTGGAATCTGTCAGGTTATGCACGAAAATGAATCTTTCTAAGGACAATGTTCGTGCAATAATTTAGAACTCAAAATTATTGCACTAGTTTAGAACTCAAAATACACGGTTTTCCGTGTAACCGTGCGATGAACTACAGCACTTGCAACTGTGCAACTCTATCTCGCGTTACCCACATCAAATATCTTGGAGTTATATTGGATGAAAGGCTTTCTTGGAATATTCACATAGCATCGCTGGCGACCAGGATCAGGAAAACAATTTACATATTTAAAAATTTACGTACAGTTGCCAATAAACAGCTATTAATCCTAACCTACAGGGCGCTTGTTGAGTGTATTATTAGATATTGCATAAGTGCCTGGGGTTGTGCAGGCAAAACGCACCTTATCGTGGCCGAACTGGCTCAGCGAGCTGTACTGAAGGTGTTATTGTACTTGCCCTTTAGGCATCCTACCACCTCCTTATATGAGAAAACTGGTGTACTATCTATACGACAAATGTTTATTTATGAAACAATCCGGAGATATCATAAAAAAATAGTGCCTACTTTACAAGTTGACTCTAAAAGGGTAGATCGTTGTCCGATTCCACAAGTTAAAACCTCCTTTGCTAAAAAGCACTTCACTGTTGTGGCTCCACGTATTTATAATATTTTTAATAATAAATATAAAGTTAAGAAACATCCTAACAATAAGCTGAAAAAAATTTTAATTACCTGGCTGAAAAGTTTAGATTACGATGCGACAGAAGAAATTATAAAAAATGCTATATAGTATCTACAAACACACACTCACTTATACACACGCATACACACACACACACACACACAAACACACAAACACACACACACACACACAAACACACACACATACTTTTTTTTTTTTTTTCATTTTGTAATTATTTTTGTGTGCTAATTTTTTTTTTTTTTTTTCTTAATGTTACTCTTGTTGTCTGTACCTACCTACATATATCACTGTGTTGGCATAAACCAGTCATTAATCATATGGGGATGACACTGGCTCCTGCAATACAGTTTTTAACGAGCGCAGGGGCTAGGGAATTCTTTCACCTATGTATGTAAAATTATGTCAATAAAGAATTTATTTTATTATAAAAAAAAAAAAAAAAAAAATAATTTTCTACAACTTTAGAAGAGGCCTGACACGGCTTGAGTGTTTTGAAGAGCTAATATCTGTGTTCAGTGATGAAGCCCCATGTCTGCGGACTGTCGAACGCTGGTATTTAGAATTCCAGCGTGGACATACTAGTGTTAGTGACAAATCTCGCGAAGGACGCTCAAAATCCGCCTTTACTGAAGATAACATTATTGCTGTGAGACAACTAATTCTCGAAGATCGTCATGTGACATATCGAGAGATAGAAGCTTTATTAGGCATCTCAGGGACAACCATTCAGAAGATCTTGTATGAAGCGCTTGGTGTGAGAAAGTTAGTTTGCCGTTGGATACCGCATCTGCTTTCCGACGATCACAAGGCGGCCCGCGTCAGATGGTGTAAGAAAACTCTGCAAAGGTTCAACCGAGGAGAGTCAAATCACGTCTATGACATCATCAGTGGTGACGAATCTTGGATCTATGCCTACGATCCTGATTCCAAACAACAATCTACAATTTGGGTCTTTCAAGACGAGCCAAAGCCGACTAAAGTTTTTCGTTCTCGAAGCACTTCAAAGAAGATGGTGGTCACGTTCGTTGGAAAAACCGGCCATGTTGCGACTATTGCACTTGAAGATCGTAGAACGGTTAACGCAGAGTGGTATACCACAGTTTGTTTACCACAAGTCATCGCCGAACTTCGAAAATCTAACTCAAAGCGACGCATCATCCTGCACCACGACAACGCAAGCTCACACAGCGCTCGTCAAACGATTAAGTATTTGAAGCAGGAAAAAGTAGAAATTCTTGACTATCCTCCATACAGTCCTGACCTAAGCCCTAACGATTTCTTTACATTTCCTAAAATTAAGAAAAATCTTCGTGGTCAAAGGTTCCAGTCCGGTGAAGAAGCAGTCGACGCTTTCAAGTCAGTCATTTTGAACACCCCCACTTTAGAGTGGAATAAATGTTATAATAACTGGTTTGAGCGAATGGAAAAGTGTATTAAGCTACGTGGTGAATACTTTGAAAAACAATAAAAAGTACTATAAGGTTCTAGTTGTGTTTTTTACTTCAAACGACAAAACTTAAAAGGCATGCCTCGTAATGACTATTTCTTGAGGCTTCTCTTTTGACTAAAACCACTTCTGACACCTGTTGGGTGGTCGAGCGTAATAATAAGAACGTGATTAGGCGTATTGACTTTATTATTATAATAAGACTGGACGATAGTTATAATTAATATAAGCGGAGCGGCAGACATGATACCAGTGACTAGGGAGTGCAATAGACAATAATGTTGCTACTTATATAATACATGTATGTAACAGGGAATGCAGAGGCAATGCAAACGCAGCCGCAGCTCTTTATAGGGAGAGATACCCTAATGCGCGCCACCCAGATTATCGCGTATTTATAAGAGTCCACAGTTGTTATTCAGAAGGAAGAATACCTGGTAGTGGTGTCGGAGGGTCTAGCGCTGGAAGAATAGCTAATCCTGATATCGAAGACATGGTGCTTCAGGAAGTCGAGCAAGATCCGTCGACTTCTATACGAGCAGTAGCTCGACGCACGGGCATTTCAACATCTACGGTGCACAGTATTTTAAAAAGGTACAAATTTCACCCATTCCACGTTACACGCGTGCAAACTCTCCAACCAAGAGACTTTCATTCAAGATTGCGTTTTTGCCGACAAATGCTAGCAAAGATAGAAGAAGACCCGCAGATTTTTAATAAAATTCTGTGGAGCGATGAATCAACAGTCAAAAGAGATGGGTATTTGAATCTGCACAATCTACATAGCTGGGAACTAACAAATCCCCATCTCGTGCGTGAAGACAGGTCACAAAACCAATTTAAAATAAATTATTGGACTGGAATATTAAATGGAAAAATAATAGGCCCATTTGAACTAACGGGCAATCTAACCGGTCAAAGTTATTTAGAGTTTCTTCAAAATGATCTTCCAAATTTATTGGAAGAGGTGCCCGAGGAGCTAAGGGAATCATATTGGTTACAAAATGACGGATGTCCTGCGCATTATGCTGTTGCTGTTCGTACATATTTAAATAGAATGTACCCACGCAGATGGATCGGGCGTCTGGGACCGATTTTGTGGCCTCCACGTTCACCGGACTTGAATCCGTTGGATTTTTTTATTGGGGTTGTCTTAAAGAAGAGGTGTACCGCAAGCCGATTAGGTCCTTAGAAGAATTACGTAACCGTGTCCGGGCAGCCGCATCAAAAATAAGTGAGCGACGGTACACGAGACTACTCAGAAGATCATTTGTTCGAAGATGTAGGGCCTGAATCACAGTGGGTGGTAAACAATTTGAACACTTATTATAAATAAAATAAAGTCGAATTAATGTCGAATGTTGTTTTTTATTAAACCCCCAATGACCATGTACATTTTGATGTAAAAAATGTTCTAATAATACATATTTCGATATTTAGTCAAATTTACTCCTTTTGTACATTAATTGCAATAATTCATGATTTACATCAGATATCATAATGAATTATACTATTTTGAAATCTACTGTAAACACGTATTTTTTTTAATTATTGGTTACTTATGTTTTCATACATTTTTTTACACCCAAGGTGCTTAAACTTGTCGAAAATGACATTTTTACAAATTTTTCGCCGAAAATGTTAATTCAAGTCGTTTTTAAAAAAAAGTGCAATAGCCAGTCTTACTATTTACTACCTATCTATTGGCATTGTTAGTGTACATTAAAATAATAACAAAAATCGGTGGAATTCATTCATTTTGTGGTTGTAGAGTTCCATAATCTAAAATAAGATAAAAATGTGTAGTATTTTATTAAAAAAAATCATATCTTAGGTACTACTTACAATATATTTGGTTTTGTATTTTTTTCTGAACGGCTAAGAGTTCTGCTACAAGCCACTTCAAGGTTATCCATTGAAAACAGGACACCTGTATATTGGTACGCATTTAAATGTTCGAATTGAATAATAATAAAATAAAAAATACTTATGTATCATGGTGTGTCTATGATTGTATCTAAGTAAGAAAAATATATTTTTTTTCGTTTTTAATATTTTCAAGGTTACTCTTTGTATAAAACCTCAATTTTATACGCGACAACAGGGTAGTAGATATGGTTTTGCAGTCAGGTAACTTATAGTTGGGATTTAACCCGTAGACAAATGCCTTAAAACCCTCATTATCAATAATACTTAAAGGCGGGATATCGATCTATCATATTTAATAATTATTTAGTTTTGTCCTTTCATGGGTTAATAAGGGCCTAGATAAATACGACGCTATAACACTTTGCTTTTTTGGAGGATTTTATGTTGAGGGTCCAGGACAAGCAAAACATCACAGTCCCATCGTTACGAAGCCCAGACCCGGTTGCGTCACCACCACCTTTACTACCACCAATACCATCACCGGGATTAGCCAGACCAGTAACACCAAAGTTCACACCAGCAGGAGCACCAGACAGACATTTTCGTATCTAAGTACAATAAAATGAAGTTGAACATTGAATCGTTTTAAGAATTCGAGTAAATTTGCTAGAATAATATCACATAAAATATCTCATTAATCACTTAACTTACCGTTTTCATTAGCATTTCTGATGCTATCTCTGCATATTTCTTCATAAATAATTAAATGATTTTAAATGATTCAATTATTTATGATAAATTAGTCCGGAACATATGTGAGAGATGGATAAAAAAAAGAATAGACAACTATTTTTAAAGTACACATTTATTTATAGATATATTAATCAACTGATTATTTAATAAACAAAGATATAACCATATCGGTAGATAACGAAAATAAATGTAAAATAATTCATGGGTAAAGAAAAAATACTTATAGTTACTGAAAATACCTTTTAAGTATTTTCAGTAACTATAAATAAATTAATTATTATTCTAAAATTATCTTTAACTAGCATTGCCCGCGGCTCCGCCCGCGTTCAGATGACCAAAAACTAAATTCTTAGGTGTTACATATTAGTATACTCTTACATTGCAGTTTTTGTATTTTTCCTCAGAAATAAGATATTTTCCCGCGGTAAAAAGTATCCTAGGATCGCGCGCTACATCGCCCGGTTTATATAGCTTGAGCAGGCGGTCGAGCGATGCGGGGCAGAGGGGATGGACTCGCCGTAGGCATCTCAATGCTCGCCAAGCATTAAAAATGTTTCGCTACTAATTACTTCTAACAACGATATCTCAAAAACTATTCATCTGATTGATTTAGTGTAAAGAGCAATTTTAATCTGCATTAAATGACTAAGCTAACTAAAATATTCATTTGGATAAGGATTAATACCGAACTAAAGAAAATAACTTTGAAAATAACGTAATGTTTTTAATTAAAAATGTTAACATAAAAGTGGTTATTGTAAGTCAACCGTAAGAGATAGAGATATGCTATCGCGGACTTTTTTGTAGCATTTTTATAGATTTTGAATTCTCTAGTACATTACTTAACTGTATCTTTGCTAGTTTACGCGGCGTTCGCGTGGAAAGTTCCCATTTGGCGAGATTTTTTGCGACCTCTTCAACATTTGTCGCCGTATTTCAGCTAATTTACATAAAAGCATAATAAATTATATACCTAAACCTTCCTCAAGAATTACTCTTTCTATTGTTGAAAACCGTATAAAAATCCGTTCAGTAGTTTTCGAGTTTATCGCGTACAGACAGACAGGAGGACAGACAGGAGGACAGAAAGACGCGGCCGGGGGACTTATTTTTATAATAAGTATAGATACTAAACTTCTAAATGATATCTAAATATTTTAATCAATATGTTAAGAATCCAATAATCACAACAATTATAATGTAATAATTTATACATATAGTATTATAACTATACAACGATTATATAATAATTATCATAATCATTATTATAATTATATAAGTAATACAGAGATTACCTGTTCGGTAACTCGGTTAAGTCAGAGCACTCATAGGGAAGTGCCGTGTTCGCAGTCGAACAGCTTCTGACCCAACGAAATGGTTTGTCCTTTGTATTTATAGTCGAATGTCGTAGTAGGAGTTACTTGATAATAAGACTGTCAATTGACTTACTCTTAAAGCACGGAAAGAAATGCTAAAAATTTAATTAAATACTTTTTATCTCTAATACGGCCATTCTGACGAGCAGTCTACCATGGCTTGCGAATACTCAAATATTTAATTTAATCCACGTACAGATCGCAAATTCCAAATGCCAAATCACATGGCAACATTAAATAAAATGGCGTCCACAAAGTCAAATGCCATGTTACATTAAAATAAACTAAAAAGCTGGTTCACTAATTTTTATACTCAATCTATTCACATTAGTCTAATGCCAAAGCTCTACCATATAACATGGTGTAACTGCCATAAGGCTCTACCATATAAAATGGTGTAATTGCCACAAGGGCTCTACCATATAACATGGTGTAATTGCCAAAAAGCTCCTACCACTTCTCGAAGCGTATATGATTATGTGAATAAAATAATGTCGACCGCCCACAAGCTTAGGAATATTAAGTTTGAAATTGATGATGAATGGCTCGGATGTTAGCTGGCCTCCCTGAAGTATATAAGCCCATGATCATGGGACTGAAGAGCTCTGGCATCAAGATAAGTGCAGATTCTATTAAATCTAAACTCCTGCAGGAAGTTCAATGCTCCGATAACTCAGCATACTTCACAAGGAAAAAGATCATTCAAAGATATGAACATAATTCAACAAAGGTTCACAAAGGACCCCGATGTTATAATTGTAACAAGCATGGACACTTTGCAAAGAATTGTCGTGCTCCGAAAAAGAAGAAAGCTTCAAGCTTTGGTGGGAACCTTTGTCATCGCGAAGATCTACAGAAGAGCAATTGATAGGCGGCAAAGACTTACACTCATATTCTATGGGTTGGGGCGTCTGACCGCATCTCAAAAACCAAATACCGCGCTGAAAATCTAAAACCTTGCCAATGTCTTGAATAAAATTCATACCTTATAAACTTTCCGTCGCGTTAGGAAGCCTAATAAAATCCACACCTAACGTTATCCCTCTTCATGTTACGCGGACGTGCGCCACTTCAACGTTTTGTGCACATGCACGACCATCCGCATATTTAAGTTCAGTATAAACAGTATCTAACTTATGTCTATTCTTAATTAACAGGGATCTAAGACTAACACTTCCTACACAATGTTTTGCACCAGTGTCTACTAAAACTTTACCACTAGCGCCATAAATCCCTATACTAATCACTGGGCGTACACGCGAATCCATACAGTCTACACTTGCTGAAACCGAATGAAAGTCACTACTGGTTGACACTACTGGTTTATTCCCTTTACATGTGGCGCAATTTGAACGAATCACTCCCGGTGCACTACATCCAAAACAAGTCAACTGGGGTATCGACTCCTTTTTATTTTGCTGATTTTTATATCACAGCTTCTCACAAGCGTCTTTATTATGTCCAAATCGTTTACAATAGTAACACTTACTTCTATTTATTCTATTTTACTTCTATTTTTCCATGTCAATACAAAATTTATTGTGTAATCGAAATTTATTTTAAAATATATCCAAAAATAACATTAATAATTGAATTAATAGTACAAAAAATGTTTTAAAACACAACAAAATCGAAAGTGCATAATATTTAACACCATTCAGACAAAGAAAGACAATAGCATTCCCAAGGAGGGTTGACGTCAGGCAGGCGGCCGGTCGTAAAACTTTTGCCAAATCCTATCAGCAGTACACTGAAGATGTACTGCGCCGACCCCAAGTGATTTGGGAAATGGGCAGGGAGAAGAAGACTTACTTCTATTTATAACCGGTACCTTAACTGGTTTATTAGGCTCAGAAGAAGAAGAGGCAGGTGTGATTCCCTGTCTCTGACTGTACGCAACATTTGATCTTTGATTTGCGACAGATTAGATCGATTGACTTCGACTCGACTCTCATCCATTAACTCTTCTAATCGTCTAGCCTGCGACAATAACTCGGAAAAAGACGTGAAAGAACTTCGTGGTACCTTCTCTCGAATCCGCTTACTAAGAAGACCATATACCATATCCAATTAAACTTCTTCAGTCAAATGCGAAGGACGCAATTGCGCAAATAAGGCTCTAATATTACAAATAAATATGTCAGTAGTCTCCTGAGTTTACTCTTTACTAAAAATTTTCCTATAAATTTTATATGGTGGTAATTGAGGACCGAATGTTTGTTTAAGGAGCTCTATTGCCTCATGCCAACTTTGCGTGGTGGGTTTTACACCTTGCCACCACGTTGCGGCAAGATCCGTTAGCAGAATAGGAAGGCCTCGCAAAGCAATATTACCCTCCATGTTCACACATTTTTTATGTTTCTATCACATCTATAAAAGCGAGTACATCACTGCCTTTTCCGCCATCGAAGCGCGAAGAACAAGAAGCAAAGTTACCTGATATAGCGGGTACCAATGGTGAAGTAGTTGGCGCGCGCAGCGATCGTAATATCTGCGCCAGCTGCTGATCCGTCATTACCACTGGGTTGCCGGGTACTTGCATATGTGATGCCGACGATGGTGACTGCGCAGTATGCGCATACGGCGCAGTAGAGCAGGTCTCGTCCAGGCCCGTAAGCGGAGACGGCGGCGCATCCGACGCCGCCGGCGAGAGAGCCCTGGGGTCTCCAGCATTTCGCTGTGGTGCCTTCTGAGTCTCGTTACTATTCGCTCGCGACCGTGTAAGCACCATAATGATATAATATCAACACGCACTATTAAAACTATTTTAATTCAACATTCAACTTAATAAAAAAAACGCTTATACCTTGCACTTTATCCTTAACTAAAACACTTACTATAGCTATACAATAGTCAGTATTAAACTATACAAAATGTTGACGCTTGTATTACTACACAAAACAAATAATTCTTTACAACACAATATAATGATTCGCTATTCATTATACATCTATATTCTAACAGAATAATATTATCAAATAAGTAGTAAACGACACAACTATAATTATTCAGAACGCTTAGTAGTAAGTATTATTATTATTCAAAACCTTATTTATACATTAACAAAATTAAAATCTATATAAAAGAATTAAAATCTCTAACCAAAGAATCTTTCAAGGTATTAAATTCACAAGACATAGCCAAACTGTTTAATACTGTTACATAGTTGTCTAAGGATTCATCTATTTGTTGAGTCCTTGTGAAGAAATTGTATCTTTCTACTGTGATATTATTTTGAGGATTAAATTTCTCATCGAACGCTTTTATCAGATTTTCCCAAGAAATATTTTTTCTGTCGATGTTGAAGGAATTATGTATTTCTATGCCATAATCAACAATTGTGTTCAGAAAAATAGTCACTTGCTCTGTCTCATCTTGTTATTTAATATCATTTGCGTCACAAAAAATTTCGAATTTTTGCTTTCATCGACGCCAATGTTCCGAAACGTTGCCATTGTTCACAGTTAACGGTTTTATCCT